GTACAAACTTCTTTGAAATAGTTAATTTAAAATTTAAGAAAATCCTTTTCCCAGTGCTTGACCAAGCCATCATCTAAGCGAATAGCGACTTTCCCGCTTCCGCATGGCATCCCAGAGTCTGTGATCTCTGGCTGGGCAGCAATTTGATTGAAAAACTCATCGGAGCAGAAACACATCGCAGGCGTAACAGGTTCGCATTCGGATTGAAGCTGGGATTGGGGCACGGATTGGAGCACGGATTGGGGCATGTGCATGTGTCGGCAGACGTGCGATGGTGCCGGGGCCACCACCTTCTCCTACTGATTATACCCGTGCAGCCAGCCACCGCCAAAAAAAAAAAGAAAACTTGAGCTGCAAAAGTTCACAAAAGTTGCTGGCTTGGTCCTTCTGTCGGTTTCTCTTTTTTTTTTTTCTAGTCGGATTTATTCGGGTTTTTTGAATGTCAGAGCCGGTGAGCTCAGTGACCCATTGACACGATATCTATGCACATATATATAGTGGATTTATGTTTGCTCAGCGCTTACAGTCTCGCCCAGTCGACCGCAAATTAGTTTCGAGTGTCTGGACAATTTGCAGCCACCGTTTTGCGGCAAAGGCATCCATAAATAGATTTATTGAAATTTATATGTTCGGCACGTATTTGCTTAGCCATCTGTTCGAGTGTTTGGTTTTTGGATTTAATGGCGGCAATTGCAGCTGCCCGAGGCAAACACAAATCGGCTATAATCAAATCGAGTATACCACGCGTTGTCCAGCGCCTCAAGGTTAATCTGGCAACCAAAAATCCTGACCATGGTCAATAGATCTCACTCTCTCTCTTTCTCTCTCACACACAACTTTTGCTCCTGCTGCTTGCTTCACTTCCTTGGAATTTTGTTTACGTTTTCAGCTGGACGCGACGGACACATAATTTATTTTGGCTGCGATGTCCTTGCGTGCTTTGTCTGTGTGTAAGGGGGAGAGGTCCCCCTCTTTCGCCCCGCATTCCCGCCTGTCAGCGCCTGTAAGATAAGCTGACTGCGAGAAATATGTGCCCGCTCCCTAACGAATGTGCGAATAATGAGGAAATGGAAGGCGTAGCGAATGCGGTGCTCCTACAGGACCTTCCTGCCCCCAGCTCCTGTTCCGCTCGCCACAAGAAGACATAAATAAAACGCACAACATCGACTTTAATTGGTCACGCCGGTCCATAAGAGAATCCGAATGGGAAAGCAAACGCGAACGCGAACGCGGCTAAAACTGCGAATAGTTAGTATGCCTGGCTCTAGTGATGGTAACTTGAATAAGGAAATGAAAAATTGATAAAGATATGAATGGAGAATGATACATGCTCGTGATGTGATCTGAGCAATTATGTTTGACTTTTCATTATCTAACTAAATCCTTTTCAAAGCTTATTTAAACTTACTTAGAATAAAACATAGAACTGATAGAAGTTTTTCTACTTTTCTTAAGCTCACGCTTTTCGAATGATCTTCTACAAACCTGTAAGTTCTGTCAAACTTTTATTGATAATTGCGAGGTTATAAAGTAGAGCAAAAATATTAATGTAGACCCTAGAAAAATATCTTTCCCAATGCCCCTTGCCAGTTTTTATCGCCACCAATTATGGAAAATGACTGGTGAGCACGAGCACATCCCCAATGAAGTAGAGTGTCCCGGCTTCCTTCCTCGTCGCCTTGGACTCCCTGTCTGCCGGCAAGGAGGTTAATATGGCCAACTGATTTATGTTCGCCAACAGCAGAAACAGAAACAGAACTGGAAGTAAGAGAAGCAGCAGCGGGAGCAGGAGCATTTGGTACACGCCACGGACGTGGGCATCTTGAGTAGCCGGCGCCAGACGCACGCGGCACATCCTTCATCCTTCGCCGACGAGTCCGCCGGATTGCGTGGCTCATCGTCATCGTTCGCATTATAAATGATTTTAATAATTTGAAACGATTTGTTTAGTTCTGCATCAAGTCGGATAAACGTCGATGATTAATTAGCCTTGGTGGCGGCAAACTTGGACCAACTATTCCCGACAGAGGGGACGGCCATTACATAAGCGCTGGCTACCACTTTTATCGCTTCCGTATTTAAATGCCACAGCACACTCCATCCTCCTCAGTGTCCTTAATCAACTTTTTGGTTTCTTTTTTCCTTTCCTGCGTTTTCACCCCGCCACTGTGTTTGTTGATTTCCAAAAGCGAAAATTAATTGGCGCCCCCCCCTCCGGGATGCAGACGATGATTCCCGCTCTAGGTTAATTGATAAATGGTTGTTTTCTTAGGAGGAGGAAGGCGTCTGCCTGCTCACGACATATGCAAATTTCTCAAAAGGTTTTTCCACCCATTCCATTGTTTTGCTGTGTGCGGATCGGAAGATAAGGCATCATAAATAGGCATCCTCCCATTGGCCTCCTTAAGCTGCTCCAACTTCCTTAGACTTAGTCGGAGTCCGGGCTTTTGCTCGATATCGATTGGAGTAATTACATTTTCAAAAATTAATTATTCACACAATATAGCATTTTGTGTCTGCGATTTGTGCAAAACCAATTTACGCTCATGCATACGTAAATATTTGCATTGAAATGAACGAACACAACCGGATTGCAATTATTGTTATAGGCAGGCAGGCGACTTGCAACTGCAGTTGCAAGTGCAACTGCAACCGCACGGCATGCGCACACATGCATTCGCATTGAAATTTGGCTTGGCACCCGTTGGCTGCTGTTTCCCCAAAAACCGAATCCCAGGCCGAAACCCAAGTCAGTGGCTTCGGTGAGGTCTACTCGACCGCTGACCTCTGGGCGACCATTTATCTCCGATGGCACGCTGACAAGTGGGCATTAATTCTAAAAATGTTTGGGCATTAATTAAGGGCCCTTCAGTTAGTAGCTGCAGGTGGATAAGGTCCTGTATCCTGGCTGGCTACAGTTTCACAGTTTCCATAGCCTGGGAGATGGCTGTGCATTGGACACTCCTGGGCCAAAAGCAATTTGTTAACACTTGCATTATTGACACATTTAATCCATAATTGTCAGCATTATTTGCCCGGATTAATTTAAAGCCATAAATTGAAATATAAAAGGGTTATAAAACCCACCTCACTCTCCTCCTGTCACTGGCCATAATAAATATTTTTAAATGTAATTTCACTCTCTCTTTTCCGATAATCAAAAACATACAAAAAATGCGAAATAATAATTGCTGCCACAATTTGCCTTCCGTTTTTTGTCTAGGCTTGTATTTAATCATGGCGGCAAAGTCAAATACTTAATGTTTAATAATCCATAATTTGCATATTTATCTGATGGATGTTCAATGTAAAAAGTGCCAGCTAAGAGTTAATTTTGTATTTATTTCTTTTTCAATATTTTTCTATTTATAACGCCGACCCCGCCATTTCCAGGAAAATCAATTAATTCAAGTTGTGCACTAAATCTGTTGCGTATATAAATTAGATACCTCGCTGGTTAGTGATATGCAGCCAATTAAAATATGATATTTGTGCGCCTCATTAAATCCCACTAACCGCTTGCCTCAGAAACTGTTTAATTAATTGCAAATTTCGAGGGCTTTAATTAAGTGCCGTGAGTTAGAAAAACGTGCTAATTGAAATTCACTTGACAAGCCAATCGATTTGATGTACTCCTATTCCCTTTGCTAACTATCTAGTTGATAGCTGATAGTTTTACCAAAAAAAAGGTTTTAATTAATCAATTTACCAAGTCCGTTGCCCAGTTCTTTCTTGATTTATATCCCATTCCCATTGATAGTTGCAATGTGTAATTTACTGAAGTGTGAACCCTCTCTCTTATCACTTTTCTTGCACCATTTGCTGCCCCACTTTGCAGTGTCAACCCGGGCTACGCAACAGACTTGCAATTACTTAGCAAAATTAAAAAAAAAAAAAAACACCCTACAATTTTACCCCATTTAATTTGAATGTGCCACGTGAGTGGGCGGCAAATTAATTATGGCAAAACTGCACCCATTGGATGACAGATGATGATTGTCTTCCAGGGACAATAAACATTCACTCGCATTGTGTCCACTTTGTGTCAGCGCATAAGTACATGTATTATATAGTATACTCGTATACATATACAGGTGGAACAGGTGCTGATTAAATGGCTGCCATGGGTATTAATAATCCTGCAAAGGTCTTACGATACTATCCGCTTAGTGTAAAAGGAAGTGAAATTTTTCAAATAAATCTTGTTTACTGCAAGTAAATATTCTCAAGCAATTTTTTCATTACCGACTCCTGCTTATTTTTTGCATAGTTTTAGGTGGGGGCACTCCGCCGGATTTCCATATAAAAAACAAACGCCCACGGCGAAGCTATAAATTTATTGCTGAACTTTAAAATGCCAAGCCGCAGCCACTTGCCCCTTAACACTTCTCCGCCGGCGAAAAGTTGACTGGAGGGTGAGCCGACTGTATTTTTCGCAATTATCCTTGAAAACTCAGCATCGAGACGAGGCGAGTCAAGCTGAGGGACTGACTGCATCCCGAAAGTTGCAGCGCCAGCAGGAGCAGGAGCATGCCGGCGGAAATGTGTTTTTGCTGGGTGTTGAGTGACTGCGAATAATTTATTAGCTGCGTGAAAAATAATTTATGTTGAGTTTTCCCCTCTCTTTTATATATATATATTTCTCTTTTTTTTTGTTGCACACAGTGTGCATTCAGTGGGCGTGACCGGTGGGCGGTGGTCGGGTTTAGTTTTGGATGGGCAATCGGTCAACAGATGCAGTTCTTCTAAATTAAACAATCTGCTTGCTGGGTTTAGAAAGAACTGATAAAAGTTTTAGGGCCACTGGGTTGCGGGTGGCTAACCCGACTAAGCTTAGTTTTAAAAGCACTGAATTAGCAAGTAGCGTGTCAAAAAAATGTAAAATGTATGTAGAAAACGGTGATTTTCGAAACTGTAAGAACTTTTTAAGTTTCAAATCTCTAAAATTAACTATTTTTAGCACTTTTTCATATAAAATAAGTATATAGAAACCAACTTTCTATAAGTTAAAGTCTGATATTTTATTAATTTATAATTATTACTGGAGTACGAATACATTTCACATTTAAAATATGACGAGAATTGCAACAAAGGTTAAAGAATCCTACGCAACTAAGCGGGGGGCATTGCATCCAATCGAGGGATGCCAACCCTCCTTCTCCTTGTCCTTGTGTTCCATCGATTGATTTGATTAGAATTACGTTTCGAGTTCGCATTAATGATTAAAACTAGCAACTAGGTGTGGTTGGTTTCGGAACCTCCACATTGGAGCACCGGGGTGGTGATCGTGGGTCGTGGGTCGTCATGTCACTTCACTTCGTCCTGGCGCTGCGTAAATTCGATGCGGACAGCACCGACCGCGGCGGTGGCGGGCGCTCCAGGTTGTCCATGTGGTAGCGGCGCGTTGACGTGGAAGTCTCGTTCTTTCGGCCCAGTCGGCTCAAAGTGCTGGCACTGGTTGCTCCATTATGTGGCGGCGGCTTTCGCGGCAGTGTGGACATCTGTAAAATAAACAAAAATATTACAAAATTTTACTAATCTAAAAATATTGATAATGATAATGAATCTATTTTGAATCTTTTCAACCCATTAGCCATATTTCAAGACAAATAAAGACAACAACCTAGGGCTTTAGTTCACAGCTAAATATGTTTTCGTCGTTTTGGCAAAAACCAATTAAAAATTCCAACAAATTTGTTCAGACTTAATTTTTCGATCACCTTTGTTTAGTGATTCTTAGACAGACAAAAACCAGTTGCAAGTCTTAGGTTCTTATTGAGCAGAGAACTTAAATGATAATTTAATGAATAAGCAAGCTTGATTTTCGCTTTCACAGGTCTTCTTTGATTTGGAATTTTAATTTTATAAATAATTCTGGCGGTGTATAAAAAAGTCATTAATTATACACCTGGAAAAGTTTATTTACATTGGAAAAATATCAAAGCTTTTAGAAATTTTAGAAGAAATTTAAAAAGAACAATCTTTTAGAAATATAAAATGATTTCTTCTAACTCACCCGCTTATTTTGCTCCTGTGAGTAGTTGATCTCGTATCCCTCGCTGATGTGCTTGGGCTTCCAGGGAGCCAACATGGAGACTGACCTGGAGACAGTGCGGGTCATAGGTTGAAGTGGAGGCGGCTGCTGGGGCGCCTGCTGCTTGCCCTTGCGAAGGTCATCGCGTGACATGGACCGCCGGCGCAGGTTATATGGCTGTGGGATGTCACCCACCGTCGTGGCATGCAGATAGACCACGCTGCGCTGGCTGTGCAGGCTGGACTCGCCCTCAGTGCCAGAACTCTCAGCCGGATAGCGATCTCTGCGAAGACAATAGATGATCAGTTTTTAATTATCTTCTAATATATCACCATCATACCTTCCATAGCCCACATTTTCCTGACCCAAGCCGTTGAGCAGTGCACGGCGCTCGGCACTTCTAGCCGGCTTTGGTGGTCCCAGCAGCGGACGATCCTCGATGCGCTGGCTACGCGGTCCATCTACCGTTCTCTCCAGCGACATGGCTCTCTGACTGCTCCTCTTATGGCGCTCTGCCGGCTCTGGTTCCGAGCCGCTCTCGGAGATGTCATGCAGTTCGCGGGAGCGCGAGTAATGGCGTCTCTTCCGGAAGTCCACTTCGTCGCTGCCATTATCCAGATGCTGCATGGAGCTGGCCCGCTGCCGACTGCCGCCGCTTTGATTCTGGACCTTAGCCTGGCCAGCGAGCGTATGGCGGTAGTCACGGGCTAGTGGCGGAGGACTGCGGTCCAGGTGGTAGGCACTCTGCGAGTGCTTTGACTGACCCAGCGACGGACGACTCCTGCAAGGCATCAGATAAAGATCTTCGGAAAAAATTCAATCTTAATATCTCTTACCTTGGCATGCTGGTGGCCTTGGAAATGGTTGGTGGATTCGAATCCAGGTCGGTGTCGCCAAAGAAGCGCAGATTCTTGGCCGGAGCAGCTGTCGTATTGCGTTTGGTCCGCTTCAGGCTCGAAGTTGTCTCACTGTGTCCATTGACGGATACATTGAGCTGGAAGATCAGCAATGTTGATTACAAGGACGTCTATGGAAAGGTTTTTCTAAGCACTTACCTCCTTGGGACTGCTCTTGGCTCGCCGGTCCAGGGATCTGAACCAGCTTGTTTTCTCGACCTTCGCCGGGGGCGACTCCTTCGCCTTTGGCTGCTTTTTGGGTGGCTTGTCCGCTGGACTGCGCTTCACCAGCAGGGGACTAGCTTTGGGCGTGGACAGACGGCGTCGCATCGAGATATCGATAGTCTATAAATTTGGGAAAATTCTCATTAAAGTACTTAAAATATATATAGCCATGTTATTAATGTACTATATAAATTTAATGGCCCAAAAACCGAACATTAATTCCCACAGATACTGCCAATTGACGACCAATTTGATTGATATTATTCCCTACACAACCTCAGTTCGATGTGGTGGGCGGTTTGCTTTCGCTTTCGGGTCAAAGGTCGTCCTCTCCCACTGCCTCGCAACAGGTTGCGAATGTGGGGCAGGTGGCCTTTATGCGCGTGGCCAAGTGGGGGAGTTGGGCATAGGCGAAGTGGAAGGGTAGAGGAGTGGTTGCCCAGCCAATAAACTTGTTTTTGCCATTTGTGAATGCGACTGTGAGACGTCGGCTCGTTTTGGCCGGCCCAATGCAACTTTGGCCCACTTGCGGTTGAAACTGTAATAGGTATTCCGATTTAGGCATCAGCCAGGGGGCGGTGGGTAGGTGATTGGTTAAGGCCGCCCTCCTCCCCAAGCCGAATATTGGATTTCAAATTGAAAAGCGACTGCAGGTGCCCAACCCCCCGAACTAGATCTTTTATGTGAGACCCAACAATAAACCAGGGATTACGCACCCACTAAATCATTACGTATTCAAATATGCCCAGAATATGCGACGGCGACTCCCAATATAGTTTATGACCAAGTTGGGGGCCCCATAAATAAACTAACAGAATTATTGACACAAATTTCGGCGGTTTCTCTTTCTCATGTGTGTGTTTGCGTTTTTTGGTCATGTAGAATCTCTGGAATGAATGGCAAGCACTTAAAGATTTCTGCGGAACACTTCGGGCGGCATGTTTTTTATTGGATGCCCCCATGAATAATGGCAGCACATTGTCTCGGGATCCCGCATCCCTGGCTCTTTATAAATGCCTCTATCACGCAAGCATAATTTTTGACAACGGTCCGAGGCAGTGGCCACACCTTGTTCCCAAAAACTCCTGCAGGATGGGCTTACTCTCCACCTCTCTCTCTCTCTCATATATTCCCTTTAACCTGGCTGATTGTAAGAGTTTTTAGGCCGCCCACTTGGAACATCCGGCAGAACGAAAAGTGGCCACATCCTCTAGCCCTCTTAGACTTGGCCAAGAAATCCGCTGAAGCATTGCAAATTGGCTTGCAGCACGCAGCGGCAGCAACAACAACAGCAACTGTTGCAGTTGCAAGTTGCTAGTTGCTTGTTGCGCAATGTGGACAGCAACACCTCGGCAACAGTAGCTCCCAAACGTTTTGCATTGCAATCTGGGCATAAATCCCAATCCGAATCCACAGCCAAATCTAAGCCCAGTTTATTCAATTTCCCCCGCCTCGATGTTTGTCGTTTCGCTGTCAGCTTTCTTAATTTGCGAGCGCACTGACAAACGGACTGACAGAGTGACAAACTGACTGGCTGCCTGAATGACAGAATGACAGCAGCTGCGTGGGTCTTCCACTTCTATATCTTACATTAAACTAAATATATATATATATATATATTCCGATGCTCGACCCTCGACGCTTTTGTTCTTGCTCGAAATTTATACGACGCCTCGTCGCTGAATTGTTTAGCTTTTTTTTTTTCGTGTTAGCGCTTTTCGTTCCGTTTGCAACTCTATTTGGCCAGTTGTCGTTTATTACTTAAGCGTAGTCTTACTTTATGGTCTTGGCAGCTTGATCCCCCCAAGAATCCCCTCCCAGAAGAGATGTACCCCAAAGTGGACGTGACGTCTTGTCTTGTCTTCTTGGCTTGGCACCATTTTCGGCTGATCTCCGACGCCCACCCGCCTGCCAAGATCGCGTTTCTGACCGGAGCAGGAAGTGGTTCGTCTTGGACCGACTTCGGCTGGTACTCGACCCGACCCTACTCCTATTGGTACTCCCCCAAAAATGTGTGTAAGACCCATCGACGCAAGTCTTGATTAATTCGAAATTAATAATAGCCGACCATGACCAAATGAGCCGCCGAGGGTCTGGACTAGTAAAAAAAAAACTCTATGATCTTGACCAACCAGCCGGGTTAATGACCGCCGGCTGGCGCCATCAATTGGGCATTAGGCCAAAGGGGCTCGCAGTTGCACAACAACAAAATCAATGTTTTTCTATACCTCGGCTTTTACATATCATTCTGTTGCTAAGCTAATATTTAAATAATTATAAACAGAAAAATATGTATCAAATAGAAAATAAAGTCACTCATAAGTTTTATGGAAATTAATAAAAGAATTTGAAATCATGACTTTATAATGTAGAAAAACTCACCTTTGGTTCGCGTGAGGTCTCCTGGGCTGAGGTGTGATGCTCGCGGTACCTCGACCGCATCTCCTCCTCTCTGACCATATAGCGCTCCCTCTCCCGTTCCTTCTCTCTCTCCCTCTCCTTATCCTTATCGCGACGACTGAGAGTACTACTGTTCCCATTACTCATCCGATCCTTCTTGCCACTGGAAACATTGCTACCGCTGCTGCGACCACTTCCCCCATTACTGGCACTGCCTCCGGCTCCCGTGAACAACTGTTTGACCTTCTCGAAGCCACCCAGCTTCTTGTTTCGTTTGAGAGTACTGGAATCCTCGCTCTTTTGGGTCTGTGACTGAGAGTGCTGCTCTCGGCGACGCAGCGTGCTGGTGGCAACAGGATATTTGTCCAGATGGGGATCAAAGTGTGATCCATCATCGATGGATCGTTCCCTGTAAACGTAGCTGTGTTCACGGCGAAGGCGAGACGGATTCGCCTGCCTTTGCAACTGCCGCTGCTGGGCGCTGTCCCTGCGCTCCTTACGCAGGAAGGACTCGCAGGCCCTCATGTCATCAAGGACGGTGCGTTTGCGCCATCTAGATAAGGGTCAAGAGAAGGGTTTTGATATAAAACAAATTTATCTTTGGTATTAATGCTTAAAATTGCTTTTAAGTACGAATTAGAAAATCCCCTACCTTGTGGTCAAGTCTCCATTGAAGGACTCCTTGCGGAAATCGTTCTCGATTCCCGAGTCACCCTTGTCAAAGCTTCGCTGCTGCAGTTTATCTCTCTTCAAGCTGCTCTGCCAGTAATCCTCTCGCTGCTCCCGCTGCTGATTCTGCTGGGCGCGCAGTTCTGGCGAGGATCGGTATTGATCCGTCAGCTGTGAGTCCAGGCTCTTGGGCTCGTGCTCCAATCTATCCGCTGAGTTGTAGTCGCGCTCTCGTTCCCCGATGCGTTCGCGATGCCGCGACTCACGCACCTGTCCATCCCGCTGCGTTTCTCGCACATAGGTCTCCTTGACACCGCCATGGCCGTCATCATAGTACTTGGTATGCCGATAACGAGAAGTTTTCTCCATTCTGGGCAACGTGGAACCGGTATCCACTTGGGTTCGCTCAGGAGGATACTCATTGGACAGTTCCTGGCGCACAGGTCTATGGAAGCGTTCTGGTTCTCGTTCGGGAGTGGGTCTGGTCACCTCCCGATTCCTGTCCACCTGACGTTCTAGGGTGGCTCCTTCCCCGAAACGCCTCGTCAGGATGCGCGTCTCCAGCTGAGCTCTTCTGTAGCCCAACTCATCCAAATAAGGAGAAGGACTCACGCTTCTGATGACTGGAACTATGGGAGGTTCTGCCCTTCGGGGAAACTCTTCTTCATAGTAAACTTTTCTGGGTTCGTAGCCCAGGCCTTCATCCTCATCGCTTAGATTTCGAGGACTAAGCTGCTGCCATGGTGAGGGCGAATGACTGGGCCTGGTAACCAGTGGAGCTCCATTGGAAGTGGGCGAGTAACTGGGCCTCACATCGCTGGCCCTCGGCGGTCTGGCCGGAGCAAACTCCCTTTGCGGGGTGCGCACATCCCGGTCTATGGGTGAACGACGTATCTGGTCCTCACCCAGATCCAGCTGGGCATAGGTTATGCCCTCATTGGGCCTTATGTAAGAGAAGGCCGGCTGACTGATCACCGGCTGTGGGGAGAATCGCTCCATGGACAACCGCTTAACCAGGCCGTCCACAGTGCGACCTTTGGTCAGCGGCAAGCGCTCCGCTGGCTGCTGGGAGCTGTGCATATTCTCGCCGGACTTGGCCTGCAACGTCTCAATCCGATCGCGGATGCCCGCCGAAATGGTAGGACCTCCCGATTGGAGGATCGAACCGTCTAGCTCTGCCTGTGAGCGGCTCCTAGCGAGCAGTTCGCTCAGACCGCGACCACTTTCATCCTTTTCGCGCGGCGTGACGGCGTCTGATTTGCGTCGCTCTCGTTCCCGGAAGTAGTCCTTCTCAAAGAAATCCTCCCGCTGCGCCTGCTCAATGATAGGACTGAGCTGCTGCTTGGACTGGCTGTTACTATGGACCTTGTCTTCCGCTTTCCTGGCTAGCTTGCTGCTACCCACATCACTCTTGCTGCGCACTAAACGCCTGGCGCCGCCGTCTTCGAACCGCGGGTCCCTATCCAACTGGCTGACATTCGTGTCGCTCTTCCTACTGAAGAGGCCAAAGATCGAGGGGCGTTTGCTGGCCGGTTTCTTGGTGGAGGCGTCACTGGCACTGCGGGTCACAGGTTTGCCTTTCTTACGGCGCGTGGGCAAAGAATTGAAATCACTGGGCTGGTTCTGGCGCTTCTGCTTGGCCCGGAAGTTGGGTATGTGGTCGCCGTTCTCGGCTTTGCTGTGATGTCTGCCCGCCTGGGCGATTACCAGGGCGGCCTCCTTTCGTATATCCTCCGGATCTATGTCCTTGGGCAGCTGATGGTAACTCGGCTGGTTACCCGACGACTCGTACTCACTGGGATGCTTGCCTGTAAGAGATCAGAGAGGAAGAATAAACGTTGGATTAACATACAATTGCAGAGGCTGTTCCGCGAACTAGTTGGCATTCATGTAAAGACAAATTAGCACATTAGCCGTCCGATGATGTAATATCTGGCAGGCAGCTGTGGCCAATTCACACTTGCCAGCTGCCAGTGGCTAGCCGATAGCTGCTAGCTGTTGGGTCGCTAAATAAGGCAGCCCGTTCCCGTCCAGACCAATTCGGTTCAAGAGTTGCGAGACTGGCCGTCTGACAATGGATCTGGCCCACGTCTGTCTTCTCTCGAGACGAGATGCTTTCGGTATCCGAGATACTCGGATCTCGTCGAACGCCTGCTCTGTAATCGGACGCTGTAAGCGCTAATGGCCATTGAAGTGGCCGGGACTGGTGCGGTCCCCGTTGATCTATCTCTCATAAAGATTCCTCCACTTCCTCACTTTTTTTCATAATCATTATTATTTAATACGCCGAAAACAACAGCAAAGGGGCCACAAGAACAAAACAGAAACGCCAAGAAAAACGTGCCGAAACGAGCATCATCATTGTGGCCAGAACGAGATGTGCTAGCCGAGATGCGTGATCTCTCCAGTCAGTCAGTCAGCCCCTTTTTCCGGCCAACTCTAGACAAGCTCACACAGAAAGAAATTTAAGTGCGAATCATAAACTACATCATATTATTTGCTTTCAAAATCTGCTTTTGTAAAGTTTCTTTTTCCCCACTGTAGCTTACACATCTCAGAACTTAACGCTCACTGACGAGATCTTTGGATCATCGGAGGCATCTCTTTTCAGCGCTGACCTTGCCCCGAGATCAACTGGACTTCTGTGGCCCTACCTGGCATCTCTCCACCTCCCTGTGGCCCAACTTCTGCAGAGCATTGTCCATTCACCTGCACAACCTGTCACATTCGCGGACCCAGCGAGCGAGAACCGCTCCCACATTCGCTTGGATCGTGCTGCAAAATGGCAAAGTGACACCGATGTCTAATCGAAATTCAAACAACAATGAATAATGACAGAGCTGGGCGTGTCGTGTGCCAAATTGGTTTAGCCGAATGGGATTGGAAATGGGATTGAAAATTGGACTGGATTGGATTGGATTGGATTGGTTAAAGGGAACATTCTTTGAGACTCTCTGTGAGACTGTGTTTTTAACTGCCTCTATCTAGGGGCATCTCCATCACCATCTCCAACTGCAATCAGCTGTCATGCGATATGTGTCAAGGTGAAAAGTTGGCTTGCTGCACCATCATGATGGCTCACTAGTCAGTCGTCTTGGCCAACTTACAAGGTTTCATTTGGTCGAGCCGGCGGCGTTTTGTATCTTTCTCGTTGTGTATGGTTTTTTTTTTTGAGGCAACAGGAAAACATAAATTCGCACTAAGCGACAGCATCAATGTCGGCTAACCGTAAACAGTACCAACAAGTTCCCAAGACCCTAAGACAATGATCTTGGGGCGAGTGCAACATTTGATTGATTACCAGGCGCTGAGAGCCATTCATTAATCTAATCATTGATCCACTTAATGTGGCCACGCCACTTCCAGCGGGCTCTGTGATTTGCGAGACCATCCTAGGCAGTTCCATGAAATGCGATCTGATCCGAGGCCGAGAAGGAGCTGCGAATTTTAATAACCTTTTTTGAGCATTTGGGAAAAGCTGGCGATAAAGCATCTGATCCACTTTTCCAACTGGTCTGCCTCTGGGCCTCTTTCAGTTGCAAGTTTTGGTTACAAAGTTCCGGTTTTAGTTGATTTTTTTTTTTTGGTAGCTGCACATAATTTGGCTGTCGTGATAGCTTGGCGACTTTGCCTCAAACACACTGACCAACTTCGTGGCCACGCACCACAGAAATCAGTTGCGATTCGCGAGACTCATATAAATAATGAAATCTCAACGTTTTTGTGGCAAGACTTTCACTTGCCGCGAATGCTTACAGGAGCAGGTCGTCGATGGTTTTACTTTAGTTTAATGATACCACTCAGTAATTGTCTGGGCATGATGATGATGATGATGACGACGACGACCTCCAGTCCGCTTCATTAAGCCAACCACAACCACAAAGTCGGAGAAGCCACCTTCATCCATCCCATCTCGTCCCAACCTCTGCCTACCGCTTCCCCTTCCCGATAATAGCAAAACGTTTTAGTTGGCAAAAATGCTTTATCCCCCGCTGGCCATGTCAGTGACAAGATAAGGTCGTGCCAAGTTGGCTAAATGGGAGCTCACCCGCATTCCTGCCCCCTCTCGCTACTGGTCTAGGCGTGCACTAAGAAAATTGAAATATGAAATTAAAAGGTAAGTGGATATCTGAGTGCTATTAGTTCTCCCATATTGAAATCCAACTATGAAAGGCTTTATGAATATATTTTTCTCAGTGCATGTCCTAGGACTGGCATGCTAAGGATCTGCGTAGGTTGCCATGGGGTATTTCAATTAACCAGGCGCACTTTCGATTTCAATAAAGGGCCCAGATCGGCTTTTATCTGGACTCTAGCCGAGACAGGTCGCATTTATTTTGCGTATGAAAATAATTTAATGCTCCTCCTCGGCTAATCGTGGCTGTTGGGAGCTCTCTGGACTGAGGACCTAATCACATCAAAAGACGGCACCGCGTCCTTGGGGCAGCCAAAGTATGCAAAGCAGCGTGTTGTGGCAATGCAACTGTGGCAGATAGTTGGCCAATTAAAATTGTTCGCTGACCAATGCGCCGCATGGCTTTCAAAACAAATACACCACAAACTGGTGAACTTTCGCTAAAGAATGGAGGCGATTCAAAAGACTGAGGCGACAAACTTGTTTCTCCCCCTAAGCGGCTGTCAACAGCAACAGCTATAGATTTAGCTGAAAAAGCCACGGCGAGAGCGGATAAACAAATAACAAATCACCGAAAATAAAATAAAGAAAAACCAAAGCTAAAAAGCCAAAAACCAAACCGAAACCATTCGACGAAAAAGAGTTAAAGAGCTCTAAAAATAATCTGCGACTCATTTCAATACACATTTCGATAAACAAATGACGCAATCGTCTGCAATTCCAAGTGATTTTCTGTTTCTGTGACAATTGAAGTTTCTGGGCACACGAGGATTTGTAAGGCAAAAGCGTTTGGATGATCGACAACTCCATTTAGCCGAATTTACCCGGGCTCTCTATATAGATTCTCGCTCTGCGAACGCGTATATATCATGTCACATAGCACGAAGCACTTCTGTTTCTTTTTTTTGTATTTGTATTTAAGAACGATAATGACAGGCGGGCCAAGAACCTGACTGAATCCAATATAAAAAGCGACTGAAAGCAATCTCCGGCGAACGGGCAGCAACCAGTCGACAACTGCGACTGCCTACGCCAATGTCACTCGGCAAAAATAGTTAATAAAAAAAAAAAAAAAAAAATAAATACAAAAAATAACAGCGAGAAAATAGTGCGAAATTTGTGGGCAGGCAAGCCAAAAATGAGACTTATTAATTAAGTTTCTTAGGCAACGCAAACGCCAAAGCAAATAAAACAAAACATATGCAAATGATGAATTAATAAAAAGCATAAATGGCATTTTAATAGTAGCCTTCCCAGCCCCAAAGATGGCACGAGAGCAAACAAAATAACAAAATTAAAACCAGTTGGGGCTTTGACAAAGTTCGCACTCGAAAGCAAATCAAATGTGGAGCTTGTGGCTTGGCCAAGTTGGAAGCGCACACAATTATGGAGACAAGGAAACGTAGCAAATCTCAAAATAATGACTTGCTCTTTGCCTAATTAAATTAATTAATTAAAGGTGTACGAGCTCATTAGAGAGCAGAGCAAATGGGGGAAATGGAGTCTGGATTGAGTGGGGCAGCATTACGCAATCCTACGCTTTTCTAGAGTAGTTAAAGGTGGACTTGTTCTCTCGCAAACGCCTTTTTGAAATCGGCCATCTAAAAATTATGTCATCGTACTCTGTACTTATATAGGAAATCAGGCAGATCAGGCTAGAAGGACAACGACTTGGCCAGATTTCGAACAAAAGGAGTCTCGTTAAGGCATTGTTCCCTTGCCTTTCGTCTCGTCACCTGTCGTCCGCCTTCGAAAAACAAAAAAAAATAAAAAAAAACCTGGCTAAGTGCATCCACCAGGCCCAAGGCAGAACAGCTGCCAACCTGACTCGTCTTGGCCAAATTTGTCGATCCGCAAGGTTGATCACGACGCTCGCCGTCTCCGCTAGCGAGGCTCACCTGTAACAGTGCCGTAAATTGTCTGAAATTAGTCGTCTTTTAGTTGATTTTTTACAGTCAACAACTTTGACTTTTGACTGCACTGTAATTTAGCAGAAAATTCACATGTTAACTTGCGGATGAAAAATGCTTTTTTTTCTCCTTTTGCCTTGTGCCCAGAGGGCGAATAATTTTCCACAAAAGCCACCAGATTGCTGTCGTCTTCGCTTAATCTCGCTGCTTTGTTGCGTCAAAATTAAATCATCATTAAATCTGTGTTTTACACATAATTGCTTTAATTTGCATGCAAAGATAGCGAAAGGAGAGAGGAAAGAAGAGGGCCTGAGATTCATTTTCAACTCTCGGTTAAATTACTTTAAGCGTTTGTGACTGCCGAGTTAATTTCGTACTTAAGACATTACTTTGCTAATTGTGGTTGCTAAATTCTTTAAGAAATTAAAAATGTGGGTCTAACTTTGGATAATAGAAGCCCTAAAAACATAAAATGTTACTAAAAAAATATCCAAACTACAATTTTAGACCTAACTAAGATTTTTTTATTACAAACAAAACAGCATTTATTTCATCTTATTAAGCAAAATATTTTTTAATTGTCTTGTTAAGACCTAATCAGACCTCTTAACCTTTGGTTGAAATCTTCTCTCACAATCTTCTTTAACTTGTGCTAGCGACGACCTCGCAATCAAAGCTAATGAATCGTGCCTGGTTGGCAGATTGCCTAATAACGTTACATTTTCGGCGACCTCGACTTGTTGCATTTGCCTAAACCAATTCAGAAATTGCAATTAACTTCGTTTATGTCCATTAAACGAGTTAAACCGAAATGGCAGCCATTTGATGCAATTACGCAATGGGGGAAAATCTGGTTCATAACCATTTTGGATTTCAGATCCACGCACAAGTGTACAAAAAGGACTTGTATGTGTGGTTAATTAGCCATATGGATATGGTCAAGACCATAAGCCATACCATAAGGAAATGCCAGTCGAAATGGCAGTTCTAAATTGGTCTGGGGGGACTAAGCTAAAAAATTAACATTTGCGCCGCTTTAGTCATAATCAATTTTTAATTTCTTCATTCCGGACAGTGGCCATAAATTCAATCCGGCTATGAAATAAATCCCATGTCGTTTGCTGTCTCGGCTGCCAGACATAATCATAACAATAATAATATAGTCGAAGCTGCGGAGACAAAGCGTCCCCATGTCCAGCTCTCCAGCTCTCCAGCTGTCCAGATGCAGTGGGTCCAGTTCAGTTTTGTCCCGTCCCACCCCTTCTGGCTTTCCTAGAGAGATGATCATGCAAAATGATACCCGAACGGCGAGAGCGAACATCTCTCGTTGGCGACTTGTTGTAATGCCTTATAAAATATCAACTTATTTAAAATAGTTATATGGGTGCTCTCTACTTTATGCCATAGAGTGTCTTGGTGTGTGTGTATTTGTGCGATTATTCTCAAGGTAAACTACATTTTATTGTTGGGGCGGCTTTGTTATTATTATTTTTATTGCTTTTGGCATTCGTTCTGGCTTTATTCGCCCACCAGCACGAGGTTTCTCATTGTTTTTCTTTCTTTTTGCCACATATGTATTATGGCCAAGTTACTTGTTTGTTTTTCATATTCATATTCTTGGCCAAATTTCAAAAGCTAGAAAAACTGAAGAGCTTCTCTAGCAGCGGTGGTTATGCAATCGATGGATGGTCGGATAGATGGAAAGCCTTTGGCCAAGTTAATGAGTTGCATTCGCGTGGGTAGTTTGGCGTCCGTCATTGATTGACCAAAATTGGCCTACTCACACACACAAACACACACACACATGTGAAAATATACGGGTAAGTTTTTTCAGATGCCACTTGGTTAGTAATTTTTGCTGTTGCTGTTGTTGTTAGCTGGTTATTGATGAGGTTTCTTATTTAGCTGGTTTTTGCTTAGTTTGTCATTAGAGATCTTTGTGGTGGGTTCGTGTTCGCCGCTCTCATTTGGCGGCTGCGCGTGTTGGTTATTTGTTTTTAATTTCTGGTTTTGGTTTTTGGATTTTTGGATTTTTAGATTGGGGTTACGATTGTCGGGGGAGGTTTTGGTTTCCTTATAAACGCACTGACCTATCCGCTTCACGTGCACATCCCGATTAAAGCTGACCCTTGGTCCTCCTCCGTTCGTGGCTCCACTTTGCATCTTATCTTGTGGCTTCCTACTTTATCCTTGGGTTGCTTTTCTGGCTAGTGATCTCTGATCTCTGTCTTTGATTTTCTCTCTCCTGTCGGGTCTTCTTGTAGTAGAATCGCAACCCTAAGTAAATTCTTTGTGTGACAGTCTCATCGAACTGTTTGAACTCTGCGCATTTTCCATTTAAACTAGGCAATCTAAATGGTTTATTTTAAGCTGCAAGAAGAAATAATTCTCTCAGTTAGCCTCTTTTTCTTTTGGTTATTGGTGTTATTTGATTATATTTCCAGCTTGAGTTAAGTTTGCAGCTCGTCGGTTAGCCTAGTTTGTGTTTTTCTGTTTTTTCCTTGTTTTTTTTTTTAGGTTTGTTTTTCTAGTTTGTTATTAATCTTTATGTACTGTACACAAGTATTATTAAAAGTAAATTAGTTAAGCCAATTTGATAGGAGGTTTAGGGAAAGATTTATTAGAAGATGAATAGATTCAAGAAATAATTACAATTTAATTTACTTTGTCATACTCTGGGACCCCTTGAAAGAGTATTAACATGACAGCAGTCAAAAGAATAATTGCCAATTAATTCTTATTCTTATTCCGATTCTGATTCTGATTCTGATTCTCAACCCAACTCCGACGCTCACACTGACTGATTCCCGAGTTTCGGGAGTGGGCACAATCGAATTGAGTTTTATTTTATGTTTTTTTCTTCTTTCTGACAAAATTACAAAAATAGACACACGACGAGGGTGCTTGGGCTGCATACGAGATTCAAATTCTGGCGTAGAGGGGGGCTGGGACAAAGGTGAGTCGGGAGTGCCTGAGAGGAGAAGACTGTAGAAATATTGATTGCGATTAAGCAAACGCGATAATATTCATATTTGAATACGAGAGTGCAAACTCTATTTAAACAATGCATTATGCCCGAGGACACTTGGACTGCTCAGCTCCAGTCTTTCCCGTATCCCCTATCCCTGGATTCCAGGTTTCCCCCTCAAAGGAACGTCCAGTTTAAACAACTGCTTCATGGACACGCACCCACCCAAGCGCACACATGCAAAGACTGCGAAATGAGAGACTTTAGAAAGAGCTTTGGACTTGCTAAAAATGTTGGATACCCTTTTAGTATTCTTAAAACCTTTGATAACCTAAATGAGTATTTATCTGCCTTTAAATATTAGTTAACAAAAATCTATAACTTTAGAACATTTAGAAACCTTTCGAAATCAAATATTAAAGAAATACTATTACAAGTTGTTTTTTGTTTTAGAAGTTAAAGCAAAACTTGCAGAGTATAACAAGAAGCTCGGTAAAGTGTGGAAAATGCCTGTCTATTATGGCACCTGGACAAGGACGAGGCCGCTGCTCATTCACTTACTGGCTTACTTACAAGCCGCAGTCCTACAGGCTATGGACATCCCTAGTTCATAACGAAAGCCCAGACCCAGACCCAGACCCAGATACAGTCCCAGTGCCAGTGCCAAAGCCAGTCCCATTCCCACTCCAGACTCTGAAGCTGAGTTTACGCTCTAACGAGCACAATCGCCCGGCTAGACATCAATGGCCACGTCGTCTGTCTGATCACGGGCACCGATGCAGTCCATTTGCAGGGGGAAAAACGCTGCGAGCTGCCAATAAAAATCCTTTACCATATAATTTGAGTGCGCATGCGTGCGCCCTGACGTTGATGGGAGCCAAGTTTCGAGTCGAAGTCCAGTCCTGGTTGGACCTGGAGATCGGATGGATGGGATGGAACGCAGGCGCTTATGCGCAATGCTATGCCAGATGCCGATGTCCGATTCCCGATGTCCGATGCCCGATGCCCGATGCCGATTGCCGAGCGTTGATTGCGCCATGAACGTGATTTGTTTGTAAACACGCATTATTAAGGTGTAATAAACATAAAATTTGTATCGCTTGGCGGACCTTGGAAGTAGTCGGCACTGCAGCTCTTTTTTGCAATTGCAATTGGCCACCTCACCTCATCCTGGCCCCCATCACATCTTTCAATTAAACTAAAAAGCTCTACTACTCCATTCACAGCTCAACTCACATTTGCATGCGTCTCGGGAGTAGCTAATTTCAGTTGAATTATGCGAAATTATATGAATTACGCCCCGTACATGTGGGAATGGGATTAGATTAGCGCTCAGAGTAAAAAATTTAAGATTTCCCCTCAGCTTTTCGCCCCCTTCCCTTTGCCATAATCGTTCTGAACTTGAACTTTAACACGACGGTAATGATAGGAAACCCCAGAACTCGAACCTGAATCTAAATTCAAGCCCAAACTCCACCCAAGTCTGGCGAATTCCCTCCGCACCAAGTGAAACCAAAAGTGCGCAGCAAAGCAAACAAACGCCTCGACTTTTTGCCCACTTTGCGTGTGTTCTCAGCGCCGCCAAGTCGATCTGACCTCTGGGGTTCAGCCAGCCGAGGGAGATCGGCTGGGTCCACTGGGAGAACGCTTGTTGGCCGAAAGCAAGCCGCACGCTTTCATTGAAACACTGGCAGAAAATTCAACGACTTAAAAGTATTTTAAGTACTAAAGGCAAAAGGAATAAGATGTATCTGAGAGGATTGTTTGCAGTAAGTACTAAGTAAAAGTATTAAAAAGTGTCTAACTAAATTTCTAACCATTTTTCCGCAGTGTATCAGCCAAAGCGGCCTTTCGCATAGAAGTGAAAATGAAGGTGTAGTCCAATTTGTAAGTATGGCCAAGCCCTGTGGCCATTCAAAGTCCATGTTATGCAAAGATCAGAGCAGCTCCGTCTACCCACCGCCCCCCTTTTGGAATGCTGAATACTGAATTCTGGATCCCGACTACTCCCTCTGGAGCGGAGGAGCCAAGCCGGCCTGAACTGGACGTTGTTGTCTAGCGATGGAAACATTTTTCCATGCGTGCCTCGCCGCTCCGCCGCTTTGTTGGTGGCGCTCGTTCGCGTCTTCGACTTTGGCAAATACTTAATTGCATTTCGATATCTATGCCGAGGCATCTGTGAGTGAATGCCGCTGCTGCTGCTGCCTCAGCGGGCCGACTGGCCAATACCCAATGCCCAATACCCCAATACCCAGTGCTCCAGACGGCCAAGAGGGGTGGACAGCCAAAGAACGCGCCGGCGCTGTCTTTGGTTAGGCCAGGAGTCGCAAATCGAGAATGGGGAATCGCGAATCGAGAGTTTGGTTTGGGCCAGGCCAATACCAATGCGTTTAGTTTGGTCTGGACTGGAGTGAAGTGGAGTGGAGTGGGCCTGAGACCCTGGCGACTGGCGTTGTGGGTATTGTCAGGTCTTACAACTAAATTCCCCTTGAGCCGAGCGCTTTACTAAGGAAATTAGTAATTGCTACTCCCATTTAGAGACATCTATGCGACCATCTATGTACGTGTGGCATTCGCCAGATGATGACGATGACAAGTTCCCCGCTCGGAGATTGTCTGGCGATTGTCCAGCGCCCACTCACAAATGTTAGCATGGGCGTGTAAGAGAGGGGTTTGCAATTATATTAGAACTATGCTTAGTCTTAGCTTAATATATTATATATAAAACATTTCCTAAATTCCAAAAATATCTTTGTATTCTAACAACGTTCTTTAACCCCTTTTAGTCCACGTCACTGGGACCGCCTACCAATGCCAAACTTAGTCACATTGTCTGTCATCGTTTTTGTTGCCGCTCCGCTGTCGTTTTCACGCTTTGTTAGCCAGCTAAACTGTATCTGTATCTGTATCTGAATCCGTGCTGGCCGAGAGGAAGAGGAAGCCTCCCTTTGTGCTAGTATCTCACACTCGGACTTGGACCACTATGTATGTTAGAAGGTTAATCTGTGCGGCATTACGTGGCAACTTTTTCGTGCCGTGTGGCAAGTGTCGATAGCATAATTGCAAGCTGTTCCCAGCTAAATACGAAAAAAAATGTAAATCAATTTCTTCGCTTACATGTCTGGGTATAATTTTTTTTGTATTTTTTTGCATGATTAATAATGCTCGAGCGGCCTGAGATCGCCGGCGGGCGAGAAAGAAGACAAAAGATTTCACTTTTCGAACTCATAATTAGCCCTGGGAGTGTAAGTATATCTATCGGAGGTGATGGAGCGCTGGATTCTATCCATGTCATTGCTGGTGGCTGTGCGACTCCTAACCTGCACGGAAATCAATTAGGCAGTGTGGAGATTGGACAGTAGAGAGTTCAGATCGATCGATCGATCATAAGTCAACAATCGCTTAAAATGCGACCAAAATGGAAGGAGAAGATGCGAACCAAACACCAAATTGGGGGGAAACTTTTAAGTATTAAAAAGATTTTATGATATCAGATTTTGACATATTAATGGCAAGAATATTTTCACTTTTTAAAGGTAACATTATTAAAATTGTATAGTTTCCAAAAGGCTTTAACTCTCAGGCCTGTTTGTGGAATGCTTAACCCTTTTTTTTTTGACAACTCCTGGCGCCACTCCTTGCTCCTCATTCTCATGCTCATCACTTCAAAACCCCCACCAACTGACTGTTGAATTCTTTGCTCGTTATCGCTGGAAATTCGCCAACAATTGTGCGCAATTATTGGCCAGAGAATCCACGAAACACGAAGCTTTCCCTGGGAAATCAATAAAGGAGGCAGCGTCAAAAAGCGCGGTGGCAAAGGTCAGCCAGCTCATCTTAAAGCTAGAAAAGAAAAAAAAAAACAGAAAAATAAAAACCCCTGGAGTCAAGGAAATCGAGTGTCTTTCGTTGAGTGGGAAAAGGGCGAACTTGCACGCGATGCTGGCTGACTGTTATTTTTCCTTTAAGCAAATCCAAAGCCAACATCGAATCCAAAGCCAAAAGCAATGCTGCTGCCTTCTTTGGGTCTGTAGTGCATGTCATAACCAACGGTGCATGCGCCATCTTCCGCCTTGCATAAGACCCCCGGATGGTTTCACTTTCCCGGGGTAATTAAAGCCGATCGTCCGGCTATCGGCTAGCTAGCGGTAGTAGCTGAAATCGTAATTTATGCTAATTTCAGTTTGCAGATCGTTTAATTGATCCGCGTTAGATTCGATTTCGATGGAGTGGATGGAGGAGGGTATTGCTACTGACTGTCTGAACTAACTCATTGATATGCATTCGGTTTCGATTCGGTTTCATTCCGAATGGAACACAAGCCAGCCAATGTTGTTGACCGCGAATCAAAGTCGATTACTTGTCGGACTGGCATACAAAGTACGCTTTCAACACGGCCTTTTCGTGCAATTGTGCTCCTCATTGGGTAATTCGGAGGAGAGGTGGCATGCGACTTATGGTAACATTATGAAAGCGTTACAAATCTTTACCTTTTTGAATACGACACTTCACTGTAGTTGTCCATTACAGATGGGGGCCCACTTCAGATGGGGCCGCTCTGAGTACGTGATAAGGCAATGATGATGATGATGACGATGATGACCCATCATAGACCAAATCGCGTCTCATTAACATTTCGGGCATAATCGATTCAGTTTTGAGTGGCCTGTTTTACATCTAATTTATGTGCATGTAGCAGTGTCTCTTGGCCAAATGATATCATGATGAACGGCCCACGTCTTGGGGGCGATCCGATTCTTAGAAATTCGTAATTGGCTCGCAGATGAAAGCGCCCCAAAACAGAGCGAAACAGGCGAAACTATCAGCCAATACATCAATTTAATGACTTCATTGAAAGCTAAAGCCTTCTCGAAACCCAAACTTAAATACAAAAACAAAAAAAATAAAACATTTAAAAAAAAAACAGAAGAGCCCGAAATACATTTTGGGCTTTTGGGGCTCATCCAGCTTCCCAGAGAATGCCGTTTACCTGTTTCCCAGGGCGTCGAGTTGCACCTGCTTTTTGCCCCGGCGACACTTGATATGCCCCAGAAAGGTCAGCTTTTGAACTCTGGCAGACAAAAAACCAAATTAAGCCAAACGAGCGTGTCAAATGCCTCTAATTTGCGGGGCCTGGGGCAGAGGCAGGGGCAGAAATAAACCCAATTGAGACCCAAAAGTACTTCCGCAGCAATCTATGAAGTGTCGTATGCCATTTACCGTTCCGTACGATCCGATTTGATTTGATTCAATTCCCGCGATCTGACTTCCGCCGAAGAGCGGCTCAATGCCAGGCTGGCGATGTTTGGGCTTTTAAATCGAATGCGACCAAATCAAATAATTTGTTAACACTACCGCTTAAGTCAACAGTTAAACAATCAGCGACCGACGTTGCCGCTTTCAGGCCGATTGCGCCACAGACATTGACAGACATTGATTTTTTAAAGCCATTTGGCGAGTTTTGCCCGGCTTTTGTTTGGCTGTTGAACCCCCATGGGCAATTAAAGCTGCACGATGCCAAAGTGAATGTGCGGCGAGCTGCGAAGATCGGCTTCGCACTTCCAATCGATCGCGTAAGGTCACCAGGGAGTGGGTTATATCAAGCTGATTCCATCGAAACGGGAAGAAAATGTGTGTGTGATTATTATGCAGTCCTTACAAAACCTCGGCTGGAATTTGATATATATTGGTTTTGTAATTTTTCAAGTCATTTAACTTTTTATTTTTGGGTTTTTGATTAGTAATCAATTTGAAGTCTCCATTCTGGTTATTATGAAAAAGCAGCATTGCTATCTTAATATCAACTTCAGAAATGTAATAATTATATATTGTCTTTCTTGGCTCTAACCATAAGTGACTAAGTACCTGTATTCCATTAAAGTTGCTAGAAAACTGACATAACAACTGTATAAGCTTGTTTACTTAAATTTAACTATTATCATTATAGCTGGATTTTATTAACTTTTTACAGACTTTAATGGTAAAACAAACTATGAGTGGGATATTGAAATAAACTCAGAAACCAAACTTATCTAAGAACCAAGCTATGCCCATTGCTGCTAAGCAAACAGTTGCATTAGTTCCGAGAATGAACTCTCTGGCGGCGAGTGCCTTTGATCTCGGTGACTAATTACCGAGTAGGTGTACGTGTTAAAAGCCGGACACGGACACTGACTCAAAGCAGGAAGCTTCAAGGGGCACGGGTCACCAACGAAATCGAATACAAATGAAATACAGAAAATCGAAATGCTGGCTGGCATCGCCTTGTGCACAAATACAAATCATCCTTGACGCATGCACACCAAAAACGGCAGCCAAGTAAAAAAAAAATAAATAAAAGTTAACAAAAATATCGAAAAAGCTTGAAACTGAAAAACAAGATAATACGGAGGCAACGCAACTCCCAAAAACGAAAATGAAACAGGCCGTAGGACTGCATACAAGGCAAGGCTGTAGACCTTTTTTGGCCACATCAACAAAAGCGGCTTTTTCAGAATTTTCAATTTTTTTTCTGTTTCTGTTTTTGTTGTATTTTATTTTAAAACCTCCAAACCAAAGCGAAACCCCCTGAACCCCCGCCCAAAAACCCTGTATAAGGCGTCCCTCCTGATCGGAGGCTTCGTTTAAATTGACGTTTATTTCCAGACGATGGCGGTCGAAACTTTCGAATTTTTGGGCTTTAATGAGGAGTCGAGTTAATTTGGCCGGGCATTTGAAGAGGCTCACAAGGCTTTTGGGGTCCTGAGCTGCAGCTAACAAAACGAGAATGAGGTGTTTACCAAGGCACCTACAGAGACACAGCGATATATATACATATATCTGTACATATATATAAAGTATATTTTACCAGCTTTAGGCGTCCAGAGATACAAGTGACGTCATGGGCCTGGCATTGGCATTGAAACTCAAGGTTGGCTTGGTAAAATCTTTGGGGCAATAAACCGTCTCCCACGCCAATATACAAAAACTTATATATAAATATATATAAATTAGAACTGTCGAGTTGGCCTTAGTCCAAGTGATTTTTCTTATGCTCTTGACGATCCTGCCAGACTAAAAAAGGATGCGATATGTACATCGAATGTTTGGGATATAGATTTGATAGGGCCAAAAGATCGCCCACCACAACGATTACGATCTGCGCATAACGCACAGATGGCAGGCCAAAAAACCAGGCTAACGTTTTCTTCACGTCCATTTTTTTCTTCGGTTTTGGTTTATCTTTGGAACTTTGGAATATATCTGAATATATCGAGATTACTATGAAATGAGCACTAACTCCCTGGCGATAGGGTTTTCGATTCTGATTTGTTAATGAATAACAAATAGCTTTGAACCTGAATTCAAATGTGCCGATTCTAACCAATTACTTATGTATATTTGGCCAAAAAGCCACACAACAGCCATAAATATAAAATTCCTAATCGTATTAAAAGCCAAAGCTAATGTAAATTTCGCATTTGCAATGCTAATTTGTAAGAACCAATATATATATAGTTAACCTGAGAGTAAGCAGATTTAAAAGATTCTCTCTATATATATATATTTTAAAAACGATCAAAACTTTCACTCAACTTGGCAGTCATCACTAAAAAATGTTTGCTTTCAGTTGAGTCGAGGCCTTCAGAATTCTATTTCCGCCCGAAAACAATAAAGACGCTCGATCGAGTTTTTTCCTCTTTTTTTTATCAACATTAGAATTGGCTATTGGTTATTAATTTGCATCCCCATTCAAAAGACCCGCCGAAGGTTGTTAAGTGTATTTGTTAATGTTAATGTTAATGCTGGCCAAGAAGAAATGAGAAAAGAAAGTAGATCTTCTTTGGCGAACTCAAACCGAAAATGACTTCCAATTAACCGGATCGGGCGAAAGGTTGAGCGGTTCAATCAGTAACTTCAACTATAGCTCTGACTCATAAATTGGCGTGTTAATGCGTTGGCCGACAGTATTCTATATACGGATATGGAACACCCACCCACATAAGTGTGGAACTGGGACACACTATTCGGGGGGTCGTAAAACCCACTGCAGATCTGTTATTTCGAGATTACGTTTTGCGAGGCTGAATTATTCAAGAGCATTCGCGTACGAGTAGATAGCCAGGGCTTTTTAGTATGGATAGTCCGGAGATCCGTTACGGTTTTCAGTTGGTTATCAGCGTATAAGCATCTACGGCGTTAGCTGGCGGTTTTAGGGTGGTTCTACTGTACAAAATGATCGTCGACTCACCTCAAAACAGCATTCCTCGTGCGTTAGTGTGGGGGAGAACAAATGTTTTTGCAGTTCTAAGTAATTTGCGCAGTTCTAATTACGTTTATTTTGTATTTTGATGTGGGTTCGTTTTTTGCGGCTTTTGTTCCCCCTTTTTTTTGTTGTATTTTGTATTTTGTATTTATTTTTTTTATTTTTGTTATTATTTTTCACTTGCCAAGTGTCGTCGCGAAAACTGTTGCTTATTTGCAATTTATATTTGTCGCTTTTAAAGGCTGTCGAAGTTGGAGTTTTGGTATGCACGTCAAATTTTAATTAGTCGAAAAACGTTTGCACAATTTAGCCAAAAATTTATCACGATTTGTGTTTGAGATTTTGTGTCGTTTTGCGTGGGTTTCGCTCAACGGTTGAATGGACGTGCCGATGGTCGTTGGTTTGTCTTAAACTTTATATGGTATTGGCATGGAGGATCGAACGATATATCCTCTGTGGCAGATGGGCGCTGGCCAGTTCGTTTTGGTTATATATATATATAATGTATATATATTTTTGTAATTATTTATTTCTGGTAATTGCGAACGCGACGCAGTTTCGTTTTGTTTTCAGAGCTAAATCACGAGCTTTTCTCCGGCCCAAGTGATCGCGAGTACGTCTGAGAGCCGACTGAAGTTCAGAGCCAACTTTTCTGGCCAAGATCGCTGCCAAAGCTCGGAACTCTGAGAAATAGAGAGATCTCCAAACACAGAGAGAGAGAGAAAGAGAGAGAGAGGGAGAGAGCTTAAATCGGGCCAACAAGTGGCGCAGCAACAAGTAGCCGGTGTTTACAGAGAGCGATCGCGATCGCTGGCAAGTTCGTGTTCTGGAGTCTTTCGTTTTACGAATATGAATCAAATCAAGGTTCGAGTACTCACTCGAAAACAAGTGAAACCAGATCGCCCAAACATTCTTGGGATGTTTTCCTACGCGCACGCTGGCCAATATGAAAATGATGTTCCTGCCTGTTCCGACTGTCAACCAGTTTCCCCCACTGGCTTCTGTTCTGTTCGGTGACCCTCGGCCAGCTGCTCATCTGCTCATCCGGGCAGTTCTCCTCCTCCCCTCCTTGCCATCAGGCCACTCCCACTCATCAATCACTGGTCATTAAAGCCGAGCACTAATTAATTCATCTTCTAGATACAACCGAGCAGGCGCTAATCCCTGGCCACAAAAGTAAACAAAGCGTAAAATATGCCCAGAACTTAACACTCGAATATCTTTTAAATAAAAATACAGTGCATCTTCTGTTCCACGAATTTTCCAGAATGGAAATATCTGTTCGGGCTTTTCAGTTTAACTTCTTCTAGATAACATAGATAAATGTTCTATGGCTTCATTATAATTCCTAAAGAAATGAAAGCCAAAATCACATCATCCTTTCTTCAGTTCAGTTTAAGATGGCACGTTAGTACCACAAATAAAGTTAAACTTTTAAGAACGATTCTTACTTCGTGAAGCCCCTCTGTATTCACATGCTCGCACATTTGCGCGTTTATAGCCACACACTTGAATATTTGAATATCACAGTAATTAATCAAAAAGTCAGAGAAATAAGCAGCACATTCAAATAAATCATCGATCGTCATCGTCGGTCAAGAAACTATAAAGCACGTCCACTCCGTACCCTCAACCCCTTACCACCTCTTATCGAATCAAAGGAACCCATTTCGATTTAATAAAGTTGTCAACCCACGATACTGGCGTGTGAAGCGCTCTTTGGCTATACACAAAGAAAAAATATTGTTACTTAAGTTAAATATTCATGTTTTATTCTATTGGTTGGATTTAAAATTCTCTGGGATTAGTAGATGGAATTTTAAACATACTAACCCTCTAACTAAAAATGATATATTTTTTTCTAAACTTCACCCTTTTCTTTCTGTGTACTTTCGTAAGTCGTCAAGTGTTCATTTTGCATTCCGCCTTCGAGTGTTTAATTGTGCGCCACATAACGGTAAACTTAGCGAAGGCCAGTGAATTTTCGGACAGCCATCCTATTTTCTGCTCCCCCCCTTCGGAAAACGCATTTTATGAATGAAAAGCGGGATGCAAAAAGCTCGACTTTTCCCCTGAGCTTTGCTTTAATGCCTCTAGGGAGCTTTGTGGAGGAAACCCGAAAAGTGCGCGGAGCTTTAGTGCGAAAAACACATTTTCACGAAGCACATTTTCCATTCTGTTTGTTGTTCTCGCTGCGTGCGGTTTGTGTTTAAAATTTATCACGAATTTGTAGGCTTTAATAATCAATTATAGTTTTCCTTTCGACATTATAATATCTAGCAAATATAGGCTAATACGGTTTAACTGTTAAATTAATATTCATAGCAGAGTGTCATTGCAAAAATGTGCGAATGGCATCATTTGGCCAGGCCAAAAAACGTAAAGACCCCTGTGATATAAGCTGGCCACAATGGCCATAAAAAGCTCCTTGGCAAGTGATTCCGAGCTTTCGTCCCGTTAGTCCCGCCATCAGCTGACCTGGAGCAACAACAACCTGTGCGGAGAAGAAAAGTTTCGCGCTAAAAATAACCAAAGTTCATGGTCAACGTCCTGGAACGGAGTGGGTAGACTTAATCCCTGACATTCGCATCCCGATATGGCCCTGATTCGCTGCTGCTTTGAGCCACCGGAACTGCCTGAGTTCTTCGACAGCTTCGTCCAGAAGTGCACGGATCCAAGCTGTAAGTAGAATTAAAAAGTAATCCTGGCTAATCCCAGACTTAATTATAAGTTTAATATTTGCGTAACTAAGTCCTATAGAAGACATGGTTAAAAACCCAAAAAACTCAGTTGGCTTAAGTGATTTAAAGTACTTAGTTCTTCTAATTTTTTAAATATATAAATCTAACTAGCTACACATTTTTTTCCTATGTAGGCTTCGTATTTATATACGATTAAATATAATTATATATTTTATGAAACACATTAATTGAAAATAAAATTAATTATAATTTATTTCTAAAATCTATAAAAATTATCCAAATGTTTTTAAGTAAGTAAACACATTGTATTTCAAAATCCTTCTAAATAAATTGCAACAAAAAGACAATTACTTAAGAAGAAGATTCAAAGTACATGTTTCAAATCTGCACAGTGGTCAACATAAGAACGATTCCAATTAGAATAATTATTTTACAGTATGACTGTGATTTTACACCCCACTCTACAAAGTATTTGCATGCACTCCTCGCACGGTCACACCGCGGGCCTATCGATAAGTCAACGGAGAGTGTCTGACTCAAAAGGAAAACAAAAGAAAAGTCTCGTTTCGCTCTTTTATCGCAGTTGTTTTATTATCTAATGCTGCGATAAAGAACCCAAAGAAGCGAATCGCGACGCCAAAATGCCTGGTAAGCGGTATGCGGGAACAGGTGTCATTCGCTTGGCGTGCCACGGGCCATTGAGCTAGATGACCTCGCAACCAGGGGCATTCGGCCAGGAATGACGACACCGACAAATCGATGGAGTTGGGTGGTAGAGTTATTGGTTGGGTCAGGACAGACGACGGGTGGCGGAAGCCATCAACCAGCGAGCGATGAGCCGTCCAATCACTCAAACAGCGAAACTATAGTCCACTATGGCAATTATCGCGATAAGATTAAGCGGAAAATGGTGGTCGCACCCAGTCGACCTGAGTCGGTTTTCACACTACCACCAGCAGCACCGCCACCACCACCACCATCATCACTCTTTCCATCGGAGCGGTGGCGCCATGTTCACCTACCGCTGCATCCACGTCTGCCTGCCAAATCCCTCTAATCGCTGTGCCTTTACCTGCGCTCTTTTAGGCTGCTGCGGATGCTGTTCGGCGCTCAGGCCGCGCTACAAGCGCCTGGTGGACAACATCTTTCCTGTCAATCCAGAGGACGGATTGGTCAAATCCAATATGGAAAAGCTGACCTTCTACTCACTGAGTTCGCCGGATAAGCTGGACCGGATTGGAGAGTACCTGTACCAGAAGGCCACCAAGGATATTAACAGAAAGCGATACAAGTAAGTGAATCAACAACCTTATTAGATATGAACTTATTTTGTTGATTCCCAGGCTGGCTGAGATCGCCATGGAGGCGATGGACTTGCTGCTGCAGGCATGTCATGCCCAGACCACTCTCAATCTTTTTGTCGAATCCTTCCTCCGAATGGTGCAGAAACTGCTTGAGGACTCGAACCCCAACCTTAAGATAATGGCCACCAATTCGGTAAAACCCTTCTACAATAAACTATAAACTGCGCACTAATCTAAATTTTTTATTTGCAGTTTGTAAAGTTCGCCAACATCAACGAGGATACACCGTCGTACCATCGACGATACGACTTTTTCATCTCGAAATTCTCCTCGATGTGTCACAGCGATGCGGCCAGTATGCGAGACAGTCTGCGTTTGGCGGGAATAAAGGGCTTGCAGGGCGTCATCCGGAAAACAGTATCTGACGATCTGGTGGAAAACATCTGGGAGGCGGAACACATGGAGAAGATTGTACCCTCACTGCTGTTTAACATGCAGGTATGTGTTTACTGGATTTTGATCCCTACCCAGTCGTCCGGAGATGGATGCATCCATCCATCCCAGTTGTCTGTCCCATTGGCGAATTATTGTACTAATTTCGATGTATTTTGCATTTCGTTTTCGTGTATTTTGTTAATGCAAACCAAACCTAAACCAACCACAACACAACCAACACACAACAATAACTAAACAGTTTTGTGTAAACGTTATGTTCGTGAAGAAAAATTTACTGGCGGTAATAATAGAATCGAATTTTTCCATTACATAAGCATTACTTAGTGAACGCTGATTAGTCACGAAATCACCTAGTTAGATCTTAATATTAATATATTTTTTATAACTGCAGTCCGGTGATCTAACACCCGTAGAGGATGCCACCAATGTAACGCCGCCGGCATTGGCCGAGGAGGTGCTCCGGGAGCTAGTAGGTCGCGCTTCCTTCGGCCACATTCGCAGCGTACTGAAGCCGTTGCTGACGTAAGTAGCACAGCCCGGAAGTGTAGACACCCGTTGCTAATCAAACGTTTACCCTTCCTGATTTACAGCCATCTGGACCGACATGAGCTGTGGGTTCCCAACACTTTTGCGATTCACACATTCCGCATCGTGATGATCTCCATACAGCCGCAGTATTCGTACACCGTGGTGGAGACGCTGATGCAGCATCTGGACAGCAATTTCAAGTCCTCTCCCAAGACCCGCACCTCGCTAGCCGTCGTTTTGTCGAAGATTATTGCTATAGCAGCTGGTGAGAGTGTCGGCCCCTCGGCCCTAGACATCATCAACAATTTGCTGACCCATCTGCGAACTAGTGTGAGCACTACCAGCGAAATCACACCCGAAGAGTCACAGTATCAGGAGGCGTTGATCAACGCGCTTGGCGAGTTTGCCAACCATCATCCGGACTACCAAAAGATCGAGATCATGCTGTTTATCATGAACACGGTTCCAGATCTATCCAAGAAGAGCAAGGGCGATCAGATGCTGCAGAACATTCTGCTTAAATCGTTGCTAAAAGTGGGCACCCAGTATAGCACAGTCTCCTTCGAGAAGGCCTTCCCCGCCTCCTTCCTGCAGCCGCTGCTCAAAATGGCACGCGCTCCCCACAATCCCACGCGCATGGTTGTGATGCAGATTTTGCAAGCTCTTCTTGATCGCCATCAAAATGAACAGGTGCTCAGCACGGTCAGTGTGAAGCCATACCCGGCTCTTTCCCAGGAGCCACCATCACGTTCGGACATAATTTTCACGCACAAGTACGGAGCCAATATTATGCAGGCACTGATCGATTCGATGGCGCTATCGGACCGGATTGACGCCTTGTCCTCCAGTTTTAATACCGCCGCCTTGCTCATCGTCGAGATGTCTTGCAACGAGACTGTTCAGGAGTTCCTTCTGTTTATCTTAGGGTAAGGTTACTTGTTTAGTGCATAATAAAAATTTGTTAATTCTTTTCTTCACTTTCAGAATTCAGCAGGTGGCCAACACCGTGGACACTTTGGGAACCGTGCACAAGTGCAGCCTACATGCTATCTCTATTGCCCTGCTGGTGCTAATCTCGCGGGTGAGTGGCATCAACAACCTGCTGGAGTATGCTCAAAAGATAGTAGACGCGCGGCGCGAGGAGGCCACCCATTATCTACCTCCTTTGCTAGAGCCCAAGAAGATGTCAGGAAAGAACTTTAATTTGTCGTTGCCGCATCTTGCCATAGACAAGTTGGCGCTGGGGGAATGTCTGCAGAACGCCGGCATGGATGCCCAGCGCCTCAACACGGGAGCTCCATACTCGCTCAACCAGACGGATCACCCGGGCCATCGCCACTCTTGGGTGGAATCGGTGAGCAACCAGTTGACGCAGCGCAACAGCTCAGCTGATCTGACCGTCTACAACGGAGATGTAGACAGCGTTAGCAGCTCACCAGGCGTGTGCAAGAAGCTTTTGGCCCCGGAGTTCAACTTCGATGCCATGAAACGGGCTCTGGCCGAACCCACTGAGGCTGCCAAGCGGGAGCAGCGCGAACGGCAGATGCAGATCGTTCGCACCTTCCGTGAGGGCGAGTTCGATGATCTGATGAGACGCACAGAACCCAAGGTAAGCAAAGTGATCTGAATTTGGTTTACAATTGAATATATTCTTTTAAAAAGAAACTTATACTAATACCGCTTTCCCCTATCATTCACAGCACGATCTCATCCAGAACCGTCTGAACGAGCTATTTAACTCGCTGGCCGTGGAGCGTCAAATCACGCAGAGTGACACCAAAGCCGCTCAATTACAAGCTAGCAACGAGAAGCCGATCTACGAGACGAACTTCCCCGAACTTTTTTATTACTAAACCGTATTCCTTGACCCGGAGACCTTTTCTGGCGAATATTCTCCGCTAATTCACACATACCTAAACCCCTAAAAGCGAATTTGTTTGGTGTCTGTATGGAACTAGTTAAATCTAATTAAATTTTCGGTTGTTAAATGCAAACAATTCAATTGTTAATCCACCTTGGATATGTACTTTGAATTAATTGTTATACAAATATATATGTATACAAGTATCTCTCAGTGTGTGTATTCAGATCTTTTCAAAATTCTTCTCTAAAATGGGACGCTCTAAAATGAACTGTTCAAAGAGGTCAAGACCTTTCTGTCATGTATCAAAGGCGACTTCAATCAGTGGGCATTCTATCCGAATGCTCAGAAACGGAGGTAATGGACGTAATCCCTTCTTTCGCTTTCTGGCACACTTTCGGAAATGTCTCATCGACTTGGTATGCCACTTGCCCTCAGATGAGGTAACCCAAATGGCCAGCAAGATTTGGAATTCCATGAGCCCGGCAGAGAAAAAACCTTTCGTCGCTGCTGCCCGAAACTATAGTTACACCTTCCGATCGCGAAGCAAAAAAGTTAACTGGCTGCTGCAAAAACTGCGAGAATTTGCTGCTGCGGAAGAATGCCAAGCTCAATCGCTGTGGTTGCTGATGAACGGCATCAATTACTGGCAGAATTGCGTTCTGGATGATCTTTTAAACCTTGATTGACAATTGAAGCCAAGACAGGAGTGTTTTGAGTTATTTGTAATTTTTAATAAATGATCACTCAAGTTAATAGTTACTGTGCGTACATGAAGCGAGTAAAAATGTGTTAGGGACAGTAATCATATGCGTTGAACTTGCAGGATTCGAACACGCTTAAATGATAGTTTCTTTGCCGCGATTCTTGTTACTTAAACATAACAATCAATCTTAAAATTCTTAATTTACGAACTATGTGCAACATCTTCATTGTGCGAGTGCACAAGTAGCGTGCGTCTACTTTTAACAAGTAGATGACGTTAAGCGTTATTACAAGATACTAATGATGTAAACGATATACAAAAATATAGATCTACGCGTACCACAAACGATAGCGGATATGCCTAAGTTTAATGTACAAACGTCTATATCAGAATGATCAGCGGTAGCTAATCGCGATGGCGAAAAACGATTTTACAATTACAACTACAACGAGCCCCGGCCGCAGCGGGTATGAACAAAAAATGGTGGTAGTGGTGGTACTGGTTCTGTTTTTGGTGGACTATTCTGATGATCGTGCTCAGCACGCCAGTTGGCCGTAGATACCATCCGTCTCGGTTGCCGACCAAGCAATTCTTGGCCGTGGAGCTGGGGAGGATGGCGTTGAGGGCTCCGAGTCGCCAATAAAGACGGCAGAGTCGTCGGCACTGGCCGGAGTTAGCGGTCGCTCGCTATCTGCTCCGATCTCAGAAATGGGTATGGACAGCGACGTTGTCGCGTCCTCACTGAACGGCACAATCTCCTTGAAACTCTGATTCGGCGGCATTACCACCAGCATGTTAATAGAGATAAGCAGTGGATGTACCAGCTTGGGGTCTAGCACCATCAGGGGTACCTCTTCGTTCTTCTCGAGGCTAAGTGAACAGATTTCGGACGACTGGGTGAAGATTGGCTGGCGCTGGGCGTTTATCGACGTCACCGTGGTGCGGACCATAAACTTGCGCTTCGTCTGCAGGCTGAGCACCCTCTCGTGCTCGTGCCGATGGTGTCGACGAATATTCAGTCTGCGCGAGTCCATGATCAAAATGAGATCCATGCCATAGTTAAAGCCCGTCCAGCGCCACTTTTGGTAGCCAGGCTCAAGTAACATACGACCGCAACGCATGCAGCTTTCAAAGAACTGCTCGTCGTCCAGCTGCTGCGGACTACTATTAATTTAAAAAATAAGGAAATTGTTATCATTAATAAACGGCCATTACAAATTTCTAGAAAAAACTCACCAATCCTCCTGCCCATGATCAATTCGCAGAAGGGCATCCCAGTGGTTGTGAATATGCCGATAGAGCCACTCCTTGGGTATAATGTTGTCATTGTAGATGATCTTCAGATCCATGTAGTGGTTAGTCAGGTACTGGGTTCGTAGCCTCTGGAAGACCCTTACATACGGTTGCCCCTCAGGCGTAGCAAGGAAAGATCGCTCCTCCATACGACTGGTGAAGTACGTCCACTGGACGACATCTCCGCTGGGAGCGTGTGTATCAACTCCGGCATTAACCAATCGCTCCTGCGCCTTAGCGGCCTCCGCACGCTGCTCTGGGTCTTCTGGATCGTGGTCGGGATGCAGTCGCAAGAACATCCATGTTCGCAGCAATGTGTACAGTGAAAATTCTGTCTGCATTACATACAAATCAGCGCTGGCGGTTAGGGCACTCATAAGCTCAATGGATATGTGCCTCAGGAGGTTAGGCTGTTTACTATAAATGCTTAGCAGGTTGATTTGAAACCACTGGAAGGTGCACTTCTTTACACCCACAACACCATACTGGCATGCCGCCTCGTAGTACTGGATGGCTGTCTCTGGACTGATGTTGGCCACCATTACTTCGGCACACTTTTCGATGATCCCGTCCAAGTGGAACAGAGTGGCCGTGGCCAAGACTGAGATCACATCCGTTGGCTCAATCTCAATCTCATCAGAGTACATGGATCCAAATACAGCATCCAGGCTGGCCACGGTAATCCGTTCATCGAGGATTGCAATCTGAATAAAGTTCTGCTGTGCCTCCCGCCATGATCCATTAAACATGGTGTAGAAGTATGGACTCTGGCTCAGATAAACCTTGTGCAGGTGCCACACTTTATCGAGAGCCATAACTGCCACATCTGAGTTCTTTTCTTCCTTGAAGAGCGCCTTGTATATGTACTGTGTAGTGGTTAGAAGCTTCAATCTGCAAAGAAAACAGATATAATGTTATGTAATTTGCAATAAAATTACGGTTGCTTACTTCTTAGGTTGCGTGGTGTCCTGCTGGGCCTGTTCATCGTTGCCCTGCGAGGAGTCAGTGCTGCGTTTCCTTTTCAGTCGGTGGCCAAACGCCTCCGCAACATTTTTATGCATGGAGCCCACGATCTGACCCATGGCTCAGCACAAGAGTCCTCTTTCTGAAGTGAGAATAAAGTGTTCTATAAAACTTGCTTTTTTTTTTTTTTAAGAGATTTTGGACAACATCAAAGTAGGGGCGGTATATCGATCTGACGGTTGCGTGTTGATAGTACTCCCAAACGAAACTACCCACTTTTGACCCACTTTCGTTCCGCCAAACTGTAACGCCAGCCGCTGTAACGGTGGGGAAACCTTTCCCGGGTGGGCGAACATTCGTGTGGGTGTCATTTCAGACCCCAAAGCCAATGGAAAACGCATCCATTCGTCAATGAATGGTGATGTCATCAGACGTCTGGCTTGATAAATCAGCTGTAATCAAATTCCCCCTCACGAAGGGTCGGAAAACTTTGAAGGCATTTCTAGATTCCAACTGATAAATATATGATATAAATCTTGGTATTTTCATGAGTTAACCGCCTACATAGTTCTGTAATTACGACATCATAGACGGCTTTCTGTTTGTTGCATTTTGGATTAATTTGACATTTTTCACAATGACTAAGATAGCGACAATTTTTCAAATTGTGTGAAAACATGTAGAAAATGTATGTACTTTGTAACTTACGGATAAGAGACTCGAAGTTTGTTTTACTATCTTACTGTATAACATTGCCATAAGGGACATTCTAATTACTTTTAAATACTTTTTTAAAGTTAACAGTTTTAGATACCCTTTTGTATGAATAAAAAAAATCCTAATGAGAAAATAAAAATTCAAAACCCATTCCCTCAAGGTAATTTCAAAACGGCCTTAATGACCTGAAACGCACTATAGCTGGAAGCATTTTTAGGTAACTTTGAAGGGGGCGGTTGTCTATAATTAGAATGAGATCAAACGAGCTCGATTCCATGCGCGTTTTTATGCTTTGTTTATGATTTTGCCGCCAATTGCTGGAGCTGGACGAGCTGTTGTAACCATGTCAAGGCCGCGACGGAAGCTACTACAACATATTACTACTGCTGCTACCCATAAACAAACGACCGACGCTTTCGTCACCTCACATTTGGATCTCATTGATATGGACGACCAGACAGTCAGGCTCGATATTACTCGCTCGATAATGATCTATTCCGATTCAGACCCATCTTCAAATAGTGAGTGTTGTGTCCAGTTTTGGGGAAAGGCAGTCAGTGGTTGGGGGGACCGCCAGCAGATGGCGGGTTTGTTTTGGTGTGGCGCAGTTCCGAAAACAAAAGTAAACTATACAAAACCGGTTCCCTCATCGTGTATTTCTTATAAGACCAAAACAAGACGAATGCAGCGCTTTAAATTACGTCACCAGTTGAAGCCAGAGAGTGAAAAGAGAATTGAAGGTAGAGAGAGGAACAAAAAAAGGGGGTGGGACCAAAGGCCACCATATAAAGGCGGACTAAAAAGAGTATAACTCGATTTTCCACCAGCAATTAAAAGAAAATTGCGTGGAGAATACCATTTGAGACATTAGCGTATAAATAGGTATTACTAAGTACAAAATTTATAATATAGATACTTCAAAAATATCATTGCTAACTGAATTTAATTCACCTTTAATTCAATTTTTTGTAAACTACTATTATATTATTATTTGCATTATATCGTTTAAAAACTCTCTGGGTTTTCGGGTCTGAGGAAGACCTTTTTAACATTTCAAAACGATTATAAACTTTTTGAATTTGTGTATGCATTTTAAAACTAGTTTAAATACCATCAAAAACTAGTTATTTGTTTTGGAGAGTTTAACGGCACTACTGTTAACAGGTAGACCTACTGTATGGGAAAGTAGACCTATGTAGGTTAAAGGTTTTAACCTACATATTTGTACCTAATTGTTTGTAAGGAATTGTATTTATTTTTTGTTAAATACAAAATTAAAAAAAAAAAAATTAATATTGCCCAAGGAGTTAACGGCTAAATAACGTGGGTGATCGTCGAAAGAAGCCAACAAGCATGGGCGGAGAGGACTGGAACTCGAACTCGCGTACTAAATTTTCTAGGGAATTCCAGCCGCTTTAGACGACAGAGCCACCGCAGCTAGAAGATTTTAAACGGCAGAATTTCAAAATAATTCTTTGATGTAAGGTAACTAGTTTCGTTAACGACAGTTAAAGCCAAGATCTCCTACATTTAGTTTATGATTGCAAAATCAGCTGATTGGCAGGGCAAAAAGCATGTTTAGTCGCACTATTTACGATCGGCTGTTGTTTGGAACTGATAACACACATTTAGAGATATACAAAATGAACCCCTAAACCACCAACTTTTTCTCACTTTTTTTTGTCCCATTTTCCTTATTTCAAAGTGCAGTTAATCTTCAGCTATAAATAGCAAACAAAAGTGAATTCGTTGAGTGACGTAGTTGGGAAAAACAGAAAGAGGGGAGGGATGGCAAACGAAGTGTGGAGAGGGAAAGCGCAAAGAACGACGCAAAACAAGGTATACAAAGAAGGAACTGATAAACGAAACTTACTGTAAATATGCAGTTGCAGTCCAGCAATTTTATATAACCGCAATTGCACTTCACGTACAATAGGTTTTTTAGAAAAAAATAAAATAAACACTGACTAAAATTCTACGCGAGCGTGATTCAACGTGCGCCTTAAATCATCCCAATTCCATTCACTGGCAAATTTATCTCTGTTTTGCTGCAGCTCTACCATCGATAGTGCTACTTGTTTTTAAAATGCTCTGCGACTATCGATATAAGCTGAGAGGCGTTAGTGCATTAAGGCTATGGTCACACTTACTGATTTGGACATAGAAATATTTTGTAGAAATTAATTTCTATAAACTATTACCATTCTTGAAATGTATGGCTTGTACTTATAGGAAGAAACTTCGATTTAAAAAATTTCCTAATATCAATAATTTATCAATTCAATTGTATAAAAAATGTAAGTAACAGATGTTATATAGGCTTACCTATTTTCTATCATACCAACTGTATAATTAATCTAATGAGCCATCTTACTTTTTAACCTCAGTAATTGAACTTCCTTACAAAACAAAATCACGAATAAGACTCGTATAAACGGAATTGGATGAAAAACCCAATGTGACCTTTCCACCTGGTATTCTCCCACAACCAAGGAATAGTGTGCTTTCATTTTCTGCGCTGCGCAGCAGTTAAATAAAATTTAATACACCATAAGGCAGCATATTAAAGTCGGAGTTGAAGTCCAGTGCAAGTTGCATTGGCCCACAAATCAAAGGTACGCCTGCTAGGCTAGAAAAAAGAACATAGCATGCATAAGTTGTTAGTGCAAAAGGTCAAAGTGGAAGACGTGAAAAGTGGAACACATAAAAACAAATACACACACAAGCAGAAATAAAAAAAAACGAAAAAAAAAAAAAAAAAAATATCTGATTGTTTTCTGCACTCTCGTTATCGTTATCGCTTTCGTATTTCGCAGTCGCAGATTCGTGGGGCGTGCAATGTTCAGGATCCATCTGAAAATGGGTCCGCAACGCAACCAGCTCCACAGCAACAGCAACAACCATGGTGCCGCAGGAAGTAGCAGCACCACTGGGAACCGTCACCTGAAGGAATTCACCTGCTGCTTCGGTTTGCATGTCCACACGGCCACCTTGATGATCGGATTGTGGCACCTGGTAAGTGAATCGGCAAATACAACCCTTTGACCTTTTTCCGGTGCAATGTATATATACAGAAACACCTACGCTTGCAATCCTGCGGCTTTTGCGAAAAACTTTTGACCCTGCTCAGTGTCATACGCAGGGGAAAAATCAATCACCCAATGACTGCCAAACTTTACAAGGCAATGCGAGCCAACTCTGCACTTTCCCCGCCCGTGACGTCAATGGGGGCTGATTGGTCAGCTGATCAAATTGAACTACAATCATAATAGGGGGGTTTTGTGCATAACTGCTGCGGAAGTTTCCAAATCCCCTGCCCATTGTCCATAACTAACCTTTCACAAGCCCATGACTTCGCATAAGCAATTGTCCCACTGGAAAAAAAGCTTAAATATTCGAGTTTAAATGTAATTACTTTACTGTAACTTTTAGGGAAACCTATTATATGTTCGACATCCTATAATGAAACCAACATTTGCCACTACAATAGTACTTTAGCCTTCATTCTAACACTATAAGGTTGTGTAAAGAAAGCTAAGCTGGCTGCGAATTATCAGCAACTATTCGCTCAAACTAAAAAAATTCAATTGTAAGAGATTAGGTGTAACCTCATTAACGACTGCGCTTACGACAGATTAGCTGCATAAAAATCTTAAAAAAGTATTTCTCTCTGTGCATGATTCGTGTGTATCGACAATTCGCCCACTACTTTCATCATGCATTTCCCCTGCTCAGATACCTGGTGTTTATTATGGCTTAGGTCACGTTTTGTAGCTGCATACTCCCGCACTTGCGTTGCCTTTCAGTAATTAGGGTTTGAGCAGCACTGGAAAAGTTATCTACCGTAATCTGACCAATCTCAAGGGTTTCTTTGTTTACATTTTATAGATAGGAATAGCGTTAGAGGCCTGAAAAACAAAGCAGCTTTCCAAATCGAAGGTTCAGTTGACTCATCCGCAGAGTGACAATTGATTGTTGTTGCAGATAAGCGTCGGCTCACCGCAGATTAAATTTCGCACTGATGAATAATATAATCAAAAGATGGCGAAATGCCGCATCTAAGGTCGAAGCGTCAGCATAGTGCAGCCTTCAGCTTGAGTTACTTGGATACCGCCGAATCGGATACTCAGCCGCGTCCATCTTAGCAAACAGCAACCATCAACCAGATACATATTACCATGAGCGTTTCAGTTATTTTTAATAACTACACGTACTCGACGGATGATGAGAAAATATTTACACTTCAGGGGGCTGACTCTTGCTTTTCGGTATATATCTTTCTTCTAGAGAAACATTCTGAAGTGGGCTGCCATAAATCCGAGAATTGTTAATTCAGCTGTCATCTATCAGCACACAGGTTGCAAATCAAATCAGGCGAAGCTACCTTATCTCTTTTTGGCCAGCTTATCTTGATGTGCGGACCCCAACACACACCTGCTAAACGCATTTGAAGTACTTTTAGATGTTGAGATATCTCTGAATTTCCCACTCGTGATCCTTGGGAATCTTTGCTTCGTTCCTGACATTTCGTATATCATTTCGAATATTTATAATATTTTTTTTGGCTACACATATCTCCGCATTGCTCATTTCCAATGACAGCGCTTCCGGATGAAGCTGACCGATTGGTGAAGGCGTCTGCGATTCGAATGCAATGCCCCAAGGCGGCAACACAGAACCCGAAGATGAATCGACTTGCTCTATTGACTGCGGTTCCCAAAAAACATCCTTTTCTTATAGCCATGCAGTTAAGACGGCGAAGGAAAGCAAAGCAGCGGAGAGTGATGAGGAAGAGGACATGAAGCTTCTGCACCACAATCAAACTGCCATCGCTCGCTCTTCCGTATCTGTTTTAAGAAACCAGACTGGAGTCTTTAACACCCTATCCGAGCGCTCTATGTCCTCTTTGGGTTACACGACAGCCTATTTGTTGAAGAAAAAGGAACTCAGAAAATCAATAAACGAGAAGGTCAATTTGTACCAGGCGATTTATTGTCTTGTAAAGGAGCGCGTTCTGACCAATTCAGAGGTCACCATTGGGAAATGCCGTTATCCCGTGCACTTGATGGTCCTGCAAAGCTTTTCGCGAATGTTTTGCGATATGAGTAACGATTTAAGTGTGGATCTGCCCAAAGAGAAAGTTACTCCGCGCTCCTTCAGCCTTATCTATGATTGGATGATCCAGGACAAGCCGATTCTACCACGACATGGTCTTTTGGAAGTTCTCCAGGCTTCCACATTTCTGGGTATTCCGCAGCTAGTCAATCAATGTATGTTTTGCCTGCAGAATGGCTTTGAGGAGGACACCGCGGCAATGCTGTACGTTGAAGCTAAGATCCTGAAGCTGGAGCACACTCACTTTGAACTTCTTAAGCGCGTCGCAAAGTTTTTTCTCACTTTTGTGGCTTCCAAAGAGTTCTTGCGACTGCCATTAGATCACTTGCTCATGCTGATCCAGTCAAACCATATTGGTGTTAATACGGAGCTAGAGGTCTTTATGGCAGCCACTCGCTGGCTTAACCACCATTGGCCCCAAAGGCAAGAGCATATAAGTGAAGTGGCAACAAGCATACGTTTCGGACTGATCCCACCATGGTTGCTCATCCGTCTGCAGAAGCCGGATATCAGCGCTGTCGAGGTGAGGAGAATAGTAACAGTGACAGAGGTGCGTCAAACTATTCATGATGGCATCGCATACACCACTTCGCGACTCTTTTATGGAGCAGATCGTGAGGCCTTTATACAGCATTTGCATAAGTCGAATGTGAACCCTCCAGTGCAACGCAGCTGGATCTACGACCGGAAGTGCTCTCATCACCATCGCTTGCTATGCAAGAACACGCTGGACTTAACCTACGAAACGTTTGTGGAATACCTGAACTACCTGCAAACCCAGCACCGGGATTACTGGCGTTCAATGGAACCGGCGGAGGCCAGCAACTTGTGTTTTAACTGCCAAGCCAAAAAATCGGATCGAGCTAAGCCTACTAGTTGAGTTTAGATGTTGGTTGTACAAATTGGGAAATATATATTTTGATATTTATATAAGTGAAGTGTAGATCAATATGTAATTAGCGGTGTAAGCTATTTGGTCTTTCTTAATGTTTTGGTAATAGTAATATAAAAAAATGTTTATTGCGATACATTTTTGTGGAAATATAATTGTATTTTTTATTTCCAGTTTTTAAACATCTTGGCATTAAGCGTTTTGGCTGTCATATGGCGCAATCCCGAAATGATGGACGAATTGGAAGGCGGAACTCACGACTACACCGTGGATCTGAGTGCACCGGCCCTACCCACGCCACTGAGCAAGGTCGAACCACCGTACGCCTATCGTGATCACTCCTTCAACTATCGTAAGCGTTACCGTAAGCAGTGGAGAGAGCAAGTTCCGCAATGCATTTAAATTAATGTTTCTTCCTGCAGAGAACTTCGACATGGGCGGCTTGGTATGCACCTGCATGATAGCCATCACGCTGATGATGATCTATGGCACCATCAAGGGAAAACCCTCGCACCTATTGCCCTTCTTCTGTCTGCAGTTGTTTGATTTCGCCATTACCACGTAAGGATTATAATGGGGGATTAACAGAAATATCTACTGGTTTATATCTTTTTAAATCCGTAGATGTTCCTAGGATTCCCTTAAAGAATTCTATTCGTAAGATTAATAAACTACAGCTATTGTTATTATGTATTACAGTCTTACCGCCGCTGGATATTTGTGCTACCTGCAGGCCATCCACAGCATCATTGCTGAATCGCATCGCTTGCCATGGCGCGAGAAGCTGCTGGAACTGCCGCCAGAGGAGTTGGTTGTCGTGGTCCTTGTTGTCTTCATTTGCATTGTTTTCCTTAAGGCTTACTGCATTGGTATCGTATGGCGCTGCTATAAGTACTTGACCCTCCGTCAGCAACACGTTCGCACATTGTTCCCCTTCCTGGAGCCACCAACTGGTGTGCACAGTGTGGGCGGAACTTTTGGTGCCGAGGAGCGGTCCTACTCTACTTTGTTGCCGAACTACGATGAAGCTATTGCCCAGTACTTGAAGCAGGCACCACCACCATCCTACCAGGTGGCCATGTCTAACTACGAGGAGGGCGAGGACGCTGCAGCTGAAGGGGCAGAGGTTAATCCCTCTGTGGCTCCGCTCTTTGTGGCCCTTGGAGCAGCCACTACCGCTAACGCAGCTTCCAACACGGATGACAACATGGATAACAACAATGATCAACCAAACAATAACAACACGATGCATGTCAACGCCAATACGCCGCCAATGCGTCGTAGCGATGCCGCTGTCAACGCCAATGTAGATGAGGAGGATGATGACCTGGAGGTGATCGACGCTGGCGTTGATGTCATCGGGGGCATTCCACCTCCGCCGCCGTACAATGACGTGGCTGATGCTCAGGTTCAGGTGCCATCGCAATCGCCGATGCATCGTCAATCCAATATCCCGGGACAAGTATTCAGCGGACGCGATGAGAGCCAGGCCTAAGTTGTAGTTTGGTTTTGTTTGCTTCTCATGGCGAGTGGGTTGTGATCATTGCTGACCACCCCTCTCCACATCCTCTTCTTGCCCAGATGATCTGGTTTCTGGTCTATCATCTAACAGCTATCATTCCCAGGCACACATACACGGTCTATATGGTTGCTTCAATGTATTGATCAGTGTTTTTAGAGAAACGAAACGCAAACAAGTTTTCGCTTTTAGCCGTCGCTCATTATTGTTGTTTAACGTACAATTAAGATGCTCTAGTTGCTGCTCATTTAGTAAAACAAAACAAGCATTAAAACCAAAAACATTTTGCGATGCTGGCAACGAAAAGCTTCAATTACTTTTCGGTCACATCTGACCCGAACGTAGCTGCAACAATCTGTTAGAACGTTTGTTTGATTTGGCCCGAATTAGTAAGAGTATTTCGGATAGTGTAGGCCCAAGTAGTTGTTACCAGAGTGTATCGCTGGCATTGTAGGCACCTTTTACAATGTTCTTTGTTTTAAGCTATCTCGTAAGAATCTACGCATATTGAATACCGAGTACTGAATTCACATCGCAGGCAAACATAATCCATTAATTATGATGATATTATCAGCAACAGTAACGTTTTATGTGTGTACAATATCTAAATGTATACTGTGTACTAAATATGCAGAGATATTCGAATAAATATTAGTTTATATTTAAAATATTCTTGTTTGATTTCAAAAATCGGTCATTATATGGAATTAAATATGAAAGGTTTGGGGTAATCAAGCTTCGCTGGTATAACCTACATTTTCTCGAAGTTGGTTCCTTTTATGCTGAACAACTATCTTGTGCCAGTTCGCAAGAAGTCCCTATCGGGTAAATTTCCGATCATTATATAAAGAGATGACTGGGTCATTAGCAAGACTCCAAGTTGATCCCAAGAAATAAATCCCCAGGAAAGAAAAATACCCGAGATTATATTACTGTGTGCGATTGTATTCTCAAGATTTCATTGTTATTTATTTTGTTTTTGTTTTTTGAAATGCATTTTTGTAGCGGGCTTAGGCCTTCCAGTTGGACCAGGTGCGGATCTCGTTCCAGATATTGGTGCCGGGGCACTCGGTGGAACCCACCTGGCGATGTCCGTACAGGATGTATCCAGAGACGATTTGGCCACGAGAGACGGCGTCGGAGAGCAGACCCTTGGCGGCGGTGATCTGGGCAGAGGTAAGGGTGTTGGTGTTGTAGTTGCCCAGGAAGGAGATGCCAATGGACTTGGAGTTCCAGTTGGTGGCATGGGCACCCAAAACGTTCCATCCGCGACCCTCATACACATTGCCATCGCCGCCGATGAGGAAATTATAGCCGATATCAGCCCAGCCCAAGGAATCCATGTGGTAGGCCTGGATGTTCTTCAGTTGGGTAATGCAGGCGGCCTTGGTGGTGCAGTAGTTTCCGGCGGTGTGGTGGATCACGGCGTAGCTCAGAGAGCTGGCTAGGGTAGTCTTGCTCGTGGCGGAACGGCCACCCCACTCCGACTTGGAGATGATGGTCACACCGAGGACGGCCTGGGCGCAGAAGAGCACAGCCAGAAGGACGAGAGCTTTATTTGCCATGGTTACGGATCGTTTGTGGGGCCTGTCGTTCGATCGAACCTTATATACCACCGCCTCCTAGAGCTTATCGCCTTCGAACCGAAGTCAGGTTCGGGTTGACGAACCGGGTCGTGTGCTTCCATCTGATATGGGGGACTATCTGCTGGCCAGATCCTGATACGGCAATGACGACGGCCCAATCACGCTTCTAATCAGGCCAAGTGGTATTAATTAATTTGTCTAAGAGGTGGCCATAAATTGTCCTACCTAAGACCTACCAAAACATTGCGAATATCTCTCAAGAGTAGAAATTCCAGATTCAAACTTTATCAATATTCCAAAGCTTTTTTGAGATTTCGTTTCTAAGATTATATTAAATTTGAAATCATCTGATGAAACCTTTTGCAAACCCTAGAGCTTCGTATCACAGCTTAATTTTTGTAAATATAATTATGGTACAGTAAGTACAAGAAAGCTTGATGACTACTCAATTTGTGGAGATTAGTCTTTTATGGCATGTCCTTGGATAAATTTTCCATAAATTCGAAATTAATTTCAGTGAGGATTGCAGACTGCTATAAAAATGATTCAGCTTCCAAGCTAGATAGCTTTCATTATAGTTACATAAATGTTACAATGTAAATATACATCCTACATTTTACAAATTCACGTATATTTATTTACTTATTAAAAAGAAACTGACTTTGTGAAGCAGGAGTTCCATTGTTTAGCCATTGTTTAGTTTTCTTATCTCACGAGATTTGATGGTATTATTCTTAAGTGTTTTAAAAATTAGAAGCATTATAAGTGGCTGATATGAATCAGTGATAGACACGGACCAAAATATTAGTATATTATTGCCAATCAGAGACGCAAATAAGTGGTCAATGAAATTTATGATTAGATTAGTAATCGTTACTCCCCTGTTTAACTTACGTTCCACAAGATAACTTGTCTTAAATTCTCTTTGTTAACTTGTGTATTTACAATGACGTAGAGCTAGTAAAATTATTGATAAGCAATAAATGAACTTTATATCTGTTATGATGTTGAACTTAAGGTTGAGGATCCAAGTATTATTAGTATTTTATTAATTATTAAACTGACTTATTATTATTAAGAAAATAGAAAAGAGTCTTTTCATCCGAAAATATTGAAATAATTCCAAAAAATGTTAGCATATTGAAGTCAGTCCTGTTATATCTCTAAGTTGCTAAGTAGCTCTTCCTAAATACTAGTACTTATTATAATCGACAGCTGATTTTATAAGTAGAGTGGCTACTCCTTAAGCTTGTAACTTTTAAATTTGTCAGTCATTGTGCAATTGATAAAAAGGGGGACTTTTTAAGTTCTCCAAAACGTCTTATCAGCCACAAGTTGATGTAGCCAGACGTCTGGTTAGAATGTACCTTCCCAATAATCGCAACAGGCAGATGAACTTGCAAATCTTGATAAGTAGCTGGTGGTAATCATGGAAATAAAAAAAATTACTGTAATAATCTAAAAGTTGCAGGACCAGTTCCTGGACAGCAAGGTGGGCGGGGTGGATGGACTTTGTCAATCCACTTTGTCCAACCATCCGAGCCACCAAGTGCTTTACCTTGTGGCAGGAAGGAGGCGAATCTCGAAAATGAAAGCTTAAGCAAGTTATTAAGCACAAAAACAACTGAAACTCATTCAGAACTACTTTGTTAACGAGGATGTCGTTAATGAGACTGCGGTTCAAGTGGCGAATAGTTTGCTTTTGGTCAGAGAACGATTGCTTTTGGCCGTATTTAAAGCCGCTGTCCAGTTTCCAAAGTAAACTTTACATTTTATACAGGCATTTCTGTTGAATTGGCCAAAGAAATAACTGAAATGTTCCAAGTTCAGCACAATAGTCTGGACGACGACCTAATGATATTTTGCAAGTTTGCCAGGCACACATCCTCCTGCTCCTGTAAATTTGAAAAGTTTTGCTAAAATGGGAGGAATGAATTCTCTGACAGCTCGAACGTGAGGGTTCGGCAGCAAAACGAAGATGGATAATGGGAACAGGAGTTTGGAATTGGATTCCCTTTCGTCTGTCATTCAAAAAGGCTTTATTCGAATCAATCTCAGACAGATCTACCGAAGAATAGAATCCGGAATGATTTTCATTATTATTTTATTCATACTAGTAAGTCTAACCAGACCAGTGGGACCAGCCGCGGATCTCGTTCCAGATGTGAGTGCCAGGGCACTCGGTGGCGCTGACCTGGCGGTGCCCGTACAGAATGTAGCCAGAGCTGAGCTGGCCGCGATTGACAGCATCGTTCAGCAGCTGCTGGGCGGCGGAGATCATGTTGGGTTCCAGGGTGTCCCAGTTGTAGTTGCCCAGGAAGCTGATGCCAATGCTGTAGGGGTTCCACTCGGCGGCATGGGCACCCATGTTGTTCCAACCGCGTCCCTCGTAAACGTTGCCATCTCCGCCAATCAAGAAGTTGTAGCCAATGTCGGGCCAGCCCAGGGAGTCCATGTGGTAGTTCTGAACGCTCTGCAGCACGGCATTGCACTGGGCACGAGTCTCGCAGTAGGATCCGGCGGTGTGATGGATGATGGCGTAGCCGAGGTAGTTGCCCAGAGCCACAGTCCACTTGGCACCGCGACCACCCCATGAGGACTTTGGGATGACATAGACGCCCTGAGCCAGGTACTGACTGCATACCAGGATGGCGAGGAGGAGAGCCACTTTGGAAACCATGATTACCAGCTGTAATAGTTGCCGATTGCTTGATGGAGAGCGTGGGTTGGCGGGGCGCTTATATAGCAAACTGCGGTCAAAAAATCACATATTATCGGGTCGTATATAACTGATTTACAACGCTGATCGATGGCACTTGCTCGGATTCGTATTGGGGGAAGCACCTTGCCAAGAGCTTCGTCACAATCTGGTGATTTTGATTTATTCGATCGGCTATACCGGTAGGTCCTTATCACGTCTGAGGGTTCAGTTGGAGCATAGTTTTGTGTTCATAATTATAAAGATTCTAATGAAATTAAGTCAGACTGCATGTATTTGCAATCTGTACTAGTCAATCCTTTAATTTGATCACTTTGGATTCGACTTTGGAAAATGTATTTCAAGTTAGTCTTACAATCTATGTCAGACGTCTTCAAGATCTTAAATATATTATATCCCTCAAAGCAAATAACATTTTCAAGATGATCTATCTAAAAACATCGGGGAACTTAAGCTCATATGGTGAGTAAGATTTTCTTAAATGTCCTGGAATTTTCTTCTTAAAATGATAAAGCTTTTCACACTTTAAGGCTTCCTGAATGTTACCAATTTCCTGCAGAATGTGAGTATTTCTTTTTATATAATTAATAGTATCTATATATCTTCTATCTCTCCAGGTAAGCTGTTGGTCTGTGATGAATATTCATTATATCCATCGCTGTGAGATGGCCAGTAGGATGCCCGATTGCAGATACATCAGCAATTTCTTTAACTACTTCTTGCTGATGTACTGTACATTCAAGATCAATAATAAAATTACCGAAGTATTGGTACTTTTGATGTTTGCGTTACTCTACTGTTTGTTCCTCTGCATTGTCTACGTGGCCATCGGCAATTAGTAAGTCGTATTTAAGTCGATTTATTAATCCCCAGTCCCAATCCTTGTAGTTTTTTACCAACACTGAAAATTGCGGCTCTGAGGTTACGAATAAACGAATATTTGGCAGGCGTGTTGCTTGTAGGTGTGGCCACAGCGACTCCTGATCTTTTGGTTAACACAGCACCAGTTCGGGCCCAGTCCTACACCTTCAACATAGCCATGTCCAGTTGCCTGACGATCATATGCTTGAGCGGAGGAGCAGTGTGCTTCATTCGGCCATTCAAGATGAATGGTCACTGTGTCTTCAGGGATCTCCTCTTTCTTCTGTTCGTCGTGGAACTGGTGCGGCTTTTTATTAAGGATACCTATTTAAAGCCATGGGTAAAGGGTGTTAGTAAGTTTTCTTTATCAAGATAAGAATTTTGCAAGTATATATTATCATATTACCTGTTCCAGTGATAATGGTTATTTATCCAGTATACATTATTATTAATATTGTCGACATGCTCCTTCTGCGACTCGAAATAAGAAGTGAGTGTCAAGCTTATTTATCGTTAAATTTGTTATTCTTTAATTTAATTGTTGCAGAACTTCGAAGGGATGTAGAATACATGCGACAGTCCCAAGCATCTATACAACATAATCGTGTATTGGCCGAAAAGGTCGTTCAATTGGCAACGCTTGAGGAGGAAGATGAAATCCAATTTTTTGAAACAAAGCTATTTGGCAAGAAGACTTTTAAAACGGGATTCTTTGTTACACCAAAGCCATTGATTCGTCATAAAGAAATTGATGTGGAAAGCAATCGAATAGCTCTTCATAGCAAAGACAATTCTAAAAATCTATTCCTATTCAGTGATTTTTTCCATGCCATCAACCCAATTAACCCAGAAGTATGGTATCTAAGTGGCGGAGGTGCGCGTTTTTTAATCGTGTTAACGGCCCCTGTAAATTTCATGCTCCGATTGTTAATCCCATATGTGGACTACCAGAGGGCCAAGCATGGGTGGACCAAGCTGCTCAACTGCCTGCAAATCGTATTGACACCTTTTGTGAGCACCTCATTGGTAGAAAGTACGTATGGATAAAGTTTTTAAAATACTATTTATTAATTTACATATGTTTATTATTAATAATAGGTAGTCTTAAAAGACTTCCCTATATATGTTTATTATTAAAATACACCTTAATGAAAAACTCTACCAACAGATGGCTCTATAGATGTTATATGTGAGTTCTTAAAACCTTTTACCTTTTAGGCATGATTTACAACCGACACTCTGCTTGGTATACCGTTCCACAGTTTAAACTGGCAGTATGGACTTTGGTTATAACGGTTCCCTTGGCCATTACTGTATTTATAAACTCTCGCACTGACATCCCGCCGTCGTATCAATTCGTAAGATCATATCCTTGTGTTAGCTCTTTAAAAATATCATTCATATTCCAAGCTATATGTTGTGATATCGATTCCCGCCGTGATTATCTTATGCTGGATTTGTGCCTGGGAAATGGACGCTTTGATAACAATCATGGGAATTGGCTTAGATCTGGAGCCCTCCTTCATGAGCATCACCTTCAATACTGTTTCTGGTGCTGCGGCCGACTTTATTTCCCATGTGCATCTCGCCGAGCATGGCTATGGAAAGATGGCCTTTGGAGCCATTATTGGGGGTTCAGTTTTCAGTAAGTAAAATAATAAATTTCTGTTTAAGGATCAAGGACATAGATATATAAACATCTCTCTCCCAGATATAGTTATCAACGTTGGCACAGAGCTGGTCAAGCAGACAAAGCTGGATGCGAATGGTCAGGTGATTTTGTTCGATACGACGGGCGAAACCATCTACATATTCCTGGTGATAACCATTGTGACCACTCTGTGGTGGAGCCTTACCTTCAACTTCGTTGCCCGCCGATCCGCTGGCGTATTCATGTGGAGCCTATTCATATTGTTCATATTTTACTCGGTTGCCATTGAATTCGAATGGGTCCACGGATTCGAGGACAGCCCTCACATCGTCCCGTCTTAAAATATATTGTTCTGTGTTCTATTACTAAGTAAAGGAACAGTTTTTCGCGTGCGAGTAAATTTATTGATTGGGGTTCATAAGGAAAAGCTAGCCAGACCAGTGGGACCAGCCGCGGATCTCGTTCCAGATGTGGGTGCCAGGGCACTCGGTGGCGCTGACCTGGCGATGTCCGTACAGAATGTAGCCAGAGCTGAGCTGGCCGCGATTGACAGCATCGTTCAGCAGCTGCTGGGCGGCGGAGATCATGTTGGGTTCCAGGGTGTCCCAGTTGTAGTTGCCCAGGAAGCTGATGCCAATGCTGTAGGGGTTCCACTCGGCGGCATGGGCACCCATGTTGTTCCAACCGCGTCCCTCATAAACGTTGCCATCTCCGCCAATCAAGAAGTTGTAGCCAATGTCGGGCCAGCCCAGGGAGTCCATGTGGTAGTTCTGAACGCTCTGCAGCACGGCATTGCACTGGGCACGAGTCTCGCAATAGGATCCGGCGGTGTGGTGGATAATGGCGTAGCCGACGTAGTTGCCCAGAGCCACAGTCCACTTGGCACCGCGACCACCCCATGAGGACTTTGGGATGACATAGACGCCATGAGCCAGGTACTGACTGCATACCAGGATGGCGAGGAGGAGAGCCACTTTGGAAACCATGATTACCAGCTGTAATAGTTGAGGATTGCTTGATGGAGACACTAGGTCGGCAGGGCGCTTATATAGCAATTCGCGATCCAAATGGTGTGATTCGTTATCGGGTTGGTCATGGCTGATTTACAGATCTCCTCAATGGCTCATGCTTAGATTCGTATTAGGGGAAGACCCTCGGCATATACCTCGTCACAATCTCCTGAGGTTGATTTATTCCAGATTCTTTATACCTGAAGTTAGTTATAAAAACTTAATCTATCTGGGCTGGCAAAATACTTGCTTTTCTGAAAGGAAATAGATAGGTTTTTCGATTTCTGTCAGTACCCGAAATAATTTTTCAAATATTGTTTTGAGCCATTTAAGAAATCATTGCTATGGGAGTGCAAGCGAAGAATGTAATATTAAATTTCACGGCGCTAGACCATGAATTTCATTACTTTATTAAGAACGTAAGGTCATGTTTTATTTTGATAATAATAATAATAAAGATGGCCTATAATAGATGAGTTGCAGGGCCGTCATGAGGCTTTCGTATTCCTATCGTTGTAAGATGGCCACCGAAGTCGATGACTGCAAACGCATCATAAACTTCTTCAACTACTTCAGGATGATGTACTGTTCAATTGACATTGATAGCAAAACAACGGAGGTCCTGTTCATGTTCGTTTTCATATTCCTTTGTGTTGTATTCCTGTGGCTGATGTCCTACGGTGTTAGTACCTAGTAAGTTCCTGGACGTATTATATTGGTATTCCCTAACCCGTTCGCCAACGTGAAGCTTTTCGCCAGTCCTGAAGATAATCTCCTTGAAGATGCACATGAATGAGTACCTTGCTGGTGTTACCTTCCTGGCATTCGGAAACTGTAGTCCTGAAATAATTGCCAACTTTATGCCCGTAAGAGCAGATGCACCGATCTTCACCATAACTGTGGGTAATGCCCTGGCCATCATACTCCTTAGTGGAGGAACGGTGTGTTTTCTAAGGCCCTTCAGAATGAACGGCCATTGCATTATGCGGGATCTTTTGTTCCTGCTGTTGGGCGTGGAGGTCCTGCGACTTGTGATGGCCAAGGAGGGATCAGTGACCTTGTGGGAGGGTATCGGTAAGGTTGGCTTAAGGTCCATTAAGAAGATATTGGTAATACCAACCCTTAGTGCTTTTTCTAATTTACGTTTGCTATGTTGGCATCAATGTCGCCGATTTGGTTATGATGCGATTTTACATCAGAAGTAAGTCTGCTTTTTTTAAAGAATAACTAGATTTATATTTACCTTTCAGAACTTCGAAACGAAATCAACTACCTAACGAATCTAGATCCACCACCGACCAAAGAAATAGAGAAAAAGCTGCGGAAACTGACATCCTGGGAGCAGGAGGATGACATTCAGATAAATGACACCACAAAGTATCGCCGGTCAAGGAATTCTGGAACACATTTCTCGGAAATGACAACTTCCGGTTATTTTGTCACTCCCAAGCCGCAAACAAGGCCCGAAAACGTTGATCACGAAGCCAATCGTACTAACCTCCATAATGCCGAAAATCCCAAAAATCTTTTACTCTTTACGGAGTTCTTGCATTCCCTCAATCCCATTGATGCCGAAGCCTGGCAGTTGGGTGGTAAATGTAATCGTCTATATCTTATAGTCAGGAGTCCTTTTGTATTTTTACTGCTGATCTTTATACCCGTGGTGGACTATGAGAAGGACAAGCATGGCTGGAGCAAGTTGCTCAACTGCACGCAGATTGTGACGAACCCGTTTGTGGTCATTACCCTGGTGCATTGTAGGTATGCAAGAGCATTTTCCCGATGACTCTGATCTCTTAAGTTCTAGTGATCCTTAGCGGCTGTGACCAGTATCTACCTTACCTGGCATATAACCCTTGACTTTAGTATATCCATGTGGACACCATGTCTGACCATACCACTGGCCCTTGTGATATTTTGGCATTCCCGGACAGATGTCCCTCCTTTCTATCACCATGTAAGGAGTTCTGTATTAGCACCACTGCTAGCTATTCGATAACATTCGAATTGGTTTCACTCCTTCTTTTTAGCTTTTTATTATCCTCACCTTTTTTAGTTCCATGGTGACCCTGTGGATCGCCGTCACCGAACTGGAAGTTCTCTCGGAGATTGTGGGCATTGTATTTAACCTATCCGAAACCTTTATGGCTGTCACCTTTGAGGCTGTTTCGAATGCCACCCCGGATATTATAGCCAATTCCCAGTTGGCTATGCAGGGCTATGGACGGATGGCCTTCGCAGCTATCATTGGAGGACCAGTTTTTGGTGAGAAAGATCCTTTTTCTCTCTTTATAGATTAACTTTACATATATCATTCAGCCGTTCTGGTCAGCATGAGTCTGGCCTTCATATTCAACTTCAGAGTTCGCGAAGCCGGTGCCCATTTATGGGTGTACGGAGATCTGGGCGAAAACTGTTATTTATTCCTGGTCATAACCATTGTGACCACTTTGTGGTGGTGCGTTACCTTCAATTTTCAAGCCCGTCGATCAGCTGGAGTTTTCCTTTGGGTTATCTATTTCCTTTTCCTGATTTATGCAATTTGTGTGGAATGGGACCTGGTGCATGAGTTCTCCAGAGATCAATACTTCGAACCAATATGATTTGGTTTTAATTTTAGATTAATTTGATTAATTTGTTAAATAATTAATATTCCCACTAACTAATTAGTTAATCTGTAAAGCAGACCTCATTCCGTTTCGAATTTGCCCACATAAGTATGCATCATTCATCAACCTTTTCCTCCAGCCGACTTGCTGACTAATTAAGTTAATGAAGTATCATGATTAAAACATAGCCAAGGGAAAAGCTTTCGAAAGGCGTCGGGAATGTAGCAAAAGAACTGACAGCACTCCATTGAAATGCAGCGAAGGAGACACTCTTGGCCAACTCTCTTGTCCCGACGCTCCAGTTTAATTTTTTTTTTACTGCATAAAAAAGCGTATTGCATAATGAAGGAAAACTGATGGCAACGATGGGGAAAGCTTCTCGTTAATTAGGGTTAAAGTGGCTGGAGGTTGGTGTCCTGTCAACGTTCAAGGGGCGAGAGATTTGTGCGACAATGATACTGAAGGATTTCAGCTCAGACGAGTGACTTTGTGGACGAACTAAGGTAATCGATCAGCGGATATAAGACACTGATTAACTGGTTTGATGCAGGGGAAGGAATTCTCGAATTTAGCTAGTAAAATATGTATGTTCTTAAGTTTAATTTATGTTTAAAAAGTAGTTTATAATAATCAAGTAGTAAGCCAACTGTGAATTGGATGGAAATAGACTTTTCAGTGGCATTTTAAAGACAGCTTAAAGGATCTATATTTTCCAGAAAGACAAAGTTTTTAATTCGTTACTAACTTATATAACCTTAAATTTAACATTATTTATTATTTTTAAAACTATCCCAAATCGAAAACAATCTTATTTAGTTATGTTTTTCTCCGTGCACTGCCCCAGTCAGCATTAATATCGACGGCAGATGTAAATTTCACTTGATTCCGGCTATTATGGCAACTGCAGCTGAAACATAACCATTAGATTTAAGTACAATTGCATAAACAAGAAGTGCTGGCTCAAATATAGGGGGAAAAAAGAAGAAAGAAGTCGAAGCGGAAACGAAGTTGCACAGCTCCAACTTCCAAGGCAAATGGCACGCAGAATTCCGGCAGCAATAAAAGCACTCAACTTCCCTCAGACTTCCCGTCTATCTGGCCATCTTTCCATCTGTCCATCCGCCAGACCCTCTATCTGTGCACTTAATGTGACATGTTTTTGCAACAGCTTTGGTTTCTCCTTTCGCCACTCGAGATTCCGATTTTGCTCATCCGCTGGGCATGGGGGAAATGGAGCAGCTCCATGGCCATGAGATTTGATGCATTTTGCTTGTTACCAAATTGTTTTGCATTTTCCTTCACGTTTTTACATAGACTTGCAGTCCCGAATTGAATGCAAAAACGAGTGGATTTTTTTTTTCCGTCTATGCAATTGGCTTGGTCTTGGCATGATTCGGTGTGAAAGTCATCAAATATTTAAAGCACAAGTGCGAAATCGCACCCAGATTGCCAGACTGATGGTTTATGCAAGAAGGGAAATTGATTTCGAATGATGTGTCTTCTGAATGGATTTCATGCCAAGTTCTAGTATTTAATTTGAGTATTTAATAGTGAAAAAGCTCTTTCCTATCGGTAGCTATTGTTATTGTTGAAAAAGATTAAACTAGAACGACAAGCCTCTGTTTGCATGTTCGTTTACTATCGCTCATGAATGAATTTATTTATAGTTCTCTGATTTCCTATCGACACTGACTTTTTTACTGATAGTCATAAATTTCTTTTAGTATCTTAGAAACGTGCGAATAACATACGATTTTAGATTTTGAAAAATCATTCTACGCACGTATTTAGATTTCTTCCTTGCTGGATACTGATGGCATGTTCTTTTTAGCTGCTAAAATTATGTATTTTGGTGGACAATTTATGACAGCACTCTGTTATAGGTCAACTTATTCTTTCGTTTTCAGCTAGAAGAGGGCAAAAGTTTTTCACAAACTATTTATAAATTCTTAAAGAAACGCGGAAAACCTCATCATTTTTCTTAATAAACAAAAAAATACACCAAGGAGATGGCAAACATATTTCACGTTGCAGCTTGCAGTTTGCACCAAAGCTATTTCCGCAGTAAAACTTTGCTCTGCAGTTGTCAGTTGGTTAAATGGGAAATATTTCAGACCAGCCAGGGCCAGCGCCATTTATTTATGGTGCGCGTACACACCATATTAAATAAGTTCAAATGGGAAGATTTATGCCTGGAGACGGGGAATGTAGTTCTGGACGCGGCTAATACTGGCTAGCCATAAATTGCCGCTTAGCATTATAACTCAATTAGCTAGTGGCTACGTTGCGTATACGCCACGTTGTCCAACAGCAGCAGCAGTCTAGCACAGTAACAGTTACATTTACAGGTGTACTAGTGAATTATGCAAGTCCTAATTAATGTCAAGCGGCAAATGGTAACTGGGGAACACCTAGTTTCTAGTTGTTGTAGCTCCTTTTGTAGGTCATATTCCGCCCATGTCTGCAAATCCGTTGGGCGTGGCTGTGCGGGCTCGTTGTTGCTGTTGCTGTTGTTGTCGGCTAATGAATCGGCTGCCAGGAGTCTTGCCTTCGTGTCTGCGGCTTTCCTGCAATTAGCACCGACTCACATTTGACTTAACCTAATTGTCAACTCAGAGGTGTGAAGAGCAGCAGCTTGAAGGCAACGTGGCGTATGAGTATTGCTACTTGTAGTACAAATTATTGTAAGGATGTTATAGCTCACATATCAGAAAATCATCAACTTATTGAAAACTATTATTAAAGAGTAAAAACATGAATACCTTACACAGAGTTTGAGTTTTTATTAAATCTTTTTCATATATCGCCAAACCCTGCTTTAACTGCAGCATCATTAGAAAACGAATGGATTATGTTCCAATGAATTAACATAGCAAAAATAAGGTATATACTGTATAAGACTATACCAAAGATTCCCACAGAACGTCGAGCGAAAAATCCCAACGTCGTGGACCATAGAAGTGTTAGAAATAGACCTAAATTTAGAAATATAAAAGCATTTTCACCATAATTTCCAAACTGATTGCTGGGCGTGATATTGTTAAAGAGCCGTGTTTTGATATGCAGCACAAGGCTGGTGGACAAGACGAGAGCTGTAATTTAAGATATTTATATAACGATTTTTCCAGAGTTTCCATCACGGATACTCACTAAAAAAGGGTCCTCCGATGGCAGAGGCATAGGCCATCTTCGGATATCCATGCAAGGCCATTGACATATTGGCAATAATGTGACCTAAGTAACCTGTACTGGCCTTCACTGTGGCACCCATAAAATCGTTGTCAACTCCCATTATAAAACCAATCACCTCCATGGCCTTATCTATTTCTGTGGCGCAAACAAAAATCATAATCATGGAGCCACTGAGATTTAGTGCTGTGAGGGCCGAATGGTAAAATGGTGGCACATCGGTACGGGATTGAACAAACATAAAAATGGCAAATGGTACAGTAAAGGCAAGTGAATAAATTGCATATTTATAACCCTCAGTTATGTTAGTATACCAAAGCGATTTGCCTGTTGTGGAGACAAGGAAAGCTGTTGCTTACAGAAAAAATTACCAATAACCATTAACAAAATGTTACTATAACACTCACCTTTAATGACTATAATTGAAAGTGCTGGATTAAGCATTACTTGAAGGCAATTCAGAAGCTTGTTCCAGCCATGTTTGTCCAGCTCGTAGTTCACCAGGGGTATATAAATGCTGCACAGGAACACCCCAGGTAATTGGATCAGCATTAAAGCCCGCTGGAGCAGATCAGCTTTCTGCCACTTTGCACATTTTATAGGTCTCAGGGCCAAGAAGAAGTCCTTCCATATACCCCAATTCTTTCCATGCATATCACTCAGCAAAATAATCCGCGTCGTATTTCTATTCAAGGTAACACGCCTGGTCTTGGCCATCCGGGATGTGGTAAACCTTATTTTGTTAATATTGGGACCCGATTGGGTCTTCTCAAAGATCTCCACTTCGACGTCTCGGGTATAAGCTCCCTGTTGTTTCTCCAACTCACTTAGCCTCTTCCGCTTTTCCGGTGACCATTGTAGCAGGGCAATGTGACAGTTCATCAATTTGCCTATTTGTTGCTGATAGATCATGCTTTAAAGTTATATGAACTCGAATATATCGAATTTGTCTAGTACTTACTCTTTAGAGCCCTCCGAATTAGGTACACATCTGCCACATTGACAATTATGTAAAATAAGTACACAAGATACATAACTAAATTGCAAAACAAATAAATTATCAATAAATCAATAGTTAAAGTTGCATAAATTACTTATGAATTCCGTCTGGCTCACATGACTATCGGTTTCCAGAAAATAGCTAAGCAGATTTGCTCCCAAAATAAGGAACAAGATGTCACGAACACTTTCGTAGGCGTTCATCTTAAAAGGACTTATGTAGCAGATCAGGCCACCAGAAACCATGGACACAAACAGGGCACCAGCCAGGGTATTGCCAAACACAGGACCATCGTCGCGGATGCCGGCCAGATTGGAAAACATATCGGCAGAGCTGTTACCAAAGGCCAACAAGGTCACACCCGCCAAGTGCTCGTTCATGCGGAGAAATTTCGATACGGACTTCAGTGTTGGGCTGTAGCTGGAGGTTCAAAGTATCCAGTTTCCATATTAGTGTAGTGATTAGAGTCAATAACCTACAGGATAAATAGAGGATGCTCACTATTTATCGCATACGTGGATCAGCAGTACCAATAGCACGAAACAGAATCCTACGAACATGGTAAAGAAGACAATTTCCTCAAAGGCATTAACGCAATTCAAATCGCACGCCAAGATCTTCATGTAGGGCAGCACAAGGACGGTCTGGTTACAATCCTTGGCCTTCTTTACGAATTCACACCTTTCCTCAAAGGGGAATGTCTTGGCCGCATAGCAACTGACCTTTTCCCAAAAGCTATCGAACTCTGCATCCATTGCATTCTTAATATAGACCACACTTTCCTTGTCCCCCATTGTGGTGTTGAATATGAGTATGTAAACAAATTAAAATCTTTAAAATAACTAACATTCTTCTGACTTTTTTCTCTTTGAGAGCTACAAAAGTCTACATTGTAACTTAAAAATTAAGAGATAATATTCACTGACACTTCTCATTCGGCTCATAACACCAGAAAATATATCAAAAATTAAATCAAAAGTAAGGCAAAATATATAATGTAAGAGAGCCTCCGCTTATAGCTTCGCTCTTTGGCATTGATTCGGAGAGGACGCCTTTGCAAAATGGTCAGTAAGCTGCCTGCGCAGTCTGCACATCTCGTCAAGCTAGCTCCATCCGGCCAGGTGGCCGTTGCCGTGGTCAGTGATCTCCAGGGGTCACATTCAAGTTCCTTGCGCCGGAGGCTCAACTCGTTACTGCTCGCCAACGAACTGGGCACCTACATTAGACACCTATTGGCCCATCTGGCCAGAAAGGTCTGTACGTACTTTCGTACCGGGCTGTGGGCCACCTACAAAGATGTGGCCATGTCCCCGGTCTTGGCCCAAAAACTGGCTGCAGTGGGAAGAAAGACCCTGATCCTTGACCTGGACGAGACTCTGGTGCACTCCTGCTACCTTGATCCTGATACCCACGACAATATCGGTTGCAACCAGATGCCCGATGACGCCAAACCGGACTATGAGCTCAATGTAACTATCGATGGCATCGAACCGATCCATTTTCGAGTCTTCAAACGGCCGTATGTCGATGAGTTTCTGTACTTTGTGTCCAAATGGTATGACTTGGTGATTTACACAGCCAGCCTAGAGGTGTATGCAGCTCAGGTAGTGGACCTTCTTGATGGTGGAAGAGGAATAATTTCTCGTCGCTTCTACAGGCAGCATTGCCGTTCAGCTGCGCCACTTATTTCCAAGGATCTGGCTTTGGTAAATCCGGATATGAGAGGTACACTTATCATTGACAACTCGCCATATGCCTATCGCGATTATCCTGATAATGCTGTACCCATCAAGACCTTCATCTATGATCCAGAAGATACGGAACTGTTAAAATTGCTGCCCTTCCTCGATGCCCTGCGTTTCACCAAGGATGTTCGATCGATACTCGGCCGGCGTGCTGACCGTCCTCCGGTTGTCCGATCAAACGTTTCAATACCTAGATAAAGATTACTTACCAAAGATTGCCGTGTTAAAAAAAAATAACTTAAAATTCGGTAATGCTTAATTCAATATTTAATGGCCTGAGGCTAGAAGCTGCAATGATGTCTGTAAAAATCAAGCAGCAATAAAAAAGCAGGCCCATTCAAATTGTATGTGTTTTAAAATGTAATATATTGCTTATTTAAAACTGAGACTAACTTTGCTAACTTTCAATCTAGTCAGTCCTAAGTTACTAAATAAACATTCACCTTTCTCATAAACAGTTTACTCCTCCCGAAAACCGAAAACTAAACTATTATTAAAGACATTAAACCATTGTGGTCCATGCTAATTGCAGGCTATTTATCCTTTAATCAACCTAAGCCTTTTGAGACAAGGACGAAGGCAGCAAAAACATATGCGCTCACCTCAGCACAGATGCATTTTATTACTTATACGCCAGGTGGGCTGGCTGTGTTTTTTGCACTTTGAGGGTGATGTGCGTGTGTGAGCAGAAGTTTGGGGAATGCCAGGTGCATGCAAATGCAGGATCGTAATGATGTTGCGGCTTTTTGACTTTACACGGCCACAGTGGAAGCCACAACTCTGAGCCACCTGATGCCATAGAGCCATCCAGCATCCTGCCGCCTGTAGTGGCGGAAAGTTGCAAAAGTTTAAATTGAATTCTTAATTATTGCGCACACGAGGCTGCAATTTTAATGCACACATTTTTGGCCCAGGCCAGGCCAGAATGTTTAGATAATAATTCAGTTTTCCAGCAAATTGTCAAATGCGCACAGCACATAGAGTCACATGATTATTTTATTTCTGGCCATGCCGTCTTTTTTTTTTTTTAGTTTTTTGAGGGCAGGGGGATCAAAGAGATTCATGCTGGCCCTGGTTTGATTTATGTGAACGTGTGCCCGGCAAATTTTGATTTGTAGCTCCATAAAATGTTTCAGCTGGCAAAGGAGCAAAATTCGAGTTGAATTCCATGAAACAGTAGCTACGGCAGAGTTGGTTATTGAAATCCAGCAGATAACTTGGCGCAGGACCAGGCGTACAGCATAGTTTTCAGTCAGCGGCAGTCAACGGTGCGTATGAGCAATCAGTCAGCCAGTCAGTGAGTCAGTTAGCTACCGATATCTGAATTTTTTATGCTTCGCCTAGTGTGAATTTGCCGTAGGTCCAATGCGAACTTTAAAATGCTGTACTGTACTGGATCTTTAAGGATATAAATTCAATAATTTACAGGCTTCTCCCCTTGATTTCCAGCCACAAAGGCAGTTGAGTAATGATGTAAAATCAGGAGAAGGTAAATCGCAGCATTAAGTTTTATTTACGTAATGGTTTTTGCCTAGTCTGTGGTATCTTTTGCCCTGCGGCTTTAATTATTCCTGCCATCTCAGAGGACTTCTTGTTTGCCTTGCTTATTAGCCGGAAAATGTGGTAACTTGCAAATCGAGAAAAAGTGACTCACCAATTAACTTTTTGCCTTCGCCAAACCAAGCTATGCAGCTTTTAAGCTTCTGTCAAAATAAACAAACCCAACTATATGTAGTCCATTCTAATTGACTGTGAGTCACTGGCAATAGTTGATTGTTCGTTGTGGTTTTTTCAACTTGGCCCCCGAACAATTAACAATGCAAATGGATACGACGACGCTGGAGAGGATGGTAGGTGCCGGCAAGTAGTGAATTCATTTAGCCCGCAAAACCAAAACCTAAGCCGCTCCGGAAGACCTTCTCGTTTGCAATCAGAATCGGCGGCTTAAGCTGCACATAAATCTTGCATTGAATGGCAGGAGAACTTTCACCTGCACCGCCATAAATTTCCATTTCCAATTCTACCACTCAATGCGGCTTAAATGCCCGACTATTCAGTGACAACGTTTCGGTGAGGAGGAATTCTTGGAGGAAGTTGGCTGTGGGGAAAACAATATTTTGGCAAGGAAAATTAAGTAATCAATTTCATTGGTAAAGAGGTATATCTGAAGGGGATTTTAAAATTTAATTTAAATCACTTTATTTTGAGATTCTTTAAAAACTAACTCCACTCCTAATCTAAAAACTGTCGATTAATGGGAACCCACTTTTCGCCACCATCTCGTCGATCCAGTTCCTGAGGTAGGCGACATTCGTATAGACCGCCGGTATATCCTGTTCGGCACATTCTACGCCCCAGGACACGATGCCTACCAGCTGGTAGCGATTCTTTTGCCCTGGTAATGTGCAAAATAATGGAGAACCACCGTCGCGCCTGCATGTGTCCTTGCCCTTCTCGCCGCCGGCACAAATGAAACTGGCATCGAGATTGTAACGACGCCCCAGGATCGTGCGTCGCAGTAGCCGCTGGCAGGTTTCATGGTCCACCGCCGGCAGTTCGATGCGCTTCAGCAGGTGTTCCATAGTGCGGGTCGTAAGGTTGAAATGCCCCCAGCCAGTGGCCAGGCAGTGGGCATCCCGCAAGTCCTGCTCCAGCTGAGGCGTCTCCTTCGCCGGCAGGCAAATGGGCTGAATATGTGGGGCTATATGGAACGGTTGTTCTAGCACCACCAATGCTATATCGTTGTAATAGGTCTGGTTGTTGTAGTTCTGGTGGCGATGCAGCTCGCTAACAGGACGCATCTGGTGGGGAAGCAGCTCGGTCTGGCTATTGAGATCCCATTCACCAGCTCGCACCAGAAGTGTGTCTTCACTGTACTGGGCCACATTATGAGCACTGGTTAGCACTAACTGCGGATGGATCAAGGTGCCGCCGCAGATATAGTTACCCTCCAAGTCCATCAGGACCACCATCCAGGGGAACTCAGCAAAGACGGACTCGCCATCGTTAAAACCTTCCAGCTTGTAGTAGAGTCCCTTGGGATTGCTGTAGCCACAGCCCTTAAACTGGAAATCCTTCACAGCCAGCTGCATTGGATTGTGACCCTCCTCGATCTAGATAAATTGTAATAATATTATTAATTTAAGACTCAAGTCTTGTTGGGTTGAAGTTAAAGATTTGATTTGACCTCAAAATGACAAAAACTTTGATTATAACCAGAAATGTCTCATTATCTGTATTCTCACTAACAGCAATTGGTATAAGTTATTTATATATAAGTTTTGGAAATTCCATTTTGATTATTTGATGAATTGCTAATTGCTAATCTTATAATCAGAAAGGTCTAAGAAACAAGAAAGCTTTAAAATGCTTAAGTATATTTAAAGAATTTTATGTGACATATGCATATGTTTTTACAGATTATTTTTGATTATTTTATGAATTACCAAAACCCACTTTCCGAAATCAGGAAGCGGTGTTAATATGTAAAGTCAACAAAGTACATTATTGATCTTAACGTTCCTTAAGATGGGTAACAATAATATTTAACATCTTAACATATTTTAAAACATCAAAGAATGAAAAAAAAATTAACACAAAATCAAAACAAACCAAACATTTCTTCAATCAAAGCTATTTTTATTTCCTCTTGCAAAATTGACTTGATTCCAGAAGTGACCTTACTTTCTTCTATAATCAAATCACAATAAGTTTTCATTTTTGCTATGTAATTCAGTGTAAAACCCATATAAATATCAAAATACCTAAGATGACCTCTCACCTGATCTTTCACCGGACAGCACTGCTCCACAGCTCGGCAGCCAAAGTTACTGTCATCGTTGAAACGCGGCTTGATAATGAACCGGCCATCCTCGTTGATAACTCCCGTAGTGCAGAGATGCCGGGGCACACATTCCCGCTGCACTCCGCAACTTTGGTAGCCTTCATCCTCTTTCTTGTCAGTTCTAGTACTCTCTTTTGTGGTTACTTTCAGAGGGTTTTCAGAAGAAAACAACCAGGGATTTTCTCGGTGCTGATTCCGGTACTCGATTTCGGCCTCATAGGCATCGAAGCTCTCCAGCTGCGCCTTATCGCAACAAACTCGTCCACGGCCACAACTGTTGTCCAGCAGGCGGACGTCCAGCTTCCCCTTCCCAGAGTCATCAGTCTCCTCGCACTTTTTCTCTCTAATGCAGATCTCGTGGCTATCGCAAGTGCGGATTGAATGACCCGTTGGTAGAAGGAAACTCAGTGTCAGACCGATCAGTAGCACTAGCTCCACATTCATGGCGATCATTGGGTTGGGAACGGGAAATAAGCCACACTCATTCACACAGTTCAACTGAGCCAAACACAATGAGCAACAAACAATAGTTGAGAAATCAAAATAAATCCGATTCACTTTCAGGCAAATCAATGCGCAATTTTTTTTGAATTACGTTCAAGAGCCGCGACACGTTTCCGACTGACTCGGCCCTCACAGCGATCGGCGGTATTATAAGATTATAAGATTCTCTTCTCTCCAGAGACATTTCAATAAATGTAATTGTCTCTCATTTTATTAGATTTAACGATTCTCTTCCGACCTGCATTTCTCAGAAACTCGCAAGCCGGTTCCATAAATGTTTTGGAATTCAACGCCAGCCGTTCAGTCGACTCTGTAAGATAGAAGCTATTAGATTGTCTACGGATCGATGATATATATACATATTAACACCTATTAAGTGATAGGAGGATTAGTTTTGCTATTATATACTCTTTCATATGTAGATGATTCAGAGCATGCAGTCGTTTCCATTAAACTGGATCGAGTTTCATATGATAGAGTTTAAATTCTTATTAATTTTAATTTTAAGAGAAATTCTTTAGATTTTTTATGGTACACTAAGCTATTTCTTATCGAGGTAATATAGTTAACCTTAGATATGTAAAAATTATTTAAATTAATATGGTAAAACTCAGACTTGATCACATAGTTTATGTTTTTGACTCTCTTAGATTCTCTTCCAAACTGCATTTCTCAGAATTTTATTAAGCAGCATATAAATGTTCAGAATTCAATGGCAGGCATTCAGTCGACTTTGAAAAACTCAAGCTATTAGACCGTTTGCGGATTGAAAAATTAAAAGGAAGTGTCACTTACCAGTAGGTACATAAGTATTGGATTATATACTATTCCATATTTACATGATAAAGTGCTTTAGATGGAGTCTATATTCGATGTATAGTGAAACAACCATTCATAGAAATTGCATTACAATGTTTCATGTTAATATTCTTAACAATTTCTCTATAAAAAAGTTAAAGTTGGATAAAAAAACAATAATTTTCTAGAAAATTAATAGTTGTAACTGCATTCCAGTATTTGTTTTGTGATTAAAGAATCTTCACATTCAGCAACAATGAGCCGCCTACTGACCAGACTGAGCTGGATGCTCACAGCATGGTTCCTTCTGCTGATCCTGGTTACAGATTCAAATGCTGTCAATCTACAAAAATACGAAAGTTGCGGACCTGACATGGAGTGCACGCCGAGAACGCTGTGTCAGGAGTATTCGACTCAGTCTGGAGAGATTATCATCGCACCCAGGATCGCTAATACAGAGTGCCCACCTCTATACCGCTGTTGTTCTGTGGAGCATATCGTAAGACGCAGAATATTTTTAGTTCTGGAACTTAATTAACTTATTGAATTCTTGCAGATGGAATCCAAGTTTATTTAAGATAATCCCTTAAAAAGTGAGAGTGTAAAAATTGTTTATTTTCTTGAAAAATATAATAAATTTCAAAAAATTTAAAATTATATTTAGTATCAACGCTAATTTGGAGTATGAAAATAAGCAAAGTATAAGGGAAATTATTAAATACCGGGTTTTCATCAGAAACTTCGCCATGACAGGGTTGGGAAAAACCAGACTTGATCGGTTTCTATATAACATTCTCTCTTTCAGTTCTCTTACGATCTGCCAATCTCCCAAGCAGGTTCTATAAATGTTTTCAATTCAACTCTAGCCGTTCAGTTGACTTTGGGAATCGCAAGCTACAAGATTGTTTTCGGATCGGCGGCATCTATACGTGTTAATCTCCATAAGCATATAGGTATATAATATGCCAATATATATATCCGCGTACATAAGTGCATTGGTTGTAATCTATAATATATAATACCGCGAAGGCAACCGCTGATAATAAATCAGTTTCATTGAAGGCAATTAAATATTCATAATAATAGAAAAAGTTTTGCAGTCACTGTAAAAGCTGGTTGTAAAAAGTGCAAGTTAAAAGATAATCTAATATCCATTTATAATTTTTTGATGTAATGGCTACTAAGTGCTTGTGAAAACTATCAAATTCAAAGGAAACTGAAAGTTTTTAATATCTTTTTCGACTTCTTGACTTGAGTTTCCTTATTTTTGAAAGATTTAAGAACCTTCAAAGGGGGATTTAAGGTCTGTGTCCCCTTGTGATTGATTTCTTTTTAAATTTAATGAAGCGTGCACTTGTATACCAATCCAACGACGCCTGATAACCTCCATTGTGCATTGTCCGAGATTAGGGTTTCACTTATCTCTCCCTCTGTTCTCCGTTCCATCTACCCTTCACTCCAGCAGCTACCCAATAGCAACAATGAGCTGGTTGATCTCGACGATCTTCCTTCTGCTGGCCCTAAGTTCGGCCACGAAGGCCCAGGACACGGTTTCGCTGGCATGCCGAGCAAATGAGCTGTGCACCACAATACAGAGGTGCCTAGACTCTGACGACTCCGGCCGTATGGGCATCGGTCCACGTAGTTCCAGGTATTGTGACACACGAAAAGTATGTTGCGATAGGGAGCAGCTGGAGAGCTGGGACAGATCGCAGGGCTCAATGACTCGCGCCAGTCAAACCAAGACTATTCCTATTCGAGAGCCAAATCAAAGTTGCGGCGTGAATTTGGAGTGTGTGCCCAGAAAGCTGTGCCGCGACAACTATGTCAACGACAACGGTGCCACCCTGATCAATCCCAGAATCAGCACGATTCCGTGCAGCAAGTCCCTGTACCGTTGTTGTGCTATTGACCAACAGGTGAGTCCATTCATGCTTACACCGAAATCCTTACTAATTCTTTGGCAACCTTCTAGGTGAATGAGACACAGAGTCCTTATGTTTCGCATGCCCAGAACTTCGTGTATAAAAACTGCGGTTATAGCAATCCCAAGGGTCTGATTCCCGATGACGACAAGTTCGATTACCCAGAGGACGTCTCAATTTTCGGAGAGTTCCCTTGGAATGTGGCCATCTTTACGGGGCGGCAAGATTTTCTTTGCGGTGGCACCCTTATCCATCCGCAGCTAGTGTTAACCTCCTCACACAACCTGGTCAACGATACGGTAAACTCCCTGGTGGCCAGGGTCGGCGAGTGGGATCTGAACAGTCTCAACGAGCCATATGCTCACCAGAGTAGCCGCATAAAGGAGATCATCATGCATCCGGAATTCGATCCCCAATCCCTGTACAACGACATAGCACTGTTGCTCCTGGAAGAGCCCGTTAAGCTATCTCCGCATATCCAACCGTTGTGCCTGCCTCCCCTACAAACGCCGCAGGTGATCGACCAGCTGCTCTCGGCCAATTGTTTTGCCACTGGTTGGGGTGCCAAGGCTTCGCGCACCGCCAAGTTGGAGGAAGTGCTAAAGCGGCTCAATCTGCCGCTGGTGGAGCACGAAGAGTGCCAAGCCAAGTTGAGAAACACTCGACTGGAGTCTCGTTTCCGGTTGCGGCCAAGCTTCATCTGCGCCGGCGGAGATCCTGACAAGGATACCTGCAAGGGTGATGGTGGTTCACCGCTTTTCTGCACAATGCCCGGCGAAATGGATCGTTATCAGCTGGTGGGCATCGTCTCCTGGGGTGTCGAGTGTGGTGTAGAGGACATACCGGCTGTATACGCCAATGTGCCGTATTTGCGTAACTGGATTGATGAGAAGATCCGAGGACTAGGCATCACAATGCAGGCGCAATAAGCTGGAACTCCATTTTATAAATGAAATACTTTAATATGATAATTTCTCGCCTTCATGGAAATAAAAACTCACAAAATTAACCTGAAAATGTGTAATTATATCTTTCAATTTAACTTTCAATATACTTCTTGTAATAGATTGCAGTACTTTCCAGCATAAGTCCACCCTCTCCTATAGATTGTTTCAAACCCTTTTCATTTGCTAACATTATCTGCTATCGTACATCTTCTATATCCGCTATTTATCCGTGCCACCATGCCACCTTGCCACTAAAACGCCGGGATAGTTTTCCATCCAGGCACTTAACTCGAACATAGCTCCAAGTCACTCGATTTATTGCAATCCTTGAACAAAAGGAGCTTGGTACTAGGAAATACGAGCCAAGGAGCACGCAGCGTCTTCATGCCAGAAGCTTATAAATAGTCAAGCCATGGCAGATGGCTATGTGGACCAATCCACCCATTATTTGACACCCACCCGACTCCATTGCTCCGCTTTTGCATCGCGGCAATGGAACCAAATTAACCAGGAGCCAGCCGGGAATGGCCAAAAGCAACAGAAACAACACATCGCATGGCCAAAAATTGAGAAATTACACGTTGGGCCGGGCAAATGGCTGAGCGAATTGATTTTCGGGCAGCCTGCTGTTCCTCCTTCTTTTGGCCCTCCTCCGTGGATTCCCTGGCCAGAAGCTGGGCTAAAAACTCATTTCTCAAGTAAATTGTTTAAACAGTTTATGTTTTGTTTTACGTTCTCGTAATTTATTGGCCTTTTTTACGGCCCTCGCGTTTTATATTGATTTTGTTGGTTCAATTTAGCAACTAAGAAGTGCAGAATTTGCCAAGAAGAAAGTGCAGTTTTTATGGGATGAATAAATTGGAATACCATAGAGGAATAAGAAATCTATGAAATTAACATAATTTATAATCAAACCAAAATTATGAAAATATTTGCAACTATCTTTGTTTTTCAGAAGTTTAAGTTAAAAGGTTAAAAATATAAAACTCTTAGTTTTCCTATAGATAAGATACACCTGTTTATTTAATCAACTTTTCATTTGTTTATAACCACAGCTCGTAAAAAATAAAATTCTTAAGGGTAGTCATAAATATATTGATTTTTTCTTTCAGTACTTAAAGGCAACTTATCGCCTTCAAGTAAAGAAGCTTTCTTATCGGTTAGTAACATTTAAGTACTGATTTTATATTGCTGCTTCCTAATCAATGATCTCAACTTCTTGACTTACTTATTTGAAAAGATTTTTCTACTGTCAATTACTTAAATTACTCTTTAACTTACTTTTATATGGAAGTCGTAGAAAATGCTCAAAAATCATCCAAAAAAATTGAAAACTCAAAATTTGCATATACCAAAATAGGTTTATATTATTCCTTTATTTTCGTTGAGTTCTTAGTAAGAAATTCCAGTGTGGTCGCGGATCCAGTCCAGGTATCCGGTGACACGGGTGAAACCAGCGGGCCTGCCAGCGGTGCAGCCCTCTCCACTGCCGAAGGATACGATACCCACGATGCGGTTGCCCTCGTGGAGGACCAATGGACCGCCAGAGTCACCGCTGCAGGAAGACTTGCCACCTTCGGTGTTGATGCAAATGGTGTTGTCCGTGATGTAGTTGCCACCGTAGTAGTTACGGCAGTCGTTGTTCTCCATGATCTGGACATCCACGCAGTTCAGGTAGTTGGACATGCCGCTGTCGTTGTTGGTCAGACCCCAACCGGAAGCCACAGCCCACCAGCCGGAGAAGCTGTTGTAGCGATCGTTGTAGCTGGGCAGCTCAACCTTGTTGACCAGACTCCAGAAGTCCACATGAGGAATACGGATCAGAGCAATGTCGTTGTTCAGGTAGTCGTTCCAGTCGGGATGCTGGATCATGTCGCTGCGGCTCACCCAGTGGGTGTACTGGGCCTCATGACGGAAGCTAGCTCCGAAGTAGATCAGCACATGGTTGGCGTTGTTCGTGCAGTGGGCAGCGGTCAGAACCCAGGTGTTTCCAATAATGGAGCCACTGCACCAGTATCCACCATCGTTGAAGCTCAGGCCCACAATGTAGGGCACCTTACCCTCGTAAGCTGGGTAACCATTGGTGATGCGACCCTCGATCTTGCCGTCGCGGGGCATGTCCTTGACTGGGACAGCCTTGCCAGGCGCCGCAGGCAGCACACTGGCGGAGGCAACAGCCAGGCAGGCTAGGAATACAAACAGCTTCATGGTGGTCAATCAGCAACTGCCGAGTAATGGCCAAAGCAACCTCTTTATACAGCCACCTTATCGCTGCTCAACGGAAGTTAGTAAAACTTTTATTCCCGCTTATAAATCATTGTTATTTTGAATTTTTATAAAACCTATCTACGTGTTAGATAAGCTATCTTAACTGGTTAGTGCTCAATCATGGTTAATAGGTCAAATAATAAATAATCCTTTCGAGGTGTTTATGCAAAGAAAAGTCAATTAAATAGAATATTATTGTAATCATTTGGCTTTTTAAAATAATTTTCTTTATAAGTTTAATACTGTTTAAATCTCTTACAAGTTTTTATGAAGAAATTAGCATTTCTTCTGTGGGACAAAATGTTGATCTACAAGAGAAGGAGTAGCCAAAGTTTTACATGACATTTCCATAATAAGGTTTGCTTTTGATGAGAGGCTGGCTAACCACTAACATGCATGAAATATGAATACCTTCCTTAATGAATGTATAATAATAACTCTCCCTCATTAGGATTTAAGCCCTGAGACCATCGGCTTTCTCGTTCTGGCCATTCAACTGTTCAAGCTGAGATCAATTTACGCTTGATTAGCTTTCGCTTTGCAAGCAGGGTGCAATCAAATATTTGCCAAATTGATAATCATTTAATTATAACAAAGCATAATGCAAAATGCAACTGCTAATAGCAAATGTATCTCGGATGGCAGATGGGATGGCTGGCCTGTTTTGAGGGATTGTGTTGCAATGTGTGTGTTTGCAATTATAATGGCCCTGGCCACAATTGTGTTGCATACTTTGAGGCACAGTTCCTTGCCATCTGTCCGCCCAGCATCCAGCTCCTCCTCCTCCTCTTCCACCTCCACCGACTGGCAAGCCATCAAATTACAAATGATGTAGTGCCCGGGGGAAAATGGAACGAACAGGATGGACGGTACGGACTGGGTTGCACTGCAGCTTTGTGGCCAGTGAACGGAAATAGAAACAGCTGCAAATGGCAGTTAGCTCAGTTTCATGCCACATATATGTATCTATGACCACATGTATGTTTCTATGCACGTTATGCATATAGGTTTGTTTCGATGTGGCACAAACAAAGAAAAAAAGTTAAGCATTCCACTAATGTCCCACGCACGCGCTCACAGTCGGCAGCATGAACAATTGACACTGGCTAATTGCCGTGGAAGGTCCACTAAATGCACCCATAATCATGTTATTCGGATACCCTGTTCAGGCCAGACCGTATGTGGAGGCAGGAAACTCAAACTAATGTTTAGCCAGCGGAAGGCGATGTCGCTTTATTAGTAAGGGAAATGCCGATTCACTGGGGTTAATAGTATTATAATTCCTTCTAATTCTTAATGATTACAAATTTTATTCAAAAATGTTTCTTGCATTTTTGGATAAACATACTATACCTTGGTAACTCCTGGATTCCATGGAACCTCCCAATCGAATCTCTACTATAAGCATCCCAAAAGACCTACCCGAAAAATACATAAATCACGGCTAATGGCTTTGAACTCTCTGAAGATCATTATGATCCTGGGCCTAAAAGGTACTTCCTTAGTCGATTAATTAACCATCTAACTCGCCCGTTCGAATGTTGTCGCGCTAATTAACAGCCCGAGAATAAATTACGAGCACGGACATTGGCAAAAATCCGAAGTGTACGAGTGTCATGACCGGAGGGACTAGTGCGGACCAAAAGCGTGGGATGATGTCCGGTTGGAAACAATTAAATGCATGCCCGCGCGTCCACCCAGTAAGGGTGGTCCACATTGCGTATACGCAGCATGGGCCATGGAAATTAGCCCAGGCACATAGAGTTCTGCACTCGCACTCACTGTCGGTCCCACTCGGATTCACATTTGGCAATTCTATGCGACATGTTGTCAACGTTTTAGACAATTTGTTATGCAAATTGCTTATTAACTTTATGACCGACACACACCAACTCTCCACTTGGCCGTCCTCCAAAACATTTTGAATTGTCAATTAGTTGCGTCGGCCAAAAGCCCCATAACCAACCAGATATTCACCTGCCAGAGGACAGAGAGATCGAGTGAGAGTTTCTAAATACAATTTCTAGCATTATTTAAACATTGACCCGCGTCGTTTTATGTCATTTTATGGCCACCTGGCCTGCCACGGACTGCCATTAAATGGACATAAAATGGCCCTGGCTTCAATTTTAATTTATGTCCTGCTTCCAATGCTGCTGCAGTTCCTCTGCCTGCTTCTGCATCCCTGCATCATGGGAAAATTCCTGCTCCTTTTACCTGCTGCTAATGACATTGGCTCGCTATCGACAGTGGCCTTTAACTTAATTGAAAATTTTCATTTTGTTCCTGCTAAATGGCGGTGAGCTGTTATTTATGGCGCTCACTGGGTACTGGCCAAATAGCCATCGAACCTTCAGCCCATCCACACTTAGTTGGCATGATTTGTGTAGTTTCACTTTAATGATGTTTTTCATTGTCCACAGAAAATTTAATTTTTGCTTTTAAAGGTCAAATGAAGTTTTATTGTTGATTTCGGTTTATTTTTTAACATATATTTAGATGTTATATGTTCTGCCTTACCAAATATAACCTTCTCGCTTGAATTCCTTAGATGGCAATCCACAGCTTTTCGTACTTTTGTAGCCTTACAATGAAACCTGTGAAATTGGGCAGTTAGCTGAAATGTCTTGGAATTAGCGCACATAAGTATGCAACAGCTAGCAACTACAAAGTAGCACAAGCCCTAAATACTTTTGGCTATCTCCTGCTCTCCTTTCACTTTATTGGTGATGGTGCACTTGGCCACATTTGCAGGTCCTGCTGCCCCTTTATTGTGTGTCCTATGCTCCGCTCCTTTAGAGCAATCGTGTCTCGGACATGAATTACGTTTACCGACAATTAATTTCAAGTGAAAATGTGCTAAAACTTTTAATTGGGCAGCCAAGTGGCTGGCTGGCTGGTTTGCTAGCTGGTTGGTTGGCTTGCGAAAAGAGAAGGATCTACAGAGCGGGACAGTAAGCAAACGTGGCAGCCATAAAAATGTCGACAACATGCCTGGAAAATGTTTCATTCCACCAATTTTGCTGCAGGTGCGCTCAAGAGGCAAAACTTGAAGTTTAAAGGTTAAAAATTATTTACAAATATTTCCAAACAAAAGTGTAGTTTCTCTTTACAAACACATTTTTAATAATTTAAGTTTTTTAATTAAAAAACTACCAGCAACCTTTGAAAAATATGCATAAAGGTGTGCTACAATTTTAAGGTCAATAAACAATATTAGTAATTTTAATTTTTTATTTCATTATTTTATTTCAACCTTTTAAAAAATATATATTGAAAAATTCAGCTAAAGTTTTTCTTCTTTATTTTTTATTTCTTAATAAAAGCATTCAACCAAATGCTGCCAGACAAAGCACTTACGCCGCTTGAGTAATCAAAACAGACAGGCTCACCTTGTGACAGACATATGCACATATGTGAGAAGACAGTCAGCTAATTATGTCAATTAAACGTTTGTGCCCGACATTTGCCGGTCATTGTCGGTGACACTTAACCAACTCACTATGACGAGCATGGTTCACTGCATTTCAAAAGGATGAAATAACTGGAAAATGAGCCAGGACATGAAGTGCACCAATAAAATTATTTCAGAAGTTTTAAGCCCAATTTAATACAATAGTTAAGTTAAGATATAACTTATATTCAATAGCTTAAAAGTTGTTTAAAATATGTAAAGATAGGATAATATTTTATTTTATAGGCATTTTGAGACTCCAAAAAGGTTGTTATATTAATCAGGTTGAAGGTTATATTTAACCTTGAGCAAAAAATTAATAAATTCTTAAAGCTTATGAAATTTTATGATATTTTCCCTGTGCATTGGCTTTTCCAAATGATGACACACAAAGAGTGACATGGAAATGACGTCTGCACGTGTGAGTGTGTAACTGCGTGTGAAGGACATAATATGCAAATAGGTTTTGAACAACAGTCAGTTCAATTCAGTCGACTGTTTCACAATGAAAGGAGACAAAAAAAAAAGAGAAACTGAGTAGAGCAGAATATGGGTCAGGGTCGCATTGGTAACTATTATGTGGAATAACAATGGCTACTCAACCATTAAGTAGACCAATTCGCTTGACCAAAAAATTCCAGAAATGCACACAAATACACCGGTGAAATTCTCAGAGCTAGAAAAATCCACTCACGTACAAACGTTGTACTAGTTATTTGAACAAAACAAACACAAGCACAAATACACACACACACACATATACCGCAACAGACCGAAATGTGCACTTTTCCAAATGGCAATGGAAAAGACCGAAAAAGAAGACAATGCTAGGGAAAGGTGGAAAAGTGAGGCCAGGACAGGTACAAATCTATACAAACAACAAACAGCATACGCCCAAACTCTCGTAACAATAACAATTCAATCAAATGTTCACCCTGTTCGTCTATGGAAATCTGCGAATGGAAGCAGCAAACAACAATACACGGGTGGAGGGGGTGATAGATGTAGGATAAGAGGGGCCCGAAATGTTTTGATTAAAATTAGTTGAAGTTTCAACACAGGCGAAAGCTTTCTTCTCAGTTCATAATATCTCTCTTTGAGATTGCGCAGTAGAGAGTGTCCTAACTTTACCGTTAACTATCTGAGAGAACTGAAGGATAAATCGGAGAAAGATAAGCTGAAGGGGAAGGTTGTGCGATGTTTTGTTAGCTGGGAAAGAAATCGTCTAGTGAGAGAATTAAAAGCTAAGAAAATGTAGTTTAAAAACACCAAGGATGCTTATGAAATATGCCTTAAAGTATGCAACTGTATATTTTGAAAATAAAGTTCAGATGGATTGGAAAAAGACAACGTCTTTCTTTTAATGCACCCATTCTCTTAGACAGGAAATTGACATACGAGAGCCTTTAAAAATCATTAAAAAAAATAAATATGTCTCTAAATTCGATAAAGTTTTTAGCAGATGCAACCCCATTTCTTAGCCAATTCTAATATATGGTCTATCTGCAAATCAAATCTAGATCCCTTTGCTCTAACTTAAAGGTACCCAGAACATGATTATATACTCTAATGTTCTGTACATAATATCATATTAATACTCTAGCTTATAGAGAAAGTTGCTCAATTGTTTTTTCAAGTTTTTCAACTTGCAACACGTGCGGCATTTTGTTGTCGTTCAAATAGCTATATAGTTGCGTCAGTGATGCTTATCAAATGGCTGTTGTTGCTGAAAAAAGGGGGGTATCCCGTTAGTTCCCAACCCGTTGGCGTAAAGCGTGTGCATTTTCACAGCCGTTTGAACTTGCCAACATTCGCAAAATGTGCAACATGGCGTAAAGAATTCTTGTTAAGCGCAGCAGTTAGCTTTCGAGGAGGCATCACAGCCATCCGAAAAACTTTACTTTGCATCTATGCACGCAGTTGCATGTGTAAATATACGTCTATATAAAAGCACAGATGCTAAAACTAGAGTAGCTACTAATTGAATCGTTGGCCATGACAGTTTAATAAGTAACTCACAGAGGCAGATTCAAAAGAGACAGTAACTTTAGTATTGATTAATGCAAAAACCATAATTTTATAACTTAAACAGTCAATAACACATACACCCAAGGTGTGCTTTCAATGCCATCGAAAGTAAATGCTCTACAATAAAAGTCTAGTGCCAACTTTCACTTCGAAGGACAGTGAAGCAGTCCCACTGACATAGACGGGTTGTCAAGCCCAGTCCATCATCCGCTGTTCGATGAAGCGCAAAGCGGAAATCAGACGCCATATCGGACGGACATGTTCGACAAGGCCCGAGCGGAAATGGAAAGCTGGGCAAAAGTATTGAGATTACAAAATTGACTAGATAAATATCCAAACAAAAATACTCTCTACTTTGCTGCAGGCCAATAAAACGCAGTCAATCCGCACTGCCCATTGTTCGGCTTTCATGCCAAACGGAGATGTAATCCAAGTCAGTTGAGAGAACATCACAATCGATTTCAAATTTGCAGTAAAAATGCAAATATCCAGATATATGGAATGTGGCATGAGAGGTCAGAGCCCCATCCACATGCAAATTCCCATTTGACTAAGTTTCGTTTTGTCAAATGCATCAAACAGAGGGAAACCCAGAGTCACGCAACAAACGCAGATGACACAGCTCCAATTCCACTTGCAGATACATTTGCAGTTGCAATTTCAGTTGCAACTTCCAGATACAGATACATATATGTATTGAGAGCTGTAACTGAAACCGATTCTTTTCCGTTACGCTAGGGATTTGTTTCAAATGCATTTTCAAAATATCCGCAGGCATCTGTGATGAATCAGATTATCCTTCAGATTTATGTTAATGCTGTAATTGTAGTTTCCTAGTTATGTAAATAATAATAAATATCTCAATAATTTCTCATCTGTTGATTCCATTTGTTGACCCATTAGAAGTCAATCAAAAGGATAAGGTCCCTGAGAAGCCTTTTGTTGACTTTTTCATCTGGAACTGCTCGTTCTTCCCCAGACATAGTCTGTCATTCAAAATCCATTGAGCGTGACGTATGAGTATGAAACTCTTTTGGGTTCATTTGGAATGTTTGGCTCCATATTCTCCATCCTCTCTGTCAGTCAGTCATGGTCTATTAATTTTATTAGTGTCATCGCATATAGCTAACGTCTCGGAATTCGGAATCCTCGTTTGCTGAGGAGTCACATTTTTTGTGTGGTTGAAATTCTCATTTATTTTCCTGCCTTTCTTGAGTGGCTTGCACAAAAAAGTGCAGTAAATTTAATCAGGCCACAAAAAATGTCCAAGGCAAGATATACGAGGTGTGTTCAAAAAGTAAGGTGACTTTTCAAATTTCGCGGGCAACATATTTTCGATTATCGTTTTTTTTTGTTTTGTTATATTGGTACACTCTTCCCTAACATCTGTACCAAGTTTCAATGGAACATCCTCTTTTGTTTGGTTGTGAGAGGCGTAAAGTTACAAGTTGTTTTGCGAGCTCGGCGATTTTTTGCTTTTTTCGGTCTTGGCTCGTCTGGGCTCTTCCATTGGGACGATTGGGCTTTGGTTTCGATATCATAACCATATACCCATGATTCGTCACCAGTTATGACCCTTTTGAGTAAATCTGGGTCGTCGTTGACGTCATTCAACAGCTCTTGAGCGATGCTCATGCGACGGTTCTTTTGCTCAAAATTCAGCAATTTCGGAACAAACTTCGCTGACACACGACTCATACCCAAAACGTTTGAAAAAATTTCATGGCACGAGCCAAGCGATATACCGACATCTTCAGCAACTTCTCTGATAGTGATTCGACGATTTTCCAAAACAATTTTCGTCACTGCTTGAACGTTTTCATCAGTTGTTGACGTGCTTGGGCGTCCAGAGCGAGGCTGGTCATTGGCATCTTCCCGGCCATCTTGGAAGAGTTTGTACCACTTGTACACATTTTTTTTACTCAGAACAGTTTCACCGTATGCCACTGTCAACATTTCAAGTGTTTCAGAGCACTTAATTTTATTTTTTACACAAAATTTGATGCAAATCCTTTGATCCATATTTTTCGATAGCAAAAAATCGCCGAGCTCGCAAAACAACTTGTAACTTTACGCCTCTCACAACCAAACAAAAGAGGATGTTCCATTGAAACTTGGTACAGATGTTAGGGAAGAGTGTACCAATATAACAAAACAAAAAAACGATAATCGAAAATATGTTGCCCGCGAAATTTGAAAAGTCACCTTACTTTTTGAACACACCTCGTATTCTCAGAAGAGTTTTCTTTAAGGGACTTCTTTTGGCTCAGGTTGCAGCTCTGACCCCAAAATATACTGCCGAATAATTTCTTTTAGCCCAGCAGAATGTGGTACACTTATATTCTATGATTTATTTGTTGCATTAGTGAATGTCGTTGGCAGCAGGACCAAGAGCCCACTCCCGAGTGTCTGGCCCTTGTCCGAGCACCTAAAGGTAAGACTATAGTACGTAGAAATAATGTACTAGAATGATATAGAAAAGAAAGACATATACAGTAGTAACTGAAATTTGTGCGATAACTAGAACGGGTAATGCCCCCAAGGACTCAACATTTGGCCAGCAGGACATTAACAATTCTTTGTTTTTTAACCACTTTAAAAATGCTCAAAGTCGTTGGAGTCAACAAACAGAGACACAGGCGCAAACAAACACGGCACAGTGGGGCAACGGCACTACAGTAAACACTGCAGCAAGTGGAAACCAGCGAGGCATGCTAATTGTGTCATTTACATTGGCAAACAAGTGCGAGCTAACAAGTCAAAGGCTCAAACAAATTAATGCGGCTGAGCGCATCTGCTGAGCTCTTTGCACAGTGCAATTAACGGCCACCGAGGAGTTGGTAAGATGGGCAAATAATTAATTTAAGAGCATTGCGGTCAGAGGTAAAAATAAATAAGATATGAAAAAAAAACAAAAGCAAAAAATTCTTGTCAGAAGTGGGATTCGAACCCACGCCTACAGAGTAGACTGCGACCTGAACGCAGCGCCTTAGACCACTCGGCCATCCTGACTTGACCATGGGTCAGACCAAAACACTATAAAGTTTTCCCTCAAATTGATCTAGCCAAAAGCTATAGCACTAGATAAAGTTCTAAAAAAGCTTCGATCAACTGACCAATGATCGATAGCTGACTTTTCGATATATTATCGAAATTTAAAGACTTTCCTTCCGAAATCAAGAGCCATATTACCACTCTCAAGTAAAACTAGAAAATAGTTTCATTTATTGATTTATCCAGTATTTCATACGATCAAAAATATAATAATGCATTGATACTTATTTGTAATAATTGTCTTACATCTTTATTTACTTGTAACTCATTTCGTTAATATTACAATAATGTATTTGATCAGCGTGATAAGTGTTCAATTTCGAATTTGGATATACGAGTACCATACGCCTTGCCCTCGTGAGTTTTTCCAGATGTCGAAAATGTGGTTTTTATCAGTTGAATTTTATTTTAAAGAAACGCAACGTTTCCACAAAAAATTGCTAAACGTTTCCTAAATATACATAGTTTAACTAAAAATATGACTACAATTTATTCAAAAAGTTCTTGCACATCTAAAACAAATGTTTTTTTTTATTTTTTAAGATCTTTAATTTAGCCAGTTGGCCTTCTAGCGTTTTCCATTGTTTTTTTGTTTATATTTTGGTACTAAGTCTTTCATTGTTGCATTTTAATTTTGACTTTTCTCGTTACGTGACATAAAAATATTTAATAAAATTCATTAGATGGTTTTTTTTCTTTAACTAAATTGAGCTAAAATATATATTTTACATTTGCCTTTGTAACCTTTCTGCCTTTGTGTTTTTTTTTTTTAATAATTGTTGGATGGTTCCATTTGTGTTTAGATGCACTTCTGCGCCAAAAAGAAGCATTTGCCAGGGAAATTCTTACGTTCTTTGCTTTTCAGTTGTTGCATTTAATTCATAATCAAGTTGCTTTCTTTTCTTCTTTCTACATTCATTCTTCATTCATTACTTCAAGAATTCCATTACATTAAACTTAGCATAGAGAAGTACACTAAATATTATTAGATTTATTATACACATATATGCATTTATATAGATGCGTGTACATATATCGTATGTACATAATTAATAGGCAACCACTTAAGCTTAATATAAAAATAAGTATTGTTTATGCAATATTCATTTGCCAAAAAATGTACTAAAAAAAAACCGAAAACTGTACAGTATACAATATTCTCATCATCGGCAATCAGTTATCATTATCTTTATCATTGTCAATCTGTTCAACAGCATTCTAAGCACATACACAGCGCATTTCCAAACCAAACCCAGCTTTAGCTATCTACCAACACAACTTCAAAGGACTTTTCTTTTATTATGATAAAAAAAAAAACGAGTAATTTTCAAAATTCTAGCAAACAAGTAGAGACAAAACCAATTGGTAAGAGAATGAGAACTTTCTATCTTTACATGCCCAGTGTGACTTATCGTTTTGTCGTATATACGTATATTACTCGGCGTTCAGATCTTTTTGGACTTAAGCTAGTTTGGTTTTGGATTTGGTATGCATGCTAATGCCGTGTGGGGTGCTACTAAATTGCCATTAGTACACACTAGCTTCATTGCTGCTGCTCCACTAATGTTGTTGTCTCCGTGTTGTTGTCGTTGCTTCATCTGATACCTCTGGTTTAGTACATTGATTTTCATGAGGCGTACATGCGGTTAATATCATGCTGATATCTATCCTGGATATCCTTGCGCTTCAGCTTGAATGCGGCCGTTACTAGTCCCATGTCCGGAGACCACACCTCCTTACACAATGTAATGGCGGCTGGCACCTCATACTTTTGCAATTTACCTATAACATTAAACAAATCATGTTTAGTTCATTCAACAAGTAGTCAACTAGTCATAGTAACTTACATTTCCGCGCATGTTCGGCGATTTCCTTGAGTATAGCCTTTTCTATGATGGGCGAAGAGCACAGCTCCTCGAAGGTCTTATCACCTAGTCCATGTTTCTGGGCAAGCTCCTCTAGATGATTTTGGTTGGGGACGACCAGCGCCACTGTGAACTGCTTCGTGGGATCTCCGTAGACGCAAATGTTCTCGATAATTCCGCACGTCTTCAACTCAGATTCAACCTTGCCAAGGGAGACATATTCGCCGGCCTGCAGCTTAACCAGATCCTTCTTACGATCTAAAGGAAGCGGATGTTAATCAAACGATGGTGGAATGTTGGGTTTATAGACTTACCAATAATCTTAAGTACGCCATCAGCTTGGATTTCGCCAATGTCGCCGGTTTTGAACCATCTTTGTCCGTCATCCTCAAAGAAATCCTCGTTGGTCTTGCCAGGCAACTTATAGTAACCCTGGGAGACACACTCGCCGCCAATGAGAACCTCTCCCTGAGGGTATGGCCTGTTTGTGACGCGGTAGTTTCCTTCTTCCCAGTTAACCAGACGGATGTCGCAGACAGTCAAAGGTCCTCCAGTTCTTCCATAGGTCATATCACGGTCTTAATTTAGATTTAAAAACAATTAATTAATTTGAAATACAAGCTTGACTAAGCAATGACTTACAATCCATTACTGTGGCTCCAGAAGTGGTTTCCGTGAGGCCATAGCCCTGAATCAGCTCCAAGCACAGACAGGTCTTGATTTGCTCATGGGTGTCCGCTGACAGAGGTGCTCCACCGGACATGATAATGCGCACTTTTCCACCCATCAGTTTTGCCACCTTCTTGAACACCAATCTGGAAATGAATAATAGATTTAGTTACCAACCCATGACCATGATAAGGGCACTCTTCTTACTTGTCAATGAGCGGCGTCTTGTAGCCCCGCTGCACCCACTTGACTTTGTACTGGTAAAGGAATTTGAAGAGTGCTTTCCGGAACGCCGAGCCCGAATTGACCTTGTCATTAATGCCCTTGGAGATACGATCGAGGATCAGTGGCACCGAAGTCATGCATGTAGGCTTTAGAACAGTGGCGTCTCCCTTGCAGCCACGCTTGATCTTGCTGCTAGTGTCGATCAGGGTCAACGGAGTCGAGTAACCAATAGGCACACCGGTCATTAGACACACACTCTCCGCAACCAATTCAAAAACGTGAGCCAGGGGCAGGAATCCGATCAGAACATCATCCGGATAGATGGGTACCATGTCAACGAAGCCCTTCATCGTGGCAATGCAGTTCTTGTGAGACAGAAGGACTCCCTTGGGTGTACCAGTAGAGCCGGAAGTGTACATGATGATGGCAATGTCATCGCCCTTGGGTGGCACATGTTCTATGGAAAGAAACAAAGTTAAATTAATATGATTGTTTAGAAATCAGTAAGCTTTTCCAATAATTTCATTCTCGATCAGATTTTGGTATAACATCGAAGTAGTTCTATGAGCAGAGCATGCTAGTCTTTATCTTGTCAATTTTTCTATCAGTACCGAATTCCTTCGGTATAGAAGAACAATTCTTCCAAAATTTGTAAATAGTAAAATTTTAGTTAAAAGACAAAGTTCAGAATGTCTGATGTAGTGGAGGAGTTCATCACACTGACGCCCTTGACATGTGTGCACCAGTGCAACGCTTTGCTGGGTGAAACAACAGGAAAGCCGAGAAGCTGCTTTGTATTTTTCACACTTTTTGGCGTATACTGCGGCGTTCTCGTCCTTCGGGCATATCGAACATATTCCTCAAGACATGGTGGAGACGGGGTCAAGATATCAGAAGGAGTCACACTTGAGGCCAAAGCGGAGGAATTGGACTTTGGTCCAGGTCCAAGCCTTGTGAAAGAATTTGTACAGCAAGCGAAACCGATCCTGTTGCAGCCGGTCGAGTTATCTAGCACTGACATGAGGTAAGTTAAGATTCTTAGAAGATTCATTGCAATAGCTTACTTATCCAACAGATGGCGCTATTGCAACAACCTGACTGAAGACGAATTTAACAAAGGTTACGGCGAAGAAGTTGCCGAGAAAACTGAAGAATTCGAAAGGATAGGTGATGAGGTGGCTGACGATGAACTACCCACAGTATCAGTGGCCACTTCCACATCGAGGGCAAGGTCTCCGGCACGTGAGAATAATGTCGATAAGGAACGTGTGGAGACGAAAACCTTTTCAGTGTGATCGTAATGCTCATTATTATCAGGATAATTTAGCTTTTGATCGAGAATAAAATAAACGGTATTTTAAGCCCTTTTAACACGTACCGAATTTGCTGTCTTGTCCAGACTTGACGACCTGGTTGAAGGGCAGGATCTTGACGCCGTCCTTGAAGCCAGTGGTTTCCGTCTTTTGCAGTTGATCCTCAATGTAGATAATAGTCTTGACCAGCGGGCATTTGTCCAACAGAGTCTTGAACTTGGGCAACAGATCGTGAGAGGTGATAACCGTGGTGACTTCCGTTTCGGTGATGCCTGGCAACAGATTCAAATGTTATTTCGGAAGCGCATAAATAGTTATGCAATATACTCACAGTGAGCCACTCCATCATCTCCAAGTGTGGCATAGACGGTGACAATGGGCATAGCCTGCTTGAAGCATCCATGGGCAGCGATCATCCACTCGGCCCGCGTTTCGGCAAAGATGACAATGTTCTCGCGTGGTTTCTGTCCCAGTTCTCGCAGACCGCGTCCGAAATTAGCCGCCGTGCGCTCCGCCTCGGTGAAAGTCTTCCATTTGTAGTCTCCCAAATTGTACTTCTTGAAGACACGTCCATTCTGTTGCACCTCATCCTCCTCGCTTAGGATCTGACGGGTGCCCAGACAACGCTTGGAAGTGTACGTCTTGGCCACATAGTTAAAGACCTTCTCCAGCGTATCGATGTTCTCCTGCAACATCTTCACGTGGACATCACGCGGTGGATCCGTAGTCCGGTAGGTCAGCTCATTGTCATCGTTCTTCACGATCTTTGCCTGGAAAATGTGCAAAATCGCGGGCGATTAGTTAGAATGTTGTGTCAGAGGTTTGCGATTTAAAAAATAACGCCAGATTAGGGGAGGGACCACAATAAGTAAAATCGACAGAGAGATAACAGACATGTGAGATTTTTTGAGGGTTTTGGTTGAGGTGAGGGCCATAACTCAGGAGATCATGTTTCGTTGACCAACACCAAAAGAGAGTCTCCAAACAGGGGATTCAACTCTGGATACGATCACCAATCCTTGGAACATTCATTGTGCTTGTGTATTGTGTATGTGTGTGTGTTGTATGGGGGTGCCCCAATGTGTGTTGTGTATGTGTATATGTGTGTGTGTGTACGTGTACGTGTATGTTCCATAACAGATAGTATTATTAAACTATTAAAAACACATTTGCAAAATAAAACCTCAATGTCATCCGGCGCGTACTTGGACTCATCGACCAACATTTTCGGGTTAATTAGCTTGGCCTGTAGGGGAAGGAGGAGTTGAGATATGCGATGAGAAGCTAGTTTAGCCATAGTAACGGATAAAGATTTCCTGATTCCTGACCTCTAATATATATAAATAATTCTTATTTATGATTCACCAAGCGGATTTGGCTTAAAGCAATGTAAACCAATTTATTGTTTATAAAGTTTATAGCACAAAAATTTATGATGCAAGCCGTCGATGTTTCGTCGCATAACCAAAACCCATAAACCTTATCAGCCCACTGAAAAGGCCAACCAAAAAGCGTTCCATTTAGATAGTGAAAAATCAGATAAAAATTAAGTTCCTCAGCTGGGGCTTTTCCTAAACGAGTTAAAGCTGGAAATGCTTATATTTTTGTTCTATCTATTATATGGCTAACATTTTCATTAAATTAATAATTTAGACAATATAAATTCCATAGGATTGTTTATTTAATTGCCAATTTATTGCTATGCAGTTTCATTTTGAGATATTTCTTCTTGAATTTTCATTTACTTTAGTTTTGAAAAGAGCTTATGGGCAACGCAATGATCCAATTCAGCAACGAAGTCATATAACTCCTCCACGCAAGTCTCAGTGGTTTTGGACTTGCTATTTACACGATCATTGCACTCTTGGTACTTGTCGTACAAGGACTTGATATGACCCTTTTCCTGGCACTTCTCCCTAAGGGTGGTTTGCGGATCAACTAACTCATCCCCGTCATCATCGGCTTCGACGACGGGCGGCGAGAACCAGCTTCTAAATGCCATGTTTATCGCTTTTTAGGGAATATGACTAATTTATTTTCCGGGGTATGTTATCAGTTAAATCTCTTATAGTATTTTTCAACTGACAGGAAAGGCGTTTGTTACTTGTTTAGCTAACTAGAACTATTCGAAAACATGAGTTACAACTCTATGAATGCTTTTCCTCAATGTTATTCGAATTTACTTATAAAAGTTAACTTCCTGAGTTTTTAGAGCAACTAACAAACCCTGCTATTGCTTTCCACTGCACAATTCTCTTATCAGGACCACCTACCTTGTCTATATGGCCTGACAACCAGTGCAATTATCATTTTCTACCCTGATTAGGCGTTCTAACATTCCCGAAATAAAGCAAAACGAAAGCAAGGAAATAGCTTGTTGCATAAAAAAGCGAATCCCTGATAAAGACAATTAGATAGTGAAAAAAAGTGGACCTGGTCAATAAATCAAAACTTGCCATGCACAAAGATTAGCCAAAAAAGAAGAGACACCTGCCTGGAGCAAGCTTTTCGGTAAGGAATATTAATTGTGGAAAAAACTAAATCAAACTGATAAGCAGCAAGGGTGCAACAGTTTCTAAAATATAATATATATAAATATATATATACGAGAAACTAAGGCAAGCGATTGTAGCCAAGTAGCCAGTTCCCTGTACTTTGGAACGTCCAGTGCAAAGTCGAAAGTATTTTAACTACACGATTCTAGAGATAGTTACAGCCAGCCAGCCAGCAGTGTGTGTAGCACTGATTGGCCAGGTACGAAAGTGGCTTTTTTTCCATTATTTTCCATTAGAAAAGTTAATCCGTAGCCTTGACCAAACACTTACCTTAACGCGACGCGAGTCCTGCCGGCGTTTCCAGGGTTTTTGCAGCACCAAGTAAACCGGCAGAGTTATGATGTCGTAGACGAAGGAGATCGCCATGATCGCGCCAATAGCGCTCTTCACAAAGAAGCTGTCCATTCTGTAAAGGCAATAAAAAATACAAATTAGTTGCCAATTGGTATGCAAATTTGTTGAGCAGGGAAAGAAACTATTGGTTTCCCGCTTCTGCAATTGTCATCACGTATACACCCGGTTGGTTCGTGGATTCGAACAAATTCTCACATTGCACCCACCCACTTGTTGTAGCGCCGTCGCAAGCCGAAAACCAACTGATATCACCACCTGCCGTTGCTGCCACTGTTAGTTAGCAGGTCTTGCAAGTCCGAAAGCGGAAAGGGGTAGACACTCTCACGCTCCTCAGTTTCGATACGACCGATCGGTGCTCAGAAAACGCTTTTCAAAACGTTGCGATAACAACTAGAGAGCAGTGAAAAGTGTTCGTTCGGCTTTTTATCAGCTACAGATTGTTTAGCCGTAACGAACCGAAGTCCGCCCCGAATCGTAAGTACAACACCCTTACCCCTCGCGTTGTTCAGTAATTGGCTATTGTAATGAAACGAAAAACTTAAGTGTACGTCTGGCACTCGTCTGGACCCTTCGAATAAGTCTGGTTTCTTATCAGCTATCAAAATCAAATCTACATACCTTAGCCTTAGATTGTTTGACACAAGTGCCCCATAAAACATGCCAAAAATCAAGGAAATTTACCATATTTCAATCTTTATGATCCGAAATACAAAATACTTGCCACAATTTTGTGACCTAATTCTTGGTTAAAAAACCAAGTAGGTAACGGATCTACTTCCTCAACATGGCCTATCTCCAAGTTATTTTTGTACTTATCAACAACCGAAAATATCTCCCAACAAAATTTATCAATAAATCTCACTTTTTTTTTAAATCCGTTAGGAGTGCCGCCATTACGTCCATTTTCTATCACGTTATTTATAATTGCATATAGAAAAAAAAAACTCATGACAAATATTTTTGAATTTTGTTTGCTTATTAAAATTTGAACGCTCGCAACCAGAACACTAGATAAGCATATTATCGCAATTCTCAATTAATTAAAATTATGATTTTCATTTTTAAAATACTGCAAGGCCTTTTACTAGGAATTTTGCTTATCCAGAATTGATTATCGCACGTAGTTGGATTAATTTAAAAACCAGTTACTAACACAGAACTAACTTAGAAGTTAGTTATCTTTAGAAACGAGTCATCATGAGATTGACATTTATTTATATACATAAGCATATATAATATATGGCTTTTCATATATGTTAGCGATCTAAACGCGTGGCTCCACTTTTTATAATCCATATTGCAAAATGTATTCGAAGACTGCACACTTGATAAAGCCATCGTGTGTGAGTGCCGGCCTGATAAGCAAATCGAATGACAGCCTTGAACTTGGATTGCGCAAGCGGGCATGACGTCAATTTCCTAGACCTATGATCTAAAAAGGTTGCAGTATGTCACTGGGAATTTTTTAGATCATATAATGAATGTTTTTAGTAAACTTTGAACTTAAATGCTGAATTCTTTTTAGTTTTCTTCCAGTAGCTTAAATTCTGGATCCTTAAATCTATAGCTACAATCTCTGTAAGTTTGTAAATGAAAGACAGTATTCTAAATGTAGCTTTATGAACCATTTAAATAATATTCCCCATCCGAAACCATCCACAACCAAAAGCTAAAACTAAACATATATATTCTTATGAAAAAACACGAAAGCAAGCCACTATTTAAACAGATATAATATATATACTTACTTGGCATCATCTTCGATGAACATCTTGCCGTTTGTTTTTTTCTTTGTCCGATCTTCAAATTCAATGGGTTATCTTGATGGTGGGTGGTGGAATAATGTGAGAGGTGTGAGGGTTGTGTATCCTCCAAGAGAGCTTAGCTCTGATTGATGGCAAGAACGAACAAACAATGGATGCAACAATAAAACGATGATGTCAGGTGTGTCCCACTCCAGATGTTCTGCTGTTTGTTGTTTTCACCTGCAACCGGAAAGAGAACGAATATATGCATTTATGTAGTGAAAAATGAGATAAGACAACAAATGGTGGGGGAAATTCGAAAGAAAACAAAACGGAAACTATGAAATTGCAAAAAACCAAAACCAAAAGTGTTTAATGAAAAAAAAACATAAAGTTATCTTTGAATAATATCTTAGAACAGAAAGTAATTTCCCATTTGATTTCTTAAAATAAATAAAAAATAATCAAATCGTAGCCATTAGGCAACATTATTTCTGGCCTTCATGGTTACCATAATCAAAATCAGCAATTGAAGTCCAAACAAATCTTTGATTTTTCTGGTTATTAGCCGAAAAATAAAAACAAAACTTAGATAATAAGAACATATATATAAACTTAGAGAGGTAGTATCAACAGCATATAGAGGATATATAGAGCAAAATTAAAATTAGACAGACAGTTTAAAATAAAAAGCAAGAGAGAGATTGCATAATCGTATTCTCAAGCTCTCACACATTCACTGTCTCCTCTCTCTCTTTCTCTCTTGATTTGATCCATTAGTTGGAGGCATAGAGAAACATTGGCATAGGTCGGGGACATCAATAGAAACTATACAAATTCTTTGGCATTCACTTACACAACTTACAAAAGAACACCACCTTCGTGACTTTTTTGTTTTTTGTTTATTTATGAACAAATATTGAAGGCAAGGGCCAAAGTCCGGCGGACCAAGGTTTATCCGCTCTGAAAGACGATATCAAATGGCTTCCTTAGAATCTGCCGTCACTGATAAACAACGCAGAGCATGAGCATGCCCAAAGTTCGTTTCTTATGCAATCGCATGAAACTCGCCAGCCAACCATGTGATATGTTGCTGGCGAATATATATAAAAAGGGTATACAAATGTGAAACTATGTTTCAGTCGACTGCCGTGGAGTGCATTGAACTGGCCCCAAAAATACAGATCTTCTGCTCGGTTATCCCTCTTCTACCTCTTGACATATGGTTAAAACTCCGAGCAGCCGTAAACGTTGTGGATACGTGTTTTGTTTGCGAAGAAAGGGAATATGAAAATATAACGAAGACATCAAAAAAAAAACAACACACAATTCGGTATTTAAATATGTGAAAAAAGTCAGTTAGCAAAACAATCCGCACAGTGGTAACCTCATTATAAGACTTAGTAAAATTCTCTTTAATTTTCTTTTTAGTATACAACTTGTACTAATTTTCTTAAACCAACCATTTGAAAAGCAATAAAAACTGCTTAAAACTGATTAGGACACCATAAACCACCTGTAGTTAAACTTGAACTTAGTCTACAGTTTTATTTCGAACTAAACCACTGTGCAAAGTTCAAAGCTTTTGAGCGGCACGAGCATAGGCGAAAGTTGTTTAGCCGCCGTTGCTGGTTAATGAATGAAAATTAAATGAAAATATCAAATCGTTTAGCTTTACATATCCCCATGGGTCGGGGTACAATCATATTCACATTTCACCAATGTTGAACACTTGGATCTTGAACACCGGGGTCAAAGTTGAAACTCCAAAGCAAACAAAAAGAGAGAGACGGACTTACGAAACGAGAAGAGAATGGCGTGTTAAAATAGAAACAAAGGTTATGTCGATTGTTCTCTCTAACTAAGCAATCATCATGGTCCGTTTGAAAACAATAAGGAAATTGTGCACATTAAGCTTGTGATTACTGTAATCCGCACTTTGGACGCGACACGCCTCCACCCCCAAATCACCTCCCGACTCTGCTCGACAGCAGTGCGGCATGTCGCACATGTGAAAAAATTATGGTTGTTGTGCCTAAATAAGCACTACTCGGAGAACTGATTCAATCTGATCCGAATCGTAAACCTTGAGGGGGGGTTAGATAACATAGGCACACCAGGCGTATGCGTAATGTCTTACAACGAGCACTTTAGCCGGTACAAAAGGTCAACAGCCATCATGCGACATTTCAGCAATAACACTCCGAGTTGATCTTGATAAATACTTAAATTCAAGTATTTTTAAAAGTGTAATTTTTACTTTATTTAAGTTTGTTTGATCAAATTTTGATTCCATTGTTAAAATTAATCTTAAAAAAAACAATAATTTTGGCTGGTAAACAATAAAATTAACCATAAACAAATGGTAATTACGAATATTACGCTTCAATAAAGTTGCATATATAGATTAGCGTTATGGTTCGGTTGAAATGCACTTTCAGAAATGAGAGTTTCAGCAAGTAAACAGTTTATTTTTGGAAAGTTATTGTCATATAAAGATTAGCTGATTAAGAGGCTAAGAGCTCTTTTAAAGCTATATGTAAGGCCTTCCCACTTCTAGTAAATCACCAGTTAAACTGCACCCTACAATCACCCTATTGCACATTGCAAACTGTTTCTAATTTAAGGGTGAAACTCACTTAATTGCTTCTATTAAAACAAAGGCACCAACCTTCTATTAATTACAACTGACAAAGGTGGGTACTTGTAACTGTTTTTTTTCCTTATTGTTTCCCACCGCTGCAGTGCTAAAATACACAAGCTTTTCCGTTTTCGTATTGATTGCTATTATTATTTGCGTTCATTGCACGACAGATTGCAGCCCGCTGAAAGGCATTGAGCAAACGAACACGTTATGCTTGACTAAATCACAAAATAAAACTGGAAACCCAACGGAAAAACCAAAATAAAGAGTATTAAGTAGAGCAAACCTCGAACTTGAAAATAAACTGTTATTATTTTTGCTGACTCTGAAATGGAATTGCAACTTTACAAAAATGAAATGAGCAGGCAAAGTCCAAGATCGCTTAAAGCCACAAGCTCAGACATTACGAAATCACCGAACAATGCCAAAATTCGAGTGCCCAGCGTTCTACATTAATTGTATAGTAAACCAACAAAGAGAAAACTTTAACTTATAAAGAACACGTCACCACGTCGTATTCCGTTGTTATAAAAACGTGTCCACTTACGTGGACTTCATTTGTGTATTTCATACAAATATTTGATATATTTAACTTTATATCATCAAGTTGCGCATCAGAAAAACAACAAAATGACTCAACTTTTTACCTTTTAGAAATACTTTCTTATACCCTTTATTTTGCTATACAGGTGGCATACTTCCCCCGATCAGCTGGTATATTGTTTACAATTCAGTGTGCTACTATAGAGTAGAGCTTGCATAAATGTTACTTGAACTTTGGTCAAGGTGCCGGGTTCTATGGGAAATTGTAGTAAACGGGAACTGATTGCCTTGACATTGGTAACCGGGAGGGGGCAGGCGTAGACAGCGTTGGTGTAAAGTGAAAATGTGAGAATGCGACATTATACTGACTGCCGCGAATGCGCATAATGCAAAATTTTAAATGAAATTGCAACATTTGATTCATTTATTTCCATGCAGGCGGCATTACGTGAGTGTCTGCTATATCTCTCTGTATGTCTGTCTCCCTTCCTCGAGCGGTCGTTCTCGGGCGAATAATGGGGTAACAAAATCATCGTATGACTGTGTCAAAGTCCAAAATAAAAATACTTTTTTTTGCAGTCGCAGTACACATATAAAAACGAGAAAAATTGCTCAAACGAGATTGAAAAAAAAGACAACAACAAAGCTACACAGAACAAAAATTATGCAAATATGTAAAGTGATTAAAAAAGAATTTTAATAGTAAAAAACATAATCAAAATTTGGTTAATCATATCATTATATAACATAATAATCAATCTTTATAAAATGAGAGCAATATACACAATTATATTTTTCTGCCCAAACATTATAAGCTCATTAGCTTAAACCACATAATTGTGATGACCTAAAAGCTTTACAAGTTTAGAACTAAGCATAGCTTAGGGTACATATTATAGACTCCAAAATTCTAATTTAATATAAAAGTAGTGTAGGGCCTAGTTAACTGAAATTGAAACTATAACAAGCATATTCCAAATAATATGTATTGAAAATGTTATCTTCGTTTAAATTTCTATCTCTAAAATAGCTTTACATTACGTTCTAGAATCTATGTGTGGCAACTATCAGAAAATATTCCCTGTGTGGCCTCAACAGCATCAGCAAGTGAGAACAACATTTGCACGGGGCGGGCGTTGAATATTTCATTGAATGAAAACGAGCCACAGAGAAAGAGTAACAAACATGGCAAACAAACAAACAGGCGAGTGACCGTGTATGTGGGTGTGTTTTGGAGGCGAACTGAAAATAAATTTGATTATTGCCTCCGCAAAAGAGAGAAAGGAGAGAGTAGTACACCCACACTGGGAGAAAAAGAAAGATCGGCAGACTCTCTTTTGCACTCGCTCACTTCGTATGAATGCTCGAGATATATATGTATGTATGTAAGATAGGTAGATGTGTGTGTGAAAGTAAGGCAGAAGCGTAGCGCTAAAATAAATGACCTAGACAAGCGAGTACTTATCTTTAGAGTGACCATCAACCGTTGAGCACGTGCTCGAGTGAAATTTTCCAGAGGAAAACAAACTTTGGCAATGATCGTGAGAGTTGGGGGGCAGTAAAGTAAGTGGCAAAGCCAAAAGCCCGGTTTAATCGAAGCGGTACTGCGCGAAAACCGGTTAGAAAATCAACCAAAGTCATGACTAAAACAAACACAAATAATGCTCATACGATCCAGGGGCTTAGATTAAAAGGGGTTTATTATTACCTTTAGTTATAGGACTTCTTAGTCTTAAAAGGCCCCCCTTTTTCCAAGCCACTGGCTCCAAAAACTGAGATACTAACGACTTGTTTTCCAAACCTGATGATTGCCAAACATAGAACATTTTTTGAACCGCAAACAAGGTACAAAAATTGGTTGGCATGCCAACCAGAAATAGAAACGGGAATCCAAGCAACATTTCTACGAAATTTAAGCTAATAAAATCTTTGAGAAATAATGCATTTTGAAAAAATGTCGTTTGTTTTAATAATTATAACAGGATAAGAATCATCATGAATGAATATAAATATCTCCCAAGTTATAGATAGATTTCGTTTCTAAATCAAATTCTAAATCAATTCTGTGAACATCCAATCTATCATTAGAAATCTCTCCAAATACAATGCATCTAATTTAAATGTCAAATCTGAAGTTACAAGAAGAACAAAGCTATACATAAATGGAAATAGGGAGAGATGTAAAACCAATCTGCAGCTGTTGCATCGAATGATATCGAAATATAACGGTTAAGTTAAGCTGTTGAAGGGACTGGCAAACTGCCAAATCGAGGGTTGGGCAACAGGCCGATTACAGATTGGAAATTACAACCCGAATTCCGGGGGCAGCTGGCTGAGGGTAGGAAAAAGGGGGCGGGTGTGGGTCAGACATCAGTCGCCCAGACATCGCGTGACTATTTTTGACTCTGCGCCCGATGAGACAAAGAGAATACGAAAAAATCACCAACTACAACTGCACGGAGAAAAATTTTTAATTATCAAATTACAGAGCTCTCAAAGTCTAGGCCAAACTTAATTATTTTTATAAATTTATAAACTATACTATTAATTTGAAGCCCCAAAAATACTTTAAAATAAAAGTATTAATCTCATAAATTTCAAACGATTTTATGTAAAACTGACTAAAAATTTTCCATCATTTCCTTCAATGGTGTAATGGGAAAAGTCACGAGGCGATGGGCGAAAGGGACGGCGAAGAGGCGGGTATCAGTGAGGGCTGGTTGGGTGGCAAGCGGCAAGCAATGTGGCACGTTTTCCTTCGTTATACCAGCTGAAAATCGTATGAGTTTCAGGGGAAATGTTGCCGCCGCAAAACTTAAAACAAAGTACAAGAATATTGCGGCGAAGAGAGAAAAAGAGAGAGAAATTTTGAGAGTACTGTACTGTGTGTTCAGGGCGAAGAGCAAACGAGACAGACAGAGAGAGAGAGAGAGCGAGAAAGCGAGTGAGAGAGCCAGGGGCAAAGTGTGGAAAGGTCAAAGAGCAAACTGTTTACATGAGGCAACCACAATTGAGAGTCGGACGGAAATGTGGGCGGTCTGGCCATGAATGAAAGCTGAGACCGGCAAACGTGGCCCGCCCACCCACAAGGTGGAACATTTTCCAAAATAGCGGGGAGTCATTTCAGGTGGTGAAACAATGGGCGTTTTACCACCCACCACCAGGCATTCTTCCGGATGGTGTCTGCTATTAAATTCCCATAAGCTAGATTTAATGAAGTATTTTAAATGAAAACAGAAAATACAGTTTAAGATTCCCTACCTCAAGGTCCTTAAAGATATTTGTACTTAAAAGATATAATAGAGGACCTCGAAAGTTTATTTCCGCCATTCAAAAACCCTGTAAATCTCACCTCTTGAACTGTAGACTTGTAAAGATTGTGCCTCTTCTATTATCATTTCAAAAACTCAAGGACTTCCATAAGTTTGTATTTCAAGAGAACACTTTTCAATCAAGTTGGAATACCATTTCAAAAATTATTAAGAGTTTTTTTAGTAAAGTGTTATATAAAAACTTTCATATTAAAATATATAACTTGTAATTAAGGGTAATGTAAAAATTATTGATCAGTATTTAGTATTTCAACTTCATTGTTAACTAAACTAAACCACTTTTGCTACCTATCCATTTCTGACCTTTTAACGAATGTTATCAACTTGTTGACTAAAATAATAATACACCTTCATTCAAGCTAAGAATCATTTGAAGATCACAGTAATCTGATCACTTTTCTTTAAGACCTAGGAAAACTTTACCGGTTATTGCTTCAGCTGGTGTTGTATTCTAGGGCTGCGGTCTGCACTTCTTACTTGCCACATTTACCACTTTTTTGCCATGCCACCCGGAATCGACCGACTTGTGGACGTGGGCACGTCAGCTTGCTTATCGGAGGTATATATCAGATCCGGTTGAACTTTTAAATCGCTCCCTGGTCTGAATGTGCCACCTATGGAATAACTATTACGATTATTAAGTGCTTCCACCTCGGCTGTCTGGAGGAGGCGTGTTTCCGGCACAAAAAAGAAGAGGCCGCGCCCTAGAAACAAAAGCGTGGCATAAAAAGTGCAACCACCCATACCACCCACCACCCACTGCTCAGCTGGTCGCAAGGTATTAAAAACAGATGACACACGCTCACCCACAAAAGATAAAACTCGCATGATTTTCAGTTGGTATAACAAGCCGAGACAAAGAGCGAGATATATATATATATATATGTATGTATTGTAAGAGCGAGCTTGCGCAGAGCACGTTACAAGAATTTTACACGTGCAAGCCAAGTTGGGGAAATCCATCAAGAGAGAGAAGAAAAATTAAAAAAAAAAATACAGAGAGAGAGGAGAGAGAATTTGTTTATGTGCGTAGGTTTAAAACGGAATGGGACTCTCCACTCCGCATCTAATTACAATTTAAACTGCCTTGGGAAAGAATGCAATTAACAGGTTAAAAATAACGGTAAGCCAGTCGTAAAATACAGTGGAACTTCATGATGCCGAAATATTTTGGTATACAGAGCTTAAGCTTTAAAGTCGTTAAATTTTATTTCAAATAAATGTAAAAAATTATTAAAATTAATGTTTTGAACTCAAGCCCTCAATAGTTATTATAAATCCAATTAAATTTTTAATTACAATTACTTCCACAGACATTTTGTTACAAATCGCAATAAACATTACTATTAATTTAATTTTAAAGTAGAACACAATTTAAGTCTTAAAACACATTAAGTAGTGATGACGAATCATCTTATGCGTAAGAAAAGTCTCCATAGTAGAAGAAATGTAACAACTTTATCATTTATTATATTGTTATGTACAAATGATAAGAAAGATTTACAATTTTATTTTTGAAATAAAATGCGTCACATTGAGGAATTTTTTTATCAAAGTCTTATAAAAAATCTACGCATATTTATTTATTTTTTGCACTTGAAGTGAGTAACTTATGAAAGCTCGACTGTAAACAAGTGGCGAAAGCCAAACAAATCAATAAACAAACAGCAAACAAAATAAGTCTGGCTGCCAATGGCAACCAATTGCATAAGGAAAGTGCAGTTGCGCTTGCACCAGCATTGTGGACCATAAATTGGGTCAAGAGGGAAAGAGCTGAAGGTCAGATAAGATGGCGTGATTCCTCAAAAACAACAAAAACATAAAAGAAAGCCGGCTAAAGAGAGTATAATCATATCCTGACTTACCTATTTCAGAGAGTTATATTCTCAGTTCTACAAGGCAGAGGCGGGATTTATCGAGATGAGGCACACACATGCAACGATTATCAGAATAAAACATATAGAAATCAGCGGAGATATCAACAGATCGTGGTTCGAAATAAATCAACGATTATATAAAATGACGTTTTGCCAATAAGAACGCACGCACACACACACACGCACTCAAACGCACACGTAATACCAGCATAAATTCAAATGTTGCGTTGGCGTCAACACGTTTTTTCAATTATTTCCTTTATTTACATCAGTTTATTGGAGTATTCAAATTTCATTTATATATTTATTAGATAGTCTACGTTGCGCTTTAATTGATAAAACTTTCGCAAAAACTTTCACAAAACTGCACAATTGCTCAGTAGCGAACATACACACACACAAGCATGCACCACAGGCAGCGTCGCACGTGTATAGGTGTGTGTCTGTGACGGTGTGTTTATCACGCCACTCTAAAAACACTTTTCTACTTACACACTCACTCACTCCTAAGTTATATTTGAAATTGTGTTTTATTGTTTTTTTAGTCTTTGTTTTAGGGCTTTTTTTGGTTTAGTTTGGCGCCCGCTTAAAAATAGACGGAAAGACGCACAACGTTCTCAAATCACGTTAAGTTTGTTTCTGAACTTTTTCGCCGTTTCACAGATAAGAGAAATGTACTGCCTCATTTTTTGCCACGAGATTATTTTCTCTCTGGCTCTCTTTTTCTCCGCCTCTCTCTTTCACTCACACATCTGAACAAATGCCGATGATGACTGTGTGTGTGTGTGTATGTTGTTCTGACGTATTCATTTTGGTTGCAATTTTCAATTGATATTGGTTTTTTAATGCGCCGGCTGCATATTAACTCACATCATGCCACCCACATTTGATTTTTCGTTTTAACGGTTTTTATTTATCGCGGTTTTTGCAGACGTTTACAAAAGCATTGAAAACAAGACTATCATCGGTTTTAGGAGGCGCTATTTTACTATCGGACAATGAGTGTGACCAGTCTAAATACCGAAAAAAATACCATAAAGCATGAAATATTCCCGCCATGTGTTACCGGTCGTTTTATTTAAATAATATGTTTCAAAAAAAGCAATGACTATTGGAAGTCCTTTTGGAGGAAGCAATTTAAGCTTTATTTAGGTGGCTTTGATACTTCTTAAGCAAAAGTTATATTTGCTTTCGTAAAACTTACTTAAAATAATACGTTAGTAAATACAGTAGAAAAACTCGGCTAAGTAGATATCAATGCTTCAATCCTCATGTATGTAAGTAAATGTAACGATTAAGCTAGCTGAGAGTTGAACCCAGGTTAGCAACTTGGCTAAGTAATTGTTATCGATAACTGGTCCAATAACAAGTAGTGTTGTAAAGCTTAAAATTGTAAAGTCTTTGAATTTAAAAGTTTTTAACCGCGTAAAAAACTATTTTTTTTTTAACTCTCGATTTTTAATAATTCCAACTATTCAAAATGAAACTCACTATTTTCGCTTTTAAAAAACTGTATAATATATAATTTTATTTAAAAAAAGACAGTCAGTCTTTGTGCAACAAATGTACATGGATAAATGCCGCGTTTACAATCGATCCCCGCTTCGCTTTCCATTCTTTTTTTTTTATAATTATTTTATATTTATACTCTCGTTTTTAATTTGGTTGTAAGTACCGTTGGGGGAGGAGGGATTTCTCTTGTAGTTGATTAAGTAATAGTAATTGATTTTTCTCGTTTCTTTCGTTTCCGTTTAAGCGATACTATTTTGGTTCAAGTCCTTGTGTTTTATGTACATATTTAAACTAAATTACGAGCTACAAATTACTAGTTTGTGTGTGTTTTTGTGTGGGTGAATCTCGCGTTGAATTATATGTAAGTACAGTGTGTGTGTGTGTGTTCGTTGAGTGTGTGTGTGTGTTACAATAAATATCTCTAAGTTTAAGTATTCCTTAAGTGCTAGGATACATACATACAAAGCTGCTAGGCAGAGGGGCGGTGGGGTCTTGGTTTAAGGAAGGTGGGCGTTTTTCCAAGGGAGGATGGGACGGGGAGGCAGCTGCTACGATTACCGGACTCTGGGAAATTAACTAACATGCATACACATATACATACACACAGGCCTGTCGAGATTTTCAATTTTCAAGGATATCTTTTTAGGTTTTGATAAGTTCAGAAAATTTCCATTCAAACTAATATCTTTTTTAAAATAACTGGAAAATTCTAGTCTGTTTTCTGTTTTTTACATTTTTGTGACATCAAATTTAAGTTTTTAAAAATGGTAAAAATCCAAGAAAATAAAATCCCCGACAGACCCGCTGAACAAATCGAATATACAGATACAAATAGGTTTACGGCTTAAAGTAAGGCCTAAAGATACGGGCTAATGGCTACAGGAACTAGTGCTAGTGCTAACTCGTAAAGTTATAGCTGCGCACCGCCCGACCGGGCGTTACCAGCTCCACCTTGATGTTGGCCGTGGCCGTCACCTTGGTGGTGTTGCTGTCCGAGTGCGTCGTCTCCACCGTCACCTCTGGCTGCACCACAATGCTCTGCAGCTCCGGTGGATATGCCGCCGGAAATGGAGGCGGTGGCATTATGGGCGGACCCTGCTGCTGATGCTGCTGTTGCTGTGATGCGGCCTTCTGATAGGCGGGGGGTGGTGGGGCACTCGGCTGATAGCTCCAATCGTTGGGCATCTGGATGGACGAGTTGCTGGACTTCCAGGACTGCGGCTCCTCGGTGATTGTGGTCAGCGATGGATCATTTAAGTCCTTATGGTGATGATGGTGCGACTTCTGACAGCTTCCTCGTGAAGAACGAGAGCCCTGCACCACATAGGATTTGCCTGATCTCTTGCTACTTCGCACGGGCAGTGGTGAGGGTGTGGATATCCGGTCAGGATGCTCTAGCGGCACCAGTTCTGCCTCTGGTCCCAGCATACTCAGGAGGATGGGGAACACCAATAAGCTGTTGCAGGCACCCACGCACAGGACAACCAACAGAAGCCAGCAGAAGTGCCGGATCACGAACTCAAAGGGCGAGGTGGAGAGCATGAACACAGCCACTCCAGAGGTCAGCATTCCATGGACCAGTGGTCCCAGGGACATCTGCATGCTCAGCTGCACACGACGCTGACGATTGCCCACGGATGTCATGAAGCCCTGTAAATGGAGAGATTAGGGATTAGCCTGTTGTTTAGTTTGGATTGAAGGATGCTTAAGTATTGGTAGGATGGACAACTTACCAGTGAGATCAGCACATTGAAGCAGAGCATCATACCCACGCTTAGGATGAGTATGACTGCTGGAATGGCCGAAAGTTTGATGCCCAGCAGGGTCATGGCTCCAAAGATCTGGGCCAGCGAGGCCAGTACGGTCAAGATCACTAGGACAGCGGCCCAAACGGACAGTAGAAGCAGGGAGACCAACACCAAGGCAGCCAGAAGAACGCAGGCCAGGATCATGGCCAGTGAGGAACGTAGGGTCATGTACTGCTCCCAGAAGATAAATGGAATGCCTGAATATGGATAAAGATTTAAGGATTAGTAAAGGCAAATTTAGATTGTAACCATTTAAGGACTCACCCGATGGATAGTTGGGAAGACCGAAGCCCTCAAACTTAACGCTCAGATCGCGAATGTGACCAATAAGGGTTTTGATCTGCGAGGTGTCTGTCAGTCCGTGCAGGTAGAAGGGCATCTGGGCATAGACCAGGGGCAGACTCTTGGGAATCTTCAGATCATACTCGTTGGGTTGGTGAAAATACTGGCGCGGTTCGGGATAGAGTTTACCCTGTAAGTATAGATTAGGTAGTCGTTAGTTAAGATTATTTTTAGGTATTTAAATTAGGATTACTAAGGATTACTATTGATCCTTAAGGACACCCACCTGAGAAGCTCCGTAGGCGAAGACATCATTGGTGGCCCAGGCCGACAGATAATTGTAAAAAGCACGCGGGTTGATGATGCCATCACTGTTCACCAGTCGATTGGTCACCACCAGTTCCTTGTCCACCGGATTGTCCACATGACCCGTCTGCACGATCAACTTATACGCCAAGATGGCATCGCTGCTGGCATTGGGGAACCAGCACTCCTTGGTTAGTCTTCCATCGCGGATCTCCTCGTCGAAGATCTTCTGCAGATTGCTTAGCCAGTCGCGGAAGAGCAGCAGCCAAAAATCCGGCAGTCCACCATTATCGTTCTTAATGACATGTGGCACTCGGACAAAGGAGTCATGGTAATCCCTCAGCAACTGCTGCTGGGTGGGATACTCAAAGTTTCCCTGGGTGACGGCATACATGCTGTAGAAACCAAAGAGCCGGGTTTGGGCATCCAAGAACTTGTGCTCGTTACTGTCCTTGGGCACTAGGTCGATGATGTCCAGGCCATCTTGAAGGCGCGTCGAGGCATACAGGCTGGAGATAAGAGCAGCCAGGAATCCCATCACAGTGAGGAACTTCACCCAGCTGCGCATGAGGAAGGGTGTGTAGTGCTCGAAGGCGAAGTTGGCCAGGGAAAAGGATGCCAGGGTGTGACTACTGCCAGGACTGACTGACCTCTGCTCTAGCAGAGGATTCTGGGCAGGCTGTGGCACCGGCACCCTGTTGTTGTTGCAGCTCTTTGGATGCCTGGCCCCTCGTCCATTGTTGTTGTTCAATGGGAGGACCGGCGGGGACACCTTGGGTTGTTCCTTCCACACCGGGAAACAGCAGCAGAAGATGTCTGCCCTGCCAGCTGTCCGCCTGCGCAGATCCAACGAAATCATGGCCGGAAAGACCAAAAGAGCCGCAGCCAAGTTGGAGCACATTACGATGGCTGCTTGGAGACAGAATACCTTCAAAGCAGGAACTGGAATGAAGGCAGCCGCAAAGAAGGATCCCGCCGTGCTGCAGGCACTGAACAGGATGCTTGGTCCAACTTTCTTCAGGATCAACTTGGTCTGCTCCCGCCGGTTACTCTCCGCATAGGCAGCTGTCAGCATAAAGATGTGATCCACACCCAGTCCCAGGGCCAAAAATGGAACCACCTGAGTGCTGGCCGCGTTGAAGACGATTCCCAGAAGAGCAGATAAGCCCAAACCAGCGGCGGTGCTGAAACACATGAGTAGAACTCCGGCCACGCCCACACTGCTCTGGCCACGAACAGGATCCCGCCAGCGGAGGAGTGTGCAGAAGGCATACAGAACAGTCACAGCCACACCAATCACAATGGATACGGCGCTTGGATGCGAGAACTTAGCCAGAATATCATCCAGAGCCGCCGAGCTGAACACGTAGATATCATAGTTGGTGGCAATCCTCGACTGCTTACGAAGCAGCAGCTCCACCTCCCTTGAGAAGTTACGTTGCCAGGCGTTTAAAACCTCGGCTGCCTTCTCCTGTGACCAGCCAAGATGGTGTACCTTGTAGTTATCCTGCCACTGGTCAAACATCTCCTTCTCAGTCATCAGCTGCACCACCGACTGCAGGGCCTGGGCCTTCCTCAAGTGACCACTGCGATTCCTTTTTGCTCCGCCCACTATCAGCTCCTCCGGCCAGTGCATGTGCTTTGCTGCATATCCGTAACATCCTCCGGAAAGGATGGCTCCTACATCCGGTGGCTGGCTGCTGTTCTTGTTTGGCGCCGTGTCGGGGCAACTGGGATTCTGTGGGTTTAAGCAGGGCTTCTCCATGTAGCCACTGCCAATGGCCGCCCGCTTCATGTACTGCTCCACGGTCTCAAAGTCAAAGCTGATCTTCTCCTCGGACATCTTCTGCTTCATGTACTGCATCACCGAGGCGGGATTCAGGGTTGTCCACAGAAGTCGCTGATTGAGACCTCTGTAAGGGAAGAAGATGAAGGAAGTTTGGTTTAGTTGGGAAGAACTAAAGGTGAACAGGGAGTAAGCTAGGGGAAGGATCAAAAAGTACTTACGGTATAACCACCGCCGACTCAGGACCCAAGAGCTGGCTACCCTCCCAGAAGCAATCCAGCGGCGTAATGATCGAGCACGGTATGAGGTGCCGCAGGATCTGCTCGATGTAGTAGATGCCCTCAAATGAGGGCGTGCTCGGCATGTTGCACATGTCCCGCAGCCCCCATTCAGTGTCATACAGGTGGACCTTTACGGCCGTCGCCTTGACCAAGACCTCCAGATGAGCCAGTAGCGCCTGCGGATGCAGTACTGAGGCATTCGGATCGTGCGTCGTCTGGATGAGCAGCTGATGCGTTGCCGACTCGTCCTCACCGATCGTTTTCTGTGTGTAGGCCAGTTCCGCCTCTAATCTGCCACCCTCCTGGATCCACAGCTGGTGGACCTTCGAGTGGATCTGGGCACTCTTTAGGCCGACGCAGAAGGTGCTCAGCACCAGGATCGCCACGAAGAGCACCTTGCCCGCATGCTTCTGCACGGAGCTGCCGAGTGTTTCGAGGTGGGACTGGAATACTGATCGCAGATAGATTGCCGTGCGGCTGCCACGCGCCTTGCCCTGCAAAATGCAAACGAAAAACGGAATTTGACATTTAGTTTTAAAGTTTTTTTCTCTTTTTTTTTTTTTTTAGTTTTCCCTCACTCTGTCTCTGCCATAAATAACACATTAAAATTATAACGAAACAGCGTGTGGCCACATAATTTATTTGTGGGACTCCCAATGAAGCCAGACCGCCAACCCATCCGCACATGGGTGTGGTCGGGAGTTTCTACGCTGGGGCTAAGGCAGATATTTCAAAAAGGAAAAAAATTTTAAGGTATATAATATGATATATGCTGAAAGCTATTTTCTACTAAAAACTATGCCTTTATTATAGATTTTCTTAGCCCCCTCCCTATGGCCATGCTTCCGGACCCCACCCAAAAGACCCCAATCCCAGATCCCAGGTCCCGTGGAACCACAAAAACAACACAAGACGCCGCTGTCGTCATTGGCGGGCCGAAAAAAAAGGCGAACCTATAATCGCCTGCTTGGGCAATTGGATCGATGGCTGTTCAGGCTTTGGGCCTGGCTCGAACTCGACTCCACTCTACACCTCCGCTCTCCCCCCGCCACCTGGCCAACAACCTCGAATTTCGTGCTTCTTCTCCATTCTCCAGCTGCTGCAGCGCTGCACGGAAATTGAACCCCTTTCCCGAAAAAAAAAATAACTAAAAAGAACCATGAAAAAAATAATAATGAGGCTCGCGCTAACGCTAACGTCTCAATCGAAGTTTTAGTCCAACAATCAGAGAAACAGTGGGGCAAGGTACTGATGTTGCCACAAAATTAAGGCTGACTGAAAAGTCTTTAAAGGAGCAGAGGAAAACCCTATTTTAAAACCATAAATCGATTGAGAAAATCGTAACTTTCAGATAGGTTGTCCACTACATTAAAAAGTACTTTCGTAAAAATGATTTTCCTTGCAACTTAAAACCCTTAAAAACCCTTCTATACCACTGTGCCACAGCAGTGGCGCACCCAGCAAAGTCTGGAATCAAGGCATCCAAATAACGCATTCCACACAGACCCAAACTCGAATCTTCTCGAACTTGGGGCTCCTCATTCAGGCGTCTCTTCGCTGCGCTCGCCTTTTATCGCTTTTCACAGATTTTTCCCGGGCCAAGTCAGGTTGTGGCCAACAAAATGCAACAACCTCAACAAAAAAAAAAAGCTGAAGCACCCAGAAATGGCTTTATTGTTTGGTCTTTTGAGCATTTTACGACTACCGTTAAGATAGAGCGGGAGTTGCTCGTAAATAATCCACCGCTTAATGTCTTTGTTTGCTTAGGATCAGGAAAGTATAAGATGGAAGGATCCCTATACCCATACTATATCCTATAGCGATCCCTGCACTTCCTGCTGCTTGTTTATGCAACCCAGATAGCTACATACATTTCCGCAATGCCAGGAAAATAAAAACATCAAACGCGGCGCGACCAACTTTGTCGCCATTAATTAAGTCGTTGGCGGCACATCCACTTTGAGACTGCCTGCGGCGACCTGTTCGTGGAATTTTTCCATAATTTTCCCCCAACCCAAGGTGCGCAAACAAAAGATGCACAAAATTCTAGGAATCTTCTGCCACACACCAAAAAAAAAAGAACTACAACAACAACAACATTGTTCGCTTTTTGGCCCCTTGGGGCGGCATCTGCGGCAGGGCCTAAAAATAAACTTAATCTAGATTTGGCCCGGCATTCCAGTGGCTTGCAAACTGTCCGTGTGTGGTGTGGCTCAAAAATTGAGCCATCAACGCTTGTCAGCAGCCCTCTCTTTCGCTCCATTGAAGCTGTCTCTTTCGGTGCCTCAAAAAAAAAACAAGTTACAAAAACAAAAACATGCTGCTCGAACTGTGTGACATATCATCAATCTTAGGCCGTTTTTGCCTTGCGTGCCTGCTTTTCTTTTTGTTTTTCCTTCTTTTTTTTTTTTGTTGGTCTTCAGTTTTTGCCCACCCCCGCAGCTCGCTGTGTTCGCTGGCTGTGAGGAAATGTCACGCATTGATTTATGATCCTGCCCGGGGTTTCCTCTGCTGCATTTTCAAATGAAAATGTTACTTTTGGCTGGTCTTTGGCTTTGTTACTGCTGTTTCTGATGTTGCGACAGCTTCATTAGAAATGCGCGCACACACAGCCGGACTGCGGAGGTTCTGCTACAGTCCAGCCTCTTTAATCCCGAAAGGCCCAGATACCTCGGTGAAATAAAGACAAGCTCGTCCCGTGACGAATGGGTACGAGTGAGAGAGGTAAGAAGGTGGCCGAAAAAGACAACAACAGTTGGGAACAGCAGGTGCAGGTAGAGCGGAGATATTGGGTAGAAATGTATCACAAGTACAGGGGGAAAAAATTCAGGTGCTTAGATGGGTTATTTACTGGTTAATACTACATATAAGATGTGGACTATGTGGGTAAGTTAAACTCTAAATTGCATATAAATAAACTTAAAGATAGTTCTCTTAAAACCATTAACAATTTTGATTTCTTCCTGACAAAAAACCATGTTTAACGTCAAAGCTTTCTTCAACCTAAAAAATAACAACAAAAAACCTAATGTTTAGAGTTTTCTGTTCCCTTCTATAAACAATCTAGAAATCTGGAAACCTCCGCATCACGCATCAATCAATCAAAAGATCCGACACATCAACTGACGGGGCAAGAAACAAAAATCGAATTTCCTGCGGGGCCCCCCACAGCGCTTGACTACTTAATTACACGGACCGCTTCGGGAACACCAATCTAAATATGAAAAATAAATAAAAAGAAAAAAACTTTTCCATGCCATTTGGAAATCTGAAAACCACTTGAGCCGCTGACTCTCCGAGCGTATATGGTGCGTTGGGCCATAAAATATGAGCGCACCCAGTTATGCCGCAATAAAAATCGAATGCAAAACCGCGAATAAAAAAAATCAAAAGATACTTTTTTTTTTTAGCATAAAATGAAATTCAATATGGCAGACCACCCAGATATATATTGAATATGAATAGGGCATCTATAGAATTATGTATATGGATAGGCTGGCGATTTATGGTTCCAGTCCGCCGTCGAGGGTGAATCATTTGAGATCTTCTTTCTGGTTTTTAATCTTTGAGCTCAAAGGGATTACACACTGTGTGCTCTATATATGGAATCTCCGAGACGATCCATGGATGGCAGAGCTTTCCCATGTTTCTCACGTAAGCGTGTGCCATAAAACTTGTAGCTACCATAAAAGTTATATGCCACTTGATAACGTTTTTGAATACGAAATCTCGTGCATATTGCCACACATCCGATCTTAGGGTATATATAGTATCTTATGGTTTATATTTCTTTTATTATTATCTCTCCGCCCGCCTGGCATTTAAATGGAACTCTGTTTTTATTTTCACATGCCATTCCCTCAGCTGCCTTGCCTGTCAAACAAAATAGCTAAAGAAATGGATGGAGACTGCGTCACTAGTACGGTTTAATGTTTTATTTTTAGAGATTGAGATACAGATAGAGATAGAGATAGAGCGAGAGATAAAGATAGATGTATGGGGGAATTCATTTTCAGCCATTAAGCAGGACCACACACATTCTCAACGAGCAAAAGTAAATTGATTTCGAGGCAATTAAAAATGAGGCCCGGCCAAATGTGAAACCGTTGAATGCAAATTCTCGTTGCCGCCAATTTATGGCGCCCCCAAAACGTGACTAGCAAACCGTCTGCCGCATTTATTACCATTTTATGCTCTTTATTTCTTGCAGCAAGCGCGAAACCCCAAACCAAAGATATTTGCATGCCCATAAAATGAAATCGTTAAAAAAAAAGAGAGAAGAAGGTTTGAAGGTCACAGTGCGGCTCAGGTGAGCGAACGGTCAGATGGGGCAGACGGTTTACAGTTAACTCCAGAAGCGCCAGGTGCAAACCGAACCCAAAGGACCACCATCACAGATCCCTGATTATTTTCCGCCTCTCTCTTTCTCTCGTGTTTTCTTCTTCTGGTTTGTAGACACAGTCTGTCAAGAAAGTTTTGTAATCACTTCGATTTCAACTGAAGTTAAGTTCACCTGCCCTGCTGGTGGAGTCACTATGCAGAGGCCACCGTAACAATTTTAATTTCTTTATTATTTCGTCTGAAGTCTGAAAATCGAAAACGCAGCCTACCTGACCACCGCCGGCATTCACAGGTACACACACTATGACGAACGAACGCACGCACGCACTCCGTTCCCGATCAGTTTTTGGTATTGTATCGGATCGTATCGTTTCGAGTTTTTGAGTTTGAGTCCGCGTCCGTTCAGCGGAGTTTTGTCCGTATGTCCGCCTGTCCGTTAACTGCTTTTTCAGTGAATTCCGTGATTATTGCTTGAATGTTTCTTTCCGGTATTCGCTCTCTGTCACTGTGTCTCCGCAGTCTACCTTGTTTTTTTTTTTGGTTTTTTTTCATTCTGGCTCTAGGTCTTGATCGTAAGTAAGCCCCTCTCTGGGGTTTCGGGTTTTTGGGCCTGGGCATGGGTATGAGTATGGGTATGGGCATTTCGGGTATGGGTCTTGAGTATGGGTTTGTTTCGGGCCGCGTGCTGTGTGGTCGAGTTAATGTCTTCATAATTCTCCTGATTTTTCTTCTTCTCTCTCCCTCTCTCTCTGTCTCTCTCTCTCTCTCTCTCTCTCCCTATGTGTCGGCCCGTTGTTATGTCTTGCTTCGCTGAGACCTCAGACTGATGAAGACAATAACAGTTTTATGTGCTGCGGCCCGACTCGTCTCGTCTCTCGGCCAAAGTCGTTGCCGTCGTCCCGTCCCTAATGAAGCCCAAGCTGTGGCCGTCTTCTACAACAGCATTTCATGTGTGTGTGAGTGTGTTTTTTTTTTCGGTTTATTTTCCATTTTTTCCCTCACATTTTCTGTTTTTTTCTTGGTTTTTTGTGAGTTCCAGTTCCCCGCGCCAGCTGCAGATGGCATATCAAGTCAAGTTGTCTTGGCCACGTTGGTTGTGTTGAGTGTGTGTGAGGCCCAGGCAGATGAAGCTGTCAATTGTGGGATCACCGTG